ACCAGATATCAATAATCGCTTCCAGGTTATGATTTCAGATATTCTTACCTCACTACATTGCTTTGTAGTAGATGCCTCATGCTGCTCCATTGTGGACAAATCAGCTTGCAATACCTGAAGAAGTTCTCGCCCAACGTTGGTCATGTTCTCTTCGTTATCAGACACGACAACGTTCAGAGCCGCAAATGGAAGAATGAAGGTTGCGATTGAGAGATCGTAACCCCTAATTATTCGGGCTAACACTGGGAAGACCATCTCGACATTGACGCCTTGCCCTTTTCGCAGCAAGTCGTAAACAAAAGTCTGAAGCCAGGTTGTGTGACTCAGTCCCTGATGAAAGATGGGGTATTTCGCGCCCTCGTACTGCAAAGCAGGATTCATATTGACGGAGTATTTTGAATCCAGGAAAGGTGTCAACACAGTTCTCACAGCTTCTGGAATATTGTTCCAGCGTTGTGCCTCCGTGCTGCCTTGAGATGACCGGGGCTTTGCTCCACGAAGAGCACTGAAACCACAGTGCTTTAGCATCTCCTGCATAACGTAGGCAATCCAACCTTGTGCTTTTGCGTTCGTTGTAGACAAAAAAACCTTGACGAGGACCTGCTCAAGAAGCAATGCTACAAAATCAATGTCTTCGTCTCTACGTGAGAAATTCGATAGCATCAATACGCGCTTTTTCTCTCGAACCGTCTCTACTCGATATGGATCAAGACCACCGATAATGCCGAGACATTGTGCACATAGTATGGTGATATCAGAATGGTCTTCAGAAAATCGAACGCTAGCATCAAGGAGAGATCTAGTCAAGGCTGCCAACACAGGAAGTGGCTTCTGCCCGACTACCGACTGATGCAACTCTTCCTGGTTTTCGTCCAAGAAGGGCACAAGCTCTCTAAGTGCTTGACGCACTACGACAGAATTCTGATCTTTGCACCGATTGCTGAAGGCATGAAAGACCTTGATTGTCTCTACCATGTCCTTAAATCTTACTAGCTCTCCTTCTATTTTGGACAACATCGGAATGGTTCCCAGGGAAGGGAGATACTCAACTCTTGCTCGGAGCTGTGCGTTGTGTTGTGTAATAATGTTTTCGATGGTTTTGTGAGCTTTGGCATGTGTCTCATCCGAAAAAATATTCCAATGCTGTACGATCAACGCAAAAGTTTGGTCGATGACGAGCATTGTCTCATCCGCATCGAGAGCTGACAGGAAAGCTGACCAAACATTGAACGTATCATCGCAAAGATCGGGATCTGCCATAGCTGACTGAAGGCAAGCGCGGATCTGAGGTAAAGCTCCGTTCACGCTATAGCGAGCGAGATTGATGAGATCGCCAATGGCAGCTATGCACCTCCTCCGTTCTGGCATGGTATACGGCACAGCTTTTCCAGGAGAGTTTGGTGTTTCGATCACATTAGAGAAATATGCTATGATGCCTAGAATATGTGTTTCGCAGAAGGCATCAAGATTCTTTGATTTTGACGTAGACTTTCGCGGGCCTGATTTGGTATCCGGTGCAAGCGTTGCGAGTGTGGTAAACCCGTTGTAAAACGGCTTCTTTCTGACTCCTTCTTGATCAGCCGCTAACAAGAGAATTTCAATAGCAATGCCCGTTATGTCCAGCGCGACCCAGGACTCCAGTCTGTTATTGCTGCCGTCACGAATAGCTGGTTCAACAGCAGCCAGTGTTTCCATCGCAGTGCGTTCAACATCAGGCACAGGTTGTGACAGAAGCAAAGCTAGGATCTTGGCAAGATTGACTCTTGGATACGTCAATACGTCGACAACAGCAGCCTTTCGTGCTTGAGCAATCTTCTCAATGATATCTCTCCTTTTACTCAATACAAGATGGGGTAGTGTATCCGATTGGGTTTGCACAAGGAGTTGACGAACGCTTTGTTCAGTCAGATCTGCCAATTGCTGTGCCTTCTGGGGTTTGTTGACAATATCCTTGATGACGGAAAATCCGATAACTTTCCAGTAGGGGCGCAACAGCTGTGTCGTATCCATGGAAAGTCCTTTGGCAATTGACTCGAGCTCACGGTAAGCCATACCACACACCAATGCGTTCGGGTGACCAAGGTATTCGACAAGATGATGCAATATGATTGGAAGCTCCAATTCACCGCATGTTTGAGCAATTTGGCCATAAGCCATGATTAGCGTCTCCTGATCGGATAGAAAATCTCTCTTTGCGAGTGCATCGAGAAACTCTATAGTATACCTCCGATTCTTTTCGCGGGTACTTCTCGAAATGTCGTTGCGAAGAAAAACCATAAGGGAGTTCGCAGCTGCAATTTTCAGCTCTCGCAGAGATCTGCTCATACATGCAAGCAACCATTGTCCTAGCCCGCAATCCTCAAGAGCTAAATATTCAGCATCTGAGATATGATTGTATACACGGCCAATAGCCACAGCCATGAGAATTTTTGATCGTGGCGATGCTTGAAATTTTTCTTCCCTAGCGATTGCAAGCATGGCAGCAATGACATCTTTCCAGTTTTCCGAGCGATCCACGAGGTCCCAATAAGAATTTTCACTCCGTTCTTGCTGGTTATTGATATCACACAAGGTGCAAGTAAGAGAATCCAATGAATGCGGCGTGAACCGTGGCGATTCCAGAGATCGCGAACTAGCGCAAGCAACTCTTGCCAATGCTGTGATAATTTCTTTCTGCGCACTCTCATTTTTCTGCTCATCGTCCGGTATAGAAAAGTATCTCGTCCTATACAAATAAGTATCGTGTAAGAAGTAAATTAGGTCAACTTACTGAATAAGATCCTGTGCATTAGACAAGAAGAGCACCGGGGAATCATGTATGCTACCGTTCAAACTCATCATAATTCGCCTAAGAGCATCCTGGTTGACGTCTTCTGAAGATTCTGGCAACTTTTTCCGTCGCTTGGCTGGTCTGTCTCCGTCACCCAGGTTCAAGGCTCGGAATGCCTTGACAGCAGACATTGATTCCTCGGAAAGTTGAGCATCAGAGAAACTGCCAAATTCATTCTCACAAAGCTCCTTTCGTAGATTTGCAACTTGCATAGACTTCATATCTGGGGAGGTCCAAAGACAAAGTGCCAGCTTGATTTCGTCAGTCAAAGAACGTACTAAGTGAGGATTGCGTACCTGCAAGTCTTTATGGAGCTTTACAAAACACTCTTCATCTTGGAACAGCCTGTTCACAGCATGCTCGACTTCGTTCTGAATAACATGTCTGGTTGAATCTTGTCGTCGTCGCGGGATCGAGTTGTCAATTGATTGATATCCGAGAATGCTGCGCAGGCGAGTGAATATAGATGCTATTCGGATCTGAACAACTTCTGATGTCTGCGTAGCAGACGAGCTATGGAGGAGTTCTATAAGACTGCTGGTGAGCGCTTGAGCGATCTTCGACGAAGCTGGCGCCCGGTCTCTAGGCGTGACCGAAGAGGTCAATAATGACTCCAACAGTTGCATGTATACGAGCATAATCTCATCATAGATTGCGCGTCTCTCCGAAGATATCGTCCAACGTCTGTAGTGTCGCCACAAACCCTGTACGCTGTCCACGATCCAGGGTAAATAATGCTCCAGGTTAACCAAGGTTGAAAGCGCCTTGCTTTGAGGGTGTATAGTATCTACCAATGCAAGCAAGAGGCAAAATCCTATGTGAATAGCCCCGTGATGAGACGAGATAGCCCGCTGTAGATCATGAGGCAATGCAACGAGCTGCTGGCTTTCCGGCCAGAAGCTGTTGACAGCGCTTGATGGTGGTAGAACTAGACTGAAAGACGACGCTGGTGGTGAATCCGGGTTGTCCAAGGCCTCAAGTTCCGAAACGATACCTGGAAGTGGTTACAAAAATGTGTTGAGTTAATGGAAATCGCTTACATTGTATGCAAGATCTGTAGAGCTGCATCACTGTTGCGGCTGGACGCCATAGCGAAGAAGTCTGAGTCAATGCATTGAGACAAAGATGCAAAAGCTGCTGGACATGCTTATGTACAGGTTGCAGTGTCGTATGTTTCAACAAACCAAGCAGCTTCGGATACAGCCAGAGGATGAGCGGAGGACCAGGAATGCTCTCGTCGTCACCCTGTTTGATGCTCACAAGCAGATGTGGCTTCTGCTGCAAGATAAACATAAGGGCCGCGATGCTGTCAATCCCTTGCTGCCTTTGTTGATCTTGAGCAAATGGGTCATCTTTGAAAAGGCCCTCAAGCCCTGCTTCGGCAATCACACATATGAGTGCAACCAGCTGGGGGTCAGGCTCATCCGTGTTTGGGTGCTGTAAGAACTCTTTGACCAACTCGCCAAATGTGACTTTGGTAGCTTCATCGCGTTGCGCGTTGACATTTGAGGCATTGTGAACAATCTGGGCAGCAATAGTCGACGGTGGAGGGATGCCATTTGAGTGCCCACTTGTCATAGGCGGCGGAGCCATACGTTGAGTCGAGCCCCCGCCTTTGCGGGCCATGATGGACGCCACTTTACCGATATAGCATGACTTGGGAACGTAGAAGAGAAGATCGAGGCTCCTTCAAGACCATCCACACTCAGAATACCGGTAGAAAATTCGTGGACTCTCGGATACTATGGTTGACGACCAAGGTGGCGTATGATTGGATGCTGGAAGACTCGTAGTTGAATGTTGCTGTCAATGGTTGCCTGGGGGCGGCAATATTGTCTGGTCTCTCGTTTCTATTTTGGCCTGATCTTGTAAATTTTGTCGCTCTACTGTTGTGAGCGATGGCGTATGGTGAAAGAGCAATGCATACCAAAGAGGGACGTGGGTGGGATTACGTGAGGCGCGTGTGGGACAATTCACGTAGTCACGGGACGCCGCCAAGTCCTGTCTCGGGAAAGAGCGCTGCTCCGCAACTGCACTGCATCATCCATCTTCAGTTCCGACAGAACTTGCGGGCCCACCTCCCGATCCGAGAACACAGCACATCACCTTGAACTCATATTACTGAACTTCCTGTCTGTCCGCTAGGGCCTAGCCTTGACAAATCCGAGCCATGCCAGGCCCCTTCACATCCAAGTCTTTCAGCGCCACGCTGCCCAACTCGCTTGCAGCGCGATACCGTAAATCGCTTCAGAAGCACCCATTCCTACTTTTTGGGCTGCCGTTCCTCACTACCATGGTGGCGGGGTCTTTCATGCTGACACCCGCCACGGCACTGCGATACGAACGATATGACCGCAAAAACCAGCAGATCACACAAGAGCAAGCAATGGGCCTCAGAGGGGAGCGGAGAAAGGTCAACATGCGTGATGAATACTACGTATGTACAGTATCGATATAGGATTTCAATGGCTTGAGCTGACAAATTTGCAGCGGTTGCAAGCGAAAGATCTTGAGGACTGGGAGCAGAGGCGTGTTAAACGACTACCCGGCGAACCGGACGGCACGCTTGTATAAGCCTCTTCCTCAAAACGCATTAAATTCGCATACTCACAGTCGGACTTGGAGATGCAACATTGCTGCTTGCACAGCATGCCATCTCACAGCCACGCTCACCTTGGTTTCTGGAATACACGATCGTGATAGTAGAATATCGTGAAATCATCACAAAAAGTTCGGCTCACTTCGAATTCTTCCAGTAATTCATTGTCGTAGAGAATGAGAGAGATAGGGGATTTGTTTTGCAAGAATTATGTGTTGAAGCACATACTAAAGTGGTTGCGCTCCCAGATTATGAAGAACGGCAAGCGATGAGAATAGCTATGCGGCCAGTTGAAAAGGGTTGGCAGTTTGGGTTTGCGCAAGGACGAAAGAGTACGCGTTTGAAGACTGGTTCTCCTTTGTCGAAGTGAGATTAAGTATGGATTGGTTATTGGGATCCAGGCGCTAGGCTGTTGAGCTATGAGTCCTTGTTCGGTTGTATGCATACAACACGCCCAAGACTGGCGGATCGTGATGATGCAACAATGGCCTTCGCCTTCTAGGAGATGAAACCGCAAACGGATGTTCAATGCCCGGATCGCTTACAGGGAATGTAGTCACCAACAAATCTGCGATAAGTACATAGACTGATATGATTGTCAATGGTATTCCAGGTTATTCTATCTACTACCTCTTCAGCATGAACTCACGCGACAACTATAATTCGCGGTTCCGGATCCAACCATCGCAATATGTACAAGCTAGTGAAGCAACATTGTACGCCGATATAGACCAATAGGATCCTCTTACCATCCTATCAAAGATACAAAGACAAGGCTATGAGCATAGCATGCAACAATATGACTAAACGAAATGAGAACAGGTATATGCCGGATATGCGTGAAAACTCGTAAGCAGCCGAGTGGGAAAGCGCCATAAACACCACAACATAAGATGTACCCAGTGCTTGCATGTAAGGGAAAAGAAAACAAAGGAATCGTAGTCCAGGATGCAGCCCTCGCTCTAGGGATAGATGAAATAATGAAAAAGCTTATACCAAGCGCACATTGCTTAACTAAACATCCACTGACAGTGGCAGGCGTCTAGTGGGTCGGCACGTCTCTGCATTTCAGAAGGGCTTTGACGTTTGTCCTTATTTGATGGGGCATTGCTGGGCTGAGCAGCAAGGAACTCTTCGTAGCTCGGATCTGCCTCTTGCAACCATATTCTGATTGGACTATCGTTTGGACCTGGTGCTGTCGTAATCTCTCCATTGTCTAGTAGAACCATCTGTTGACAGTACGGTTGTGGCGAGTCGGCGAGGCGGCGCTCCTCAATCTTGACAGTACGCGGGTAAGGTGGCATACGCGACGGAGGATCATCGGAGGACGTATCTCGTCGACTGACACGAGCAGAAGCAGACGGGGTTGGCTTAGCAGTCTCCATTATATCCACTGAAACAGTGTCTGTTGTTGTTGCCGTAACGGTCATGGCCTCGATGGAGACGGTTTCCAGGGTGGAAGGGGTGGGGGTAGGCCATTCAGTAGGAAAAGACGTAAATGAGGCTGCCGTCGAGTTGTCCTGCACGTAGATATAACCCTCAATATATGTGTCATTCCAGTAACAATACCAGGGAAAGTCACCAGGTTTCACCTCGAATCGTTGCCTATATTTTACGTCTTGTCGTGTCGTGAATGCTGACCCAAGGTTGAGTTGCTCTGGTGGCAGGATGACCAGTTTGTCATACCGAGCAGAAAAATGGTAAGCCGGGCCATAAGCCTTGAAATCCAGGTCAAGCACGAGGCTGAGTGGCTTCTTGTCTAGCGTGGGGGTTTGGAGGCCATAGAGGATAGTTCCCTTTGGTACAGAAGGACCAGCGCCCATGGATGCTACCTGTATGGTATCGCCATCCACAGTAGTTTCGTTGACTGTTATAACGAGGGGAGCAAAGGTCATTTTGCACGACCATGCAGAGTATTGATTTGCTTGAGTTAAACATCCTGGAGTACTCTCTTGCGGCATGCCCATAGGAAGTGCGAAAGGCCCTGTGGGTATTGAGGCCATACCAGAGGGGGCCGAGATAGGGACAGCGTCAAAAAGAGATCCGTTTTGACCAGTGACCTGCGGTTGGCTACTCAAAGTCAGCAAGTGGGAATTGTCAGATAGCTAATGACTTACGCTTCCTCATGCGGGTGACGATTTCCCTCCTCATTCTCGTCAGTGATTTGTTTCTTCGTAGCAATGGTACCGATTACAGCTCCGAGGGCGATGGCAAGGATTATGGTAGCTATTAGAATTGCGAGGGCAAGGCCCATTGGAACTTTGCCCCATAACTTCCTCTTCCGCCAAGGTGTTTTCTCATCAGCCAGCTCCGATTTCTCCAAAAACTGGTTCTCATTCGCCAACAATGACGCAGATGAAGAGTCTGAAGGTTCAGCTGGTATGGTGTGGTTGCTTGATGGGGCAGTGGAGGTAGTGGGTGCAACATTGCCGGTTTGAGTTTCTGGTCTTTGAGGTGGCAGACGGGCGGGTGTGACGGAAGGCAAGAGAGGAGCGGCAGGAGTAGCAGCGGTTGAGAGGGAGGATGCAGAGAAGGATGTTGAACCCAGTGGTGACACGGGAGACGGCGGAGAATTGAAAGGGTCTTCTGGATCAACTTGGGCGGGTGCAGGAACTACACGCGACGCGCTTGCCTCGGCAGCCAAGGACGCCTTGGTTGGACCTTCTTCTGGATATCTTGAGTACGGGGGAAGCTGCTCTGTGTGGCCGTCTGGTCCAATGATGTCCTGCTCCTCGCCATCGGGCCCAAGCACTCGGTGGTAGCCATTGTTTAAACCCGGGAATCCAACCGGAATAGCCGATTGTACCGGGGGCGCAGGTGGCCGTGCGGGCTCTTCTGGTGGTTCCTCGTCGACAATTCCACTCTGCGAGTACATGGCATACGGATGAGTGGGCCGTTGTAACGACATGGATCGATGTGGCTGTCGCTCTGTCGAGCTCGTCGCCACACTCAATGGCCGCGCCATGGATAGCTGCGGATACATGCCATATGGGTGGCTGGGTCCGGTCTCAAAAGGGTTTTCCGAGTTGCTTGTTGTCGCAAAAGACGCCGTAGAGCTCACCGAGTCGCGATGCGTATGTCCCAGGGGTGACCGTTGGCTGGATCCCCTGTTGAGCGGCGATCGGCCATCTTGCGTCATGGGATCGTGTACTTTAGCGGTGCTGTTCCGCGTAGCCGTCCTCCGCAAATCTGTGCTGTTGGGTTTTGACGTGGACGTCTGTCGTTGCGGTTTAGCTATCCGGTCGTGGTCCTGACGGTCGCTGTGCCACGTCTCGGTAGTGTTGGCTGGCCGAAAGCCGTCCGAAACTGAGGGCATGAAGTCATCTTCGCTCGGATCGATTTCGTTATCATCATCGAAAACATCGGGTTCGCTCGAGCGCCGCGATGGCTCGTTATCGTCACTGTTGCGTCTATCCATGGCGCTGAACGGTCGTCCCTGAGAGCCACAGAGGCTCTGACCCCCCTGCCGGATCTCCCAAGCAGCGATTCAAGCTTCTCTCCGTGAAATTCTGGTAGTAATGGCGCGCTCGGAAGCGATCGGTCGTGTGCGGATAGCGAATGTGGTGCGGTTTTTGGTGTGTGTCGTGTCGTGATGTTGGGGCTGTGTGCGGAGAGAGGGCGCATCGGGCAGGTTTGGAACTTGGAAGTCTGAGACGCCACTAGTCCCAAACCGGCCGCTTAGCACGAACACCCAGTCCTGTGCCTGCATCATTCGACAAGGCCGCGAAACTGAGGACACATGCCTTTGCCAGCCCCTCTCCCAAATGCTATAGCGATTGCCAATGTCTTATTTTCGCTACACATACACGCAATGGCACATTTCCGCCTGCTTGCTTGAAATCACTGAGATTACTCGGTCCCGGGCCCAACAAGTACATGGGGGGCATGCCATATGTGCACTGCTGCCTCAACAGACTCTTCGCTTGCAAAGTTCAGAGGCTACTCGCAATACACAGCTTTGTCGAGTGAGTGCGATGGTTTTGTGCTGACATACAATGTATATGTACAGTACATACACTACGGTGACGGATGGACATATATATAGACATATATGCATGTACATGGGTGGCGAATGGTGGCACTCCGGACGTGCGCTTCATGACTTCTGCATATTTAACAGCCTCCCCATGTGCAGCACGCCATTGAAAGGCGATACAGTGTGTTGGGGTACAGTGTTCGCATTGTTTCACGTCGGTCACTTTCTTGATTAGCATTGCGGTCTTACCCGGTGCATTCTGCCTTAGTGGGGTGCAGGCCGTTGCCACCCTGTCCCTGTTTTCAGTGTACTAGTGATTCTCGAGTTCATCACTCCTCATTGTCTACTATACTTTTATGCAAACAAAGATGTATGTGTACTCAAGATAATAGCAGAACGACTCATGTGCATATGTGCGATGGATTTTCATCATAATGTTGCAACAGACTGACGGATCGAGATCAGAAGGGATCTTATATGGATGCTGCTTGGTGTTGGTGATGTGCGGTGCTGGTTGCGCTGGCAGCGCTTGTGCACTGTGCGCACAATGGATCCCGTCGGTGTACATTTCATCCGCCACTTTTATGGAATTACTGCTTCCGTAACATCTGCTCAACACTCATAGTACATCAGTGACAGTCTACACAAGGTCAGGATGAGTGCTTTTCAGGTTGAGTGGATGTATATCGGCAATTGCCTGATGCTTTGACCATCCGATAACCATATTTACCCTTCCTGGACGATTTCCTATTGCCTTAATCTGTTTCGGGGAGAAAGCCGTCGCAGGACTACGTCCAACTCCGATGACATGTACGTCGGCCATCCGGGAAATGCTGCTACATGCTGGCTGTTAGACTGCAACTGGATGCGACTGGATGCAGCTGGACGTCTCGCTTACGAGCAGCCGTGTTATGCGGGCTGTGAGGCTACGTGCTAGCCGACTACTATTGCAGACAAGCTTCGTAGGATTAGAGGGCTGTTCGGTTCCCGAAGTAGGTGGTCTCGAACAGGTACCTGTTGTCTCTGGTTGCTTACAGACCTGGACCTGGTTACAGGTGTGGCTACATGCTTGACAACTTAGACAGTACATGGCGTGGCTGGCGGCAAATCCCCGAATGCCAAGCACATATCTGATAAGCTGTCGGGTAGTTTTGCTCCCTCGAAACGCCTTGCCCTGAGTGTTGGTGGCACGACAGCAACTCTGGCCGAAAGGGGGTGTCAAGAAAAAGAAAAAACACTCGTCCTTCTCGCAGCGTCAGTGACGCAGACGAGGGCGCTGGCAAAGGAGCCGCATGGTTTCTTTTTTGGAGAAACCCCGCAACAGGACAGCGACGTTGATGTTCCCTGTAAGACCCTTGAAACTTTGTTGTGAAAATCCGCCGACAACAATGACAGCGCGTGGGCCGTCGACGGGGTTAACAGCCAAAGGCCGCATAAATTCATTACTCGCCCCCTATCGAGCCATGCTCTTGACCTCTTGCTAGCATTGCCACATCCGGATCGCCGCTATTACTGTTGGGGCCCTTTTCCACTTTACGCGTAGCATCCTCTTCCTTCAACTACTTAAACCAGCGGTGTGAACTCCCCTCTTTTCTGCCCACACAATCTCTTCCTACTCCATCCCCACCACGTCAAAACACTGCAACCATGGCTGCTCGTCCCTCCAACATCGGCATCAAGGCCATTGAACTCTACTTCCCCAGCCAGGTACACTACTTCCACTCCCTGCGCATGCGACAGGCCTCCTCGCCCCGTCACGCGTCCAGATTGCTGCAACACCCGCTAACCAGTCTCTCTGCAGTGCGTTGACCAGACTGAGCTCGAGAAGTTCGATGGCGTCTCCGCAGGCAAGTACACTATTGGTCTCGGCCAGACCAAGATGTCCTTTTGCGACGATCGCGAGGGTGAGTTGTACCATTCCTGCCCTTTGGCATTACTCGTTCCTGGACACAAGACTGATCTTCCACCTCCAGACATTTACTCTCTCGCCCTGACCACCGTCACCTCCCTCTTCAAGAAGTACAAAATCGACCCCAAGGACATTGGCCGCCTCGAGGTCGGCACGGAGACGCTGCTTGACAAGTCCAAGTCTGTCAAGTCCGTTCTCATGCAGCTGTTCGAAGAATCTGGCAACTACAACGTTGAGGGTATCGACACTGTCAATGCATGCTATGGAGGAACAAACGCCCTTTTCAACTCGGTCAACTGGATCGAGTCGTCGGCATGGGACGGCCGTGACGCTATCGTCGTCGCAGGAGATATTGCGCTTTACAAGAAGGGTGCTGCCCGCCCCACTGGTGGAGCTGGATGCGTGGCCATGCTCGTTGGTCCCAACGCGCCCCTCGTCATGGATGCCGGCCAACGCGGTTCTTATGTTAGGCACACATACGACTTCTACAAGCCTGACCTTAAGAGCGAGTACCCCATCGTCGATGGTCATTTCTCCCTTCGCTGCTACACTGAGGCAGTAGATGCCTGCTACAAGGCTTACAACGAGCGCGAGAAGACTCTCAAGGCACGCCAAAATGGCAATGGCGTCAACGGAAGCAGCCACGAGCTCGAGACTCCTCTGGACAGGTTCGACTACATGGCTTTCCATGCGCCAACCTGCAAGCTTGTCGCCAAGTCATACGCACGTATGCTTTACAACGACTACCTTGTCAACCCCACCAACCCTCTCTTTGCCGAGGTTCCCGCTGAGCTCCGCGACCTCGACTATGCCACTTCCATCAGCGACAAGACTGTCGAGAAGACATTCATGGGTCTTGCCAAGAAGCGCTTCGCTGCCCGCGTCCAGCCTAGCATCCAGGTCCCAACCGAGTGCGGCAACATGTACTGTGGCAGCGTCTACGGTAGCTTGTGCAGTGTACTCGCCAATGTCAACAGCCAAGATCTGCAGGGCAAGCGCATTGGCCTGTTCAGCTACGGAAGTGGTCTGGCCTCGTCCCTGTTCTCCTTCACTGTCAGGGGCAGCACCGAGAACCTTACTAAGCAGCTTGACATTCACAACCGCCTTGCCAACAGGCGCGTAGTAGCCCCCGAGGTTTACGATGAGGTGAGTTTGGACATGCTATGAGATTGTTTTTGAATTGTATGGCTAACTATATCTGTAGATGTGCAACCTCCGTGAGCAGGCCCATTTGCAAAAGGACTACACTCCCAAGGGTAACCCCGAGACCATTTCATCCGGTGTTTACTACCTCACCGGTGTTGACAGCATGTTCCGCCGCTCCTACACTATCAAGGAGTAAACTGCATGTTTGCCGTACGATATACCCCTCTACCACGACTTGTTTTCTGCCTCCGCTTGCATTTTGAGCATTTGCAGAAGTCATTTTTATGATTCGGTTTAGACTCCAAAGGTTCTGTCATTTTGTTCTCGGCGCATGGAATTGGAACCCCACCTAGTAGCTTTGCTGAGTTATGGTGCTGTTTCACAAACATTACGAAGGACGAAATGATGGAAAGGGAATTGGCATGTATATTGTATGGTCCTCTCTATGAGCGTCCATACAATGTACTGTTTTTATTTAGGTTCCTTACTGAAGCAACTATGCTATAGATATAATAATACTACGAAGTTTACCGAGACTGCTCATGTTTATATTTGTTATCAGAAAAAATGCAAAAGAACGACTAAATATACCGACATCGGCACCAACTCAACAAAACTGGGTCCTCGTCTCCTGGGGAACAAAGTTCCCGGTACTACAAAAGGACTTGTACTTCATACAGTTAGCCGCACCATTTACCTGCAATTTTTTTTAGTCTTGTATACCTGCAAATACTACTTGAAAATATAGCGAAGACGATGTGTATATGAAGCTATTGTTCTAATGGTGATGGATTTATATTGTAAACCTTGAGAAGCTGCTAAGTTTCCGGCGCATTATCGATCTTTGTAAGGCAAAGTCCCGGGGATTTTGTCTACCAGGTGCCCCCTCTTGGGAGCTGTTGTGTCATGCCACTACTACTTCTTCTTGGGGCATAGCTTGTGTTGAGTATTGATGAATGAATCGTACCTCGGCCCAAACCTCAAAGCTCCGCGTCGCGATTACCGCCCCGCCTGCCACCCCGGGCTTCCGACACCACCTGAGCTTTAAATACTTTCAATCTAAAGAAACCACTGACATTTAGCATTGCGCATTGCGGCTAGGAAAGTTCCTGACATTAAGACTCCACTACCATTTACACTACATACCTTTTTTCCACCATGGGCAAAGAATTGGGACCTGGTGTCGGCTTCGAGTTTCCTCCAGTTCAAGTATCATGGCTGAAGCGCGATCTTTTGCTGTTCGCACACAGCATTGGAGTTACATACCCAGATGAGCTGCATTTCCTCTATGTAAGTCAATTTAGCCCAGCATCTCTCTAGTCAATGCTACCGAACTATTGAGAGTGTACATATGTTGTATTACGGAAAGAACGAGCTTTAACAACCATGCTAGGAACTCCATCCTTCCTTTGCTGCCTTCCCCACGTATCCCGTTATTCTCCCGTTCAAGCACACCGACCAGGAGGTCATTGATTTCTATGCGCGCAGCAACTCGGAGCCGATTGAGGGCGTGCCCAAGTTCGACACCACGCACGTGCTTGATGGTGAGCGCAAGATGCAATTCTTCAAGAAGCTTCCCGTCAGCAGCGAGGGTCGCAAGTTCGAGGTGCGAAGCAAAGTGCTAGGCGTGTACGACAAGGGCAAGTCAGGCACGGTTGTAGAAACCGAGCAACGCCTTGTTGATGCCGAAACGGGAGAGACGTACACCCGAGCTGTTGGAAGTGGATTTTACGTCGGACAAGGAGGATGGGGTGGTCCCAAGGGTATGTCAAACCAAAACCAAACTATCTTCCCATCATTTGTCATCATCGGAGAACGCAAGTACTAACAAATGAACCCTCATGCAGGCCCCAAGGTCCCCAACTTCCCCCCTCCATCCCGCAGCCCCGACTACACACACATCCACCAAACCACGCTGGAAACCCCGCACCTCTACCGCCTAAATGGCGACTACAACCCGCTGCACGCAGACCCTGAGCCCGGCAAGAAAATGGGCTTCGGCGGCCCCATCATCCACGGCCTCTTCTCCTGGAACATGGCCGCCCATGCCATCCTCAAAATTTTCGGCGCCAGCAAGCCCGAGAACCTGAAAGAGTTCCAGGCGCGCTTCGCAGCCCCGGTCAAGCCGGCTGACAAGCTGATTGTCGATATGTGGCGTACGGGAGATAAGGATGCCCAAGGCGCAGAGGAGATAAGGTTTACCGTCAGGGTTGACGGCGGCAAGACGGTGCTGACGAATGGCCGGGCCCTGGTTAAAGTTGAGGGTGAGGCCAAGCCCAAGTTGTAAAGTAGTAGTGGTAAGCGAGGAGGGGGGATTGGCAGTTGTTGTTGTTGGGAGAAAAGGTTTGGCAAGGTCGGGTTTTTTAAAGACAAATAAAGTTGATTAACAAAATGCAAACAATTCAGATGCAAATTATCATGGTTTCCTACAAATTTTGCACTTTGCTTCGACTTTTCTTTTTTTTGTTCTGCATACAACGTCGAATCATGCTTTCAATTCATTCCAAGAAATACGTTCCGAGTAACATGGTAGTACACATTTTGTACGAGTTAGGCTAGATCCTCCGCGCCTTGGTACCTTTTACACTTACGTTCTTCTCTTACTACACAAGTTTGATCCATCTGATAAGATGAAGAGATCAGTACTGTACTTTCACGTGCGGGAGGGGGGCCGCATTGAGACTAGCGGCAACATGTTTACTCAACAATATTGATGGTTATGACCGGCACCGGTGAAGACTAAGCAAGGGAAAGCACGAAAAAAACGTAATACGAAGAAAAATTGCATCAACTCCTTGGCTTCTTTTTTTTATGAGCATGTAAATTACATCAAAGTATTACACCACTGAGAAGAAAAAAAAAGGCAAAGACATATTTCTCTAATTTTCATTGATCTTGCATTTTAGTTACAGATGTATGTATAAGCAGCCTAGCCCATATCCATGCCCGCCTTTGTCTGTTCCATGACGATGCATATTGTATGAATTGACTTGTGAGTTTAAAAATATATAAACGACTTGCACAGAAGCGAGAAAAAAAAGAAAGCTTACGAGTTTAATGCACGGCAATAGCAAAAATAAAAAACATAATCGCATAAAGCCTTGGACTCGACACCACACCATTTAACAAACAAAACTCCCATACACACGGAAAAAGCGAAAGCAATGCAACCGCGCAATGCAAATCCCATGCCCCGGCAAAAACGAAAGATGGTGTACGTGTCGTAGTGCGTAGGTTTTCACTACCTGTAAAAATTCATTCTGGAAAATCCTGGAATCGTCGTGGATCATGGAGTGGACACAGTGGTCCCTGACTGTTGGAGGTTACGCGAATTGTACCTCTGTAGCCACTGGTTGCGTTGGCAGCAGCAGCAATTGATGGAGCATATTAATCAAAGACTTGAAAGTAGTTCAAGTCTTTGTTGTAGGGAAAGCTCTGGGTATCCAAGAAGAGGCTCGTAGCAATAAGACTGCCTTGAACTAATAAAACAGAACAAGACAGCAACTTTTGTCGGGTCGTAGGAAGGAAGTGCTGTAGAAGAATCATAACGGTAGAAAAAAAGGACGAGACCATTATCTGATGAGAGGCTCATCAGACGTCAAACTGGCCGTGGTTGAAGACATCGTGCTCGTTGCTGGCAACAACGCCAGACATCCTGTCGCCACGCCCTGCTGGCCTGTCCCAGTTGACATCATCCGTATCATCGTCCATACGTTCCATGCCTTCGCTCCTGTGTCTATCATGGCCAAATTGTTGCTCCATTGTGCTCTGGTCTGTGAAGGTGAAACCGGCAAAGTTGGCTTGCATCGTTGGCGAGAGTGGCGTGGATGCCGAGTTGACACCTGAAGCCAGAGCAGCAGCACGTGCATTCAGGGAACCAGCACCGTTGAGAGCGTTGGTGAACTCGGGATCGAAGTTGGACACGTCAAGCTCTCCCTTGAGTTTGGGCTTGAACGGAGGCACAACGTTCTTCTTGGCCAGAGCGTCCCAGTCGATATCAGCAAAGAAGGGGTGATCCTTCAACTCTTCCGCATCGCGTGTAGCGCCGAGTCTGTGCTTGGGGTTCCTGTTGAGAAGTCCCTTGACGAAATTCCTACCTTCTGTGCTGAGGGCGTCGCGAGGGAACCTGACTTTTCCGAAAGCAATGTTCTTGTACATTTGCTGGGTATCTTCTGCGTAGAATGGACTCCAGCCACAGCACATTTCGAAAACTAGCACACCGAGAGACCAGAAGTCGACCATCTTGGTGTAGCCGTGCTCATCCAAGAGGACCTCGGGAGCAAGGTATTCGGTAGTGCCGCAGAATGTGTTGGTTGTGGCGTTCTCGGTGAGGTTGGCCTTGGACAGACCAAAATCGCAGAGTGCGATATGACCGTTTGCATCCAGAAGGATGTTCTCAGGCTTGAGGTCTCGGTACACAATGTTGTGTTCGTGGAGATGCTGCAATGCGAGGATGAGCTCTGCAATGTAGAACTTGGCACGTGCTTCCTGGAAACGACCTTCTCTCTGGAGATGCCAGAAGAGCTCACCTCCAGACATGTAGTCGGTTACAAAGTACAAATCTGAAGGAGTCTGGAAAGAGAATTTGAGCCCGACAATGAAAGCCGAATCAGCCATGGCTGTCCGAACGAGAATGTTGCGTTCTCCAAGTGTATGTGCCACCTCCTTCTTCTGTACAATCACCTTCTTCGAAAGGACCTTCATGGCGTAAATTCGGCGAGTGTCTCGCTTGCGGACCTGGAAGACCTGGCCAAAAGTACCCTTTCCAATAAGCTTGAGAATTTCGAAATCTTCTGGGCCATAGTGCTTCTTTTCGACCTTTTGGAAATTGAGCTTTAAATGGATTTCTCCAGTAACAACGCCGCCTTCGCCTTCTCGAGGCTCCAGTGGGAACCAGCCATCGTAGGGCTCGTTATATTCAACAAGGTTTGGACAGAAGCGAACATGGCCGAGGAAAGCCTCGCCGTTGGCGCGATCGTAGACTGAGACGTCGACTTCTGCATGGTCTCCAACAACATCACTTGAAGCTGTTAGGCTCGGAATCTACAAAAGTGAAGGGAAAAAATATCGCCACTTACAAAATTGCTTCGTGTCCCCACTTGGGGGCGGTGACTTCTTCGAGAGAGCCATTGTCCCTGGGGTCTGAGCTGTGGCCACTGTTGCTGCTCTGTCGGCTCTTCATTGGGATAGCCATTGGGTGGTTCATTTGGCTCTCTGTTCGCTTCATCTGCATGGGTGGGCGGCCCTTCTTCGAGTCATCGTGCCTGGGGCCATCTGAGATATACTCGGCCCATTGGAATTGGCAGACGACATAGGGGTCTACACTGGGAACGAGGCCCCTTCCTTCAGAGATTGTGACTGCGAGCTTGCCTTTTGGGGCGACGACGGGAGCCGTCTTGCTTTCCTTGGACTGGTCTGACGCATTGGAGGTGCGAGACAGGTTCGAGGGCTGCGGCTTGGTTTCTTGCGAGCGTGTGCGAGGAGTCTGAGGAGGGGTAGCCTGTTGCAACGGCGCAAAGTCGCCTTGCGTTAGCTTCTCCGTTTCACCAGCCAACTGTGAGGCTGAAGGAGTTCGGGAAGAGGCACTAGGGGTGGGGCTAGGCAGCATTTTGGGTTGGGTAGATGACTCTTTTTGCTCTTTTTCTTGGGGTTCCGACGGTGCAGGCTCGAGATGGTTCTGTGCAGAAGAAGTGACGGGTGCGGGGGAGGGGCTTGCCGCTGACAACGACTTCCGCGAGGGCATAAGAGAATCACGAACCTGACCAAAGTAACTATGCAGAATACCCGGCAGTCGTTTGTCCGTAGGATCGGGCTTGGGTGTCGTGGCACCGGGTGGCGTGGAGCTGGTGGAGCCGATCTGGTCGTGTCCGTCGTCATTATTTTCGTTTGTTGCTCTGTGGTGAGTCAGCAATGGAGAAGACGACATCATGTCGCATCAAGTTAAAGGGCGGTGAGTGCGTGTCGGGGCGGGAGCAACGTGGTGGTGTGAGGGCTGCGGCCATGGCCACGAGTCGCTGGGCCGATGGCGAAGAAATAGTGTGCAACGTTGGACGGGGACGTTGCTCAGCTGCATCTGACCAGCTCAGATGCTAGGCTTTGCTAAGCGACGGGGATAGCTCTGGGGTGGCGGCCCAAGGCTGCACACACCCAACCAGCACGGCGAGGGCGGCGAGGGCGAGATGGGGGAAAAAGGGCAAAGCAGGGCGTGCTTACCGTGTCATTGCCTGTCGAAGCAGGTCGGCAGCGCCAGAGGACGTGGTGCCGGCGTGGGAGGCCATGGTGGGTGGTTGGCGGGTCGAGGGTGCAGTGCCGACGTTGAGGGTGGAAAGGGTCGGGACAAGACTGCTCGACTTGTTGCGGATGTGATGGCGGGGTTGGATGGTCTTTGTGGAAGAGTCGGAGGTGCGCGAGACTAGTCCGGGACGGTGCGAAAGGGCATCTACAGCTGGGCTCTTTGGGCGGATCTTGGAGGCGGCAGTGGAAGGGGTGATGGTGGCTGTGGAGGAGGAGGAGTAGTAGGAGGAGGAGTTGTCACGGAGGCTGGCGCGAGAGGGGCTGCTGCTGAAGGTATCGCTGGCCGGGGACGCTGAGAGCGAAGTGGGCGCCGGGTCCGCAGGCGGGCGTGAAGTCATAATAATCAATTGGAACCTGGCTCGCTGCTCCGAGCGGCCTTGGCCCTAAACAAGCGCGTTGCAACGACTGTGCGAAAACTCTGCTCTAGGACGTCTTTAACGGGGCAAGCAGTCCGAGTTTGTGCAGGCTCGAGCCACGCGGCGGTGTGTAAGGCGCGGGTAGGGTTGGGGAGAGGTGAGCGGGTGTGCGTGTGCAGTGAGTGTGCCTTGGAAGAGCCTGAGGAGTGGGTTCGGGTACAGTTGGCAGGAGACAGGCTGCAGCATCGACACGGCCGTGTCAGTGTGGTGAGTGATTAGCGTGCGGGAGCAGCGATGCAGACAGACGGGCGATTGATAGCAGCGTCGTCAGAGGGCGCTGCAGATTGCAGGTGATTGCAGATTGCGGATTGCAGACGACGGGCGGAGGAATCGATAGTACTACGGGGATGGATGGATGGGCGGAACACAGAAAGCAGATGGATAGATAGGCAAGGCGTTGCGCTCGTTATTGACCGTAGCCCATTGTTCCCTTTCACCGCGGGCACGTTATCCGACCGGTCAACTAGGGAGGCTTGCTAGATTTGATATGCTGCTACTACCAGTACACTACTCGTACTGCTGCTCGTCCCCCTCTACCAATGCATTCACTTCGGGGCGCTGGTGGCGGAGCCTTGGCCACGAGCCTCTGCAGCGCTGCACTGCACTGCACCACCACTGCCGCAACGCCTGCCGCTTGTCCTCGGCCCTTTGACCGCCACCCACCACCGCCCCAGTGCTGTCATCAGTCACTCACACCCTTCATCCACTTGCACTTGCACTGTCGGTCGCCGAGAGATGGGCGCAAGCTGGAGCCAAATGATCCAACTAGACATGCGTGTTAGAGGCAGCAGCAACTAAGTAACAGCAACCGCACCAGTACTGCACACTACCACCAACGACCCCCCCGTTGCCGTCTACGTATGGACATGACACGCCCGTCGTTGACCCGTTGGGGGTGCGTGGGCCAAGCAAGCTGCCGTGCGCTGACGTCGTCTCTCCACCGCAGTGCGCCTTCACGGCCGGCAGCAGATTGCAGTCCCTGGCTAAGATCTCGGAGCAAAGCGATTCACTGCCAATCACCGCCTCCACCTGCCCGTGTCTGGTGGAGCCCGAATACCCTCACATTTTCTGCTCAAGCCAGCCGCTGCGTCAAGCGCCCAGCCTGTCGTTTGAAGAAAAGACGCAGCCCTCAGCCCTCAGGTGCCGCCCGATAGCGATAGCGATAGTGCCATGGGTAGTGCACGTAGTCTCTGATAGACAGCCGACCATGGGACCGGTGTAGTCCATTTGCTTCCGGCAATCGGCAGCTTCACGTGAGCCCTGACTCGCAGACGCCCTCACTGCCACCCATGGTTGACCTCTCTCGTGTGTGTGTGTGTGACTCCCTCTCCCCTCGTGCGTGTATGTAGTAGTATGTAGTACTAACCATGTACTACTAGTAATTATGTGGTGAGCACACTGGCTGGTGACAGCCTGCACTCCCGCACGCCCGCCAATCAGCGCCATAGCCATCCACGCCGTCGGCCAAACAGCCGGCCCGTGCAGGCGTATTGCATTTCTTAAGTCGAGCTGCACGGCACCCGGGCGCGCGCAGGCTCACGAGCTCAACGCCACAGCAGACAGTAGCACACTGCCCACTTGACCATTATGTCCGACCGCGAGTTTGGCGGTAACGACGATCTGTCGCTGCCAAAGGGTGAGTGCTCCTGGCATGCGCCCGCCTGGCCCCAAACCCTTCACTAACGCGCCCGACAGCGACGGTGCAAAAGATTGTCCAAGATATCCTCGCCAGCGAGCCAGGCATGACCTTTGCCAAGGACTCGCGAGACCTGCTTATTGAGTGCTGCGTCGAGTTCATCACCCTCATCTCGTCCGAGGCCAACGAAATCGCCGAAAAGGACGCCAAGAAGACCATAGCCTGCGAGCATGTCAAGGCTGCTCTCGAGGAGCTTGACTTTGGCGACTACGTGCCCGCCATCCTCGACGTCGCACAAGACTACAAGAAACAGCAACAGGTACGCGCTCGCCAAATACATACATATACCTGTCTTGTCGGAGCTAACGTGGGGCAGAACCGCGAAAAGAAGCAAACCAAGATTGAGCAGAGTGGCATGACCGAGGAGCAGCTCATTGCTGCCCAGGAGGAGCTCTTCAAGAATGCTACGAGCAAATTCAACGCACCCTCGCAGTAATCAGCTGCCTAATCTGACGCATCACTTGTACGAATAACGGACTCAGTTGCATGGCGTTTGGGCGGATATCGAGGGATGCGGGCATGGCGTTTGGGGTAGACCAGGTAGGCTTTCAGCGTATGCAGGCCACCATTTTTCAAATGCATAAGGCTAGGCGTTTTCCGGTGCGATTCGGTGTCGAGCGGGCTGCACCGCAGCCCAGAGACCACCATGACATATTTACCATGATTTTAACTTGTGCATCCATCTGTCCACTGCTCTCTTGAATGCGCGTCGGCTAGTTCTCTGCAACAGGACGAGCATTCGCGCGACCCTTTCGCGACCAATGACGTCGGGGCGCGTGGGCCGCCAAACCCCGCGTAGCCCTGGCCAGTAGCGGCAACCCACCTACACCTTCCCATCTCCCCAAGCCCTACTCCAACCCACGCCGACCCTGCCAACTGTTATACTCCAACTGCACACCATGTCGGGTCTCGAGAATGCGCTTTTCAACCTCAAGGTGGGCATCGGCCGCCTGTCCCTGCTAGTAGTCAGCCCGCTGACCTTGACTAGTTCACAGCCAAGTCGCTGAACCGGCAGGCCCTCAAAGCTGGCAAGGAAGAGCAGGCTGAGAAGACCAAGCTGGAAAAGGTGTGCGCGCACAAAAAGTCTTGCTCCCAGCCAGCAACATACTGACGCGCTCGCCAGGCTATGAAGCAGGGCCACAACGATATCGCACGCATCTACGCCGGAAACGCCATCCGCAAACAGAACGAGAAGCTCAACCTCCTACAGCTCGCCTCCCGCGTCGATGCCGTCGCTGGCCGTGTACAAACAGCAGTTACTATGCGCCAAATCACGGGCAACATGATGAAGGTCAACCGGAGTCTGGACGTGGCCATGAAGTCGATGAGTCCTGAACGCGTATGTAGCCACTACAGTCGCAGCAGGGACCCCCAACGCCCATGCTAACCCTACCCTAGATTGCTGCAGTCATGGTTGATTTTGAGAAACAATTCGAGAACGTAGACTCCGCTACCGAACTCTATCAGGACATCACCTCGTCTGCCACGGCCGTTGGCACCCCACAAGAAGATGTCGACCGCCTCATGGCCCAGGCAGCAGATAAAGCAGGCGTTGACCTACAACAAGACCTGCAAGAGGCCACGCCGGCCAAGACCAAGGTGGGTCCCACCGAGCAGGAAGAGGAGGCTTTTACCGAGAGGCTGCGCGCGCTGAGAAACTGAACCATGGGCAATGATTAACTGAAATGGCTTCTTTGGTGTAAATGGAGTTGGGGTGTCACATATACGAAACGGTTTATGAAAAAGGCTACATTTGATTCTGATACAGCAAGCTGTCATCACTGCAATTAACATTATTCATCAAGTGGACCCTGATTCTCAGTCCCTGCATCTGTGTGCTCCCGCAAACACCACGTCATTCGCACATCTTACCATTTCTTACGACGTACATATATACTACAGTACTCCACATGTTGTGTTTCTGTATGTAACCGCACATTCGGCCCGATCCTCGACTTGGATAGGGAATTTCCGGAACGCAATCGGTCCACTTTGCGTGCTACCGTCTCCTCGTTTGCCAAGAAAAAATACAGAGAAATCATGAGCACTACATCCGCTCAAGTGCCAATATACACAAGGCATGAATGTGACCTTGAAATGATCACCACCACAATATGGCCTAAGAAGTCCCTGCCTCCTTATCCTTCCTCCTCGAACGACCCTCCTCTTCAATCCTCTCCACCAACATATCAGCAAGGAACCACTTCTCCTGACTCGCTTCCCCCATGATCCTGTGACTAGATTCCAGGAACTTCCCCTTGAACAGCGCCCAAAGCTCCTCATCAGCCGCCTCACCAGTCCCCGGCTTGGGATAAAAAGGATCGTTCTTGTAGAAAGCGACGCAAGCCTGCTCAGCGCCCGTCTCATCAATCTGAATCGGACGACAACAGTCAAAGTCGAGAATCCACATGCAGTGAACACCCAGGTACTCCGACTCGAAGGTAGGTGCATGCCCTGCGCGCGGAGGAGCCAGCACAAACTCGACATCATTCGCATCGATTCTCGCACCCCAGTGCATCAGCGCAAGCGCTTCCGCCATGGCTCCCGCATACGCCCTGACGTCCAACCCCAGCACCTCCATCTGATCAACATGCAACGGCACATTACGCAGACTGAAGCGCTGAAAGCGCGATTGACCAGCTCTGTCTTGCCTGTGGCGCCGCCGGCGACCAAGGTACGGTCGAATCAGACAAGCGTCGTCGTCTGGGTTTCCCTTGACAAACTCGCTCAGCGACGTGTTGCCCGCGCAGAAGAGATCGACGAGTTTGTCGCTGGTGGACCGGAGGACTTTGGGGGTGCGCTCCGAGGCTAGGGCTCTGCATGGTGAGTAGCCCGGTGGGAATTGGGCGAGGCTCGTGTGCCACCAGGGGTCGCTGGCTTGGATGAGTCGCTGGCATTGCGGTATGCAGAGGGGCGTGGAGAGGGGCTGGTGCTGCTGCGTGCTCTCGACCACTTTGACATGCATGTTGTAGTCGTTTGTGACGGAGCGGCCTGGTCCGCCGTCTTCGCGCTTGATGGCGGTTTGGCGGGTGCTGTCTTCGAGGGTCCAGACACTGCCGCAGAAGCCTTTGCCGATGCAGCGGTAGCGAGCGTTGGTTTGTTGCATAGTTTTGAATGTAAGCTTGAAGTTTGAGTTCAGCAAGGGGGATTGTTTGTGGTTAAATAGGTGATAGAGAGACTTGCGTTTGGCGGGTTCTCAGCTGTTTGTGCCGTGGTACTGTTGGTCGTTTGCTTCGAGTGTTTACCAATGACGTCTTCGCTATTGTAGGCTGCAGGTGAGAGACATGATTCAGAAACTCACTGTATAGTCACAATCTGTTCAGCCGTTTGCATTTTATGCATTGGCTCAGCTTTGTACCAAGTATGACGTGGCCAGCAGATTGGCTGGTAGTTGATGGGATTCGTAGCGTAGAACTGCTAAATACTGTGGGTTGCATTTATGTCAAACGATTGTCTCCGTGAGCTATACTTTTGGAGAATATCAGAGATATACAGAGCCAAAAGGCGTTGTGGATGAATTCAAGAATCATTTGCAAAAGCTTTGCGTAAGTTCGATCACACTCAAGGAACAAAACCCTGAGACTCACATGTCAGCTTCACTTTGAATATGGTCTATTCAAGTATCTAATAACGACTTTTCCTCCAAAGGGTCAAACCCCAGACGGTTCCAACACGCATTCCTGTGTAACAAGAACCCAGTACAAACCCATCAAAAAATTGTGAAAAAAAAACCTGACCTTCCTTTACCCGCCGAGCACCATCTTCTCACAGCAACTTAACTTGTTGTCTTGAACCGTAAGCTTCAAACCAACCCTCCCTCTCAAACCCCCGAGCACCTTCACCTGGCGAGAAAAAAAATACTGTTACTCCTCTGCAATCTATCCTTCTTGTGCAGTTCCATCACTAAAATTCAGAAAACACACGTATATATTGAAACTAAGTAAAACAAAAGTCCCTGTGGCTTTGTGTGTGCAAATTCTACTAAGAAATATGCGTGAACAAGGGCTTATGTCATCTATCAATCCGAAAGTGTGTGAGTCCTATCGTCAAAAGGTACATAATGACTTTGTCCTTCTGATACAGCACCACGTCCTTCCCGCTACCTTCTTTACACTCATCCCGCGGCAGCCAAAATCACATACGCATCTAGATACCGTGATACTTAATTGAAGCTAGCTGGATCGCATAATCTCGTACATTATCCCCGCAAGATCTCTATGTACCTCTGGGGTTTATATAGCAGCTGCTACTATTGTGCTGGACAACTGGTATAGTAATGAGCGACGAGAACTGTATGCCGAGTATTGCTACAAACTATAGGATTTTGAAGGGAATATGCAGACTTTCAAGAATATGTGATCTATTATTGGGCTTAGAACGAGTGAGCAGGTAGATACAGTCGGGTGAAATGAATATCGATGACATTAGTTTTTGAAACAACTAGACTGTTCCCAGACCGCTAGAACGTGTTTGTGTATTGATCAGCAGAGAACACTCAAAAAAAAAGCGGTGCTAATTTGACGATGAAAAGTCGCGTACCCTGTAAGAAAAAAAAATACTGTTTAATTTCCACCCTACTCAGCTTACATCTTGCAATGAAGTCGATCAACAACTTCGTCCCTTGATCCAAACGCTTCAACACCCATCCTCTCCAAATCGCCGACAGAAGTCTCACCTTCCGATATACCCATGTGCCCCATACAGTGGGCGACATCATCACTCACCATATAAACGAAGTGACACACGCACGGCTGCGTAGTTGGGAGGAATGCGGTCGATGTGGGTCATACGGGTATGGCAACAAAGATCAACCTAAAAGTGACAAGTGGTTAGATGATTGATTTTCCTTTTAAGTAGAATATGATAGGTCGGCTCAAGGACTTGGTTGGGTCCTGTTACTACTGTGAAGTAGCACAGAAATTAGGACATGAACTGTTTCGACTTTAGAGCATGAGACTGTGGTAGGAGTCTAAGGGAGTTACTGCTTATAATTGTCCTTAAAAAAATTCGACCAAAGATGTGGTAGATGATGATAATGACGATGTGTAATTGTAACAAGTCTTGATGTTTCCAAGGTGAAGTTGACATGGACAGGAGACGATCTTGTAATGTTCCCAAAAATATTACATACCACAGTTGAGCGAGAATAGCCAACCACAATTTCCACGACTTACAGATCGAGCAATTCCTACAAATTATCGAGCACCGTATTGCTTATATGTCCATTCTCTTTTCAGTAGCCACCACATGTGTACCACAAGGTGGATATGACGATGCACAGACCACATCGCTTACCGATTCGCACGCGATGATCGAAAAATACGTCGAAAGCAAAAAAATCCGACCAATTTACACGTTTCCTGTACATTTGACGTGAGGTTTAAACAGTCGCAAAGTTTTGTCGTTGTTCGCTGACACTGTCCCTAAAGCCGACCCTTCCCCCCCCTCCCCCCAAACCGCAAATCTTTGCCACAATGGAGAACGAACGCGGAGAACTCGTAGACCTGTAAATAATCCTTGGCCCCGGTGAATAAGCCAGACTGGACATGAGTAAAACTGATACTTCTGGCAGCTACATCCCACGCAAGTGCGACGCCACCAACCGTATCATCCGCCCCAAGGATCACGCTTCTGTGCAGATCGCCATTGCCAATGTTACAGCTGAAGGCCGCGCAATCCCCGGAGACAACAAGTCGTTTGCCCTCGCTGGCTTCGTCCGCGCAATGGGTGAGGCTGACGACTCGTTGAACCGCCTGGCTCAACAGAGTGGATATCTGGAGAAGGTGTGGAACGCTGTCAAATAAGGGGAAAAGAAAAGAATGAGAAGGAAAAAAAAATCAGATTGCGAAAAATTGGTTGAAAAATGTCACGATATGATCGAAACGAGGATAGATGGTATTTTGGGCTCCCGGCGTATAGGATTGTAAAGCAAGTCAGCTACTGGAGAGCATGAAAAGGCTAGACAGCGTCCAAGTCTTGTAGACGACTCTGCGAAAATGCAGACTAGAATTTACTTCTTAAGTTCAAGGTCCTGAGAGGGTCCATTTGCTTTGTGCGAGGCTTTCTGCTTCCAGCTCTTTTTGGCCTGCGGTGTATTCCTTACATGCCCAAAATCTCTTGGCGTAGTATTATGTCGAGGTATTTTTTTCTGATGGGAGCTGCCTGTGTTGATTGTGCGGGGATGATAAAGGGTTATTAGTGCTTTGGATAAATATGCATCTCTGACCCTCTGCGCAGTGTTCAGTACTTGTCTATGGTAGTGCTGTATACATGGCGGTACGCGTATTGGGTGAATCGGCATTCCGGCTCTTGCATATCTTAGGGCGTTCCTGATTAAGGAAATGGGCACCGACTAATGGGCTCAGCCTGATGTACGTGGCATATTTTCCGCATGATTGTGGCGAGTGTTGAGAGACAATTGGCTATGGTTAAGACGGATAACTGGCATGTGGAATGAGCAAAGTGGGCCCAAGAAACGAGGAACTTCGCCCTGCTGATCACAACAAGTCTATCATGAGAGCTAGTAAATGCCAATGGGGAGGTTGGGTCGTGGAGATGTGGAGTGATCGCCTGTTGGGTTGGATACAACTATGCGTATGCGTATTCACGACTTGGAGGCCCAGACTACTGGCTCTTACCAGGCCATCGGGAGAGAAGCCGATTGTAGTAAAGTGTGCATCTTACTGCAGGAGACTAGCGAATGCAACGGTAAGCGCGGCGCCTGAAGATAGAGAATGCATCAACATGGCAGCGCCTCGGCAGCACATGATGCTAGGGTGCAAATCTAGAAGCGAATCGTTTTGCGTAATATCAAAACCCAAACCTGATACACTGGTGCTCGTTCGCAGCCACAGTTGCTCAGCTGTTGGCAGACAATGGTGGACGGCAGAGGGCGGACGGGCCGCCTGTCGTCGTGATTCAACTCGCGGAACATTACACCGAGGATTAGAATATAGGCGTTGGCGGCACCTGTTCCGTCCGGGATGATGGATCGCTACCGTCGCGAATAATGGATCGCTACCGGCGCAGACGGACGCACTACGAAGAACAGCTTGGTGTATTCCGCTAGGGGCTAGGGTGGCTTTGGGTGGCGTACTGTCAAACCTGACGACAAATGATGGGGTAATGGAGTAGTCCCATGTGCGATGGGACGAAGGTGGACAGGCACAATATGTACAGCAGCATCTTCGGTATGCTTATGGCGAGCACAGGAGTCTTTTGTAGCGGTAATTAGCTGGACTACTGACGGTGGGACCGCCAGTGCTTGTGGGCGGGGGGTCATGCGCGGTGTAGAAATTGCTCTACTGCTGGGAGAGAAGAACGTCCGGGGAGAAAGTGTGGGAAACCCCTGCGAAACAAGCTTCAGCGGGGCCGGATAAATTCAGTCGTGGTGCGGGGATGGGGTAGCGTGGGTAGCGTTGGCTGGGGCTCCGCGACCGGGGCTGTGATAGGCGGCTCTGGGCCAACACGACGGCTAAGGCCTCAAGGAATCAGCTAACGTCAGGCCGCCAATCTCCATCTGGACTCTCCCGGTGGGTTGAAGGCGGCTAACCAAAGCATTGCCAAGTTGCAACGGGATACAATTAAGCTTGTCAAATTCGAATCACACGCGGGTGGGCGTTGGCGTCGGGCCAGTTTGATAGCCTCTTTGATCTGATTGATGGAATCTCGTCTCCAAACTACTGACCCCAGATGCCGCCCTGTCTGACTTGCGGGACACTTGGGGCCCTTGCTCTTGGGCTTGTTATTTAAAAGTGCTACCATCGCAGTGATGATCTTCTTTTGCTTCCCTTTACCTGCCAGCCTCTCTTATACCGCACACTCTGCTTGTGTCGGTTCACATCTGCAAGCATGGCGGATAAAATCGACAACAAGGCCTATGGCGCCGACACGCAAATCGAAAAGGCCATGTCGAACCTCGAAATCGACGAGAAGTCGACGGCTGCCCAGAACAAGGCTGCTGCTATCGAGGCTGAAAATGCCGAGCACAACATGACTGTGCCACAGGCAGTCAGGGAATACCCCATGGCTGCTTTTTGGGCCTTTGTCATGTCTTGCACTATCGTCAGTCCCTCCTCCCGCTCAATTGACATGTCAAAAACAAAAGAGAATTCCAGCTAACATGACATGTAGATTATGGAATCCTACTGTGTTTTCTTGATGGGAAACTTCATCGCCCTTCCCGCATTTGCCAATGCCTATGGTAAATTCAGCCCCGTCGACAACAAGAAGATCATCGTAGCCAGCTGGCAGTCTGCTCTCCAGATGGGTGGACCAGTGGGTGCAATCATCGGTGTCTGCTTGGCCGGTCCCCTTACCAGCCGCATTGGATACCGCTGGGCGACTATTTCCGCACTCATGGTGTTGAACGCCTTCATCTTCATCTTCTACTTCGCCAACTCGCTTCCCGTCATGTTCGTCGCCCAGCTCCTCGAGGGTATTCCATGGGGCGTCTTCATCGCCAACTCCCCAGCCTACTGCAGTGAGATTACGCCAATTCAACTCCGAGCTCCTGCTACTCAGATGTTGCAAATGTTCTGGGCTATTGGTTCCATCATTGTCACTGGTGTCACCTATCATTACAACACAATGGACAGCGCAAAGGCGTACAGGTATGTATTTCGATACTTTGTATCTAATATTTTGCTAACCGAGCTCCTAGAATCCCCATTGCCCTCCAATGGATGTTCCCCACCCCTCTTGCCATTCTCATCTACCTGGCTCCAGAGTCTCCCTGGTGGTTGACCCGAAAGGGACGTTATGAAGAGGCCGAGAAGGCAGTCGGACGCTTGGGACGCAAGACCATGCTCAACCTCAAGGAGTCCGTTGCTATGATGCGCCGTACCATTGAGCTTGAGAAGTCAGTCAAGGACCCCAGCTATCTGGAGCTCTTCCGAGGCGTCGACCGCTACCGAACCCTCATCGTGTGCGGTGTTTACGCGGCACAGAACCTTACTGGTAACCTCATCGCCAACCAGGCCGTATACTTCTTTGAGCGTAAGTTTTATTTTACCACGATCCTGAAATTTTAGAGCCATGTTGCTAATTCCTTCACAGAGGCTGGAATGAGCACTGACACTGCGTTTGCCCTCGGTCTCATCACCTCTGCTCTCCAGATGATCTTTGTCATGCTGTCTTGGATTTTGACCTCGTATCTCGGTCGTCGTACCATCTATGTATGGGGCTCTCTCATCAACGTCGGCTTCCTTGTGGCCCTCGGTATTGCAGCCTCCGTTAGCACGCCAACCGCGGCTATTGCCAGAGCGGCTTCTCTCGCCCAAGCCTCCCTCGGTCTCATTGTCTCCGTTCTCTTCACCCTCGGACCTGCGCCTGCTTCTTGGGTCATCATCGGAGAAACATCTGCTATTCGTCTTCGACCCCTCACAACCGGTATTGGACGTGGTTGCTACTATGCCATCAACATTCCTTGCATTTTCCTTTCCAGCTACATGCTTAACCCCGATGTAAGATTTGACCCATTTTGAGCTTTGTGTGAATAGTCACTAACTCAGTACAGGAGGCAAACCTTGGTGGCAAGTGCGGTTACGTCTGGGGTGGCACTGGTTTCTTCTGCTTCGTCATGGCATACTTCTTCCTGCCTGAGATGAAGAACCGATCCTACCGCGAAATCGATATTCTGTTCCACCGCAAGGTTCCTGCTCGCCAATGGTCAAAGACCGTCGTCGACGCCACAGACGACGAGTAAACAGCGCTTGCTCAGGAGACCGAGGCATGATGTGGATGGTAGTAAAGTGTTGATATGTCATCAGTCATGTCCCTTGGTACGATATTAAGTAGTCACTGGGTTAGACTAAATGCTATGACCCCTACCTTGAAAATAATTAATTACGGAAATATTTCCCGTGAACTATAAATCCATCTCTGATGACCTAAGTACAGTCAGCTGTAATTTCTCACACGTGCACTTGTCAACCATGAAGCCATGTTCATGCCTGTCAACAAATCCACACTATGGATATATTTTAATTAAGCCAAGCTACTTGGAATGTAGTTCGCCGTTCACTCGATCTCGGGACGGATCTATTCTCGGAGCGGAAGATATAGTGAATAACTAGAAAAGACCCTTGATCTACCCCATGTGATGACCTCTGCACTTGGTCCTCAAAGCCAACCAATCAAGCCTACATTCACCCCTACAAGTCAAGCTCAGGCAGGCTAGGGTACCCGGAATGACAGTTTTGATGACAGTTCCGCTCAACCGAAGAAATTCACGACTACTTACACGTCTTCGACATTGCTACGGACGCCATCTCTAGACGCAGCCAACCGTAAGGAAAAAGGCTCTCTGCTTGCGATTAGCTTACAGATCTATCTAGTCTGCTTCCAAGAGCTTGGGTCTTGGAAAGTGGGGAAGATTGCGTGTACCCATGGTAATGGGATAGGTGGGTACTAATCTGATCGTGAGGGTCTAGGGACCGTGCTCGAGGACTATCCGCCGGGCTCCGCAGTGACTTCAGGCATTGTTGGAGCATAGTTAGATGTTAAGCACACGAATATGTAGTAGGCCTGTGAGTTGTGGGTATGGCGGCGGCGGCGTTTGTTGTGAATGATTTATCGCAGTTGGTGTGAGGGAAAGAAAGAGGATAGGAAGATGGGCAGATGAGGCTCATTGAGTGGTATATTGCTATCTTTGACTCGAACATATAGCTTCTAGGCAGTATTTGCTGCATGTCCAAAGACTCTACCCGTTTTCTTTGGTTCGGTCTTGCCTGTATTGTCCAAACTGCACACAAAAGCGGTTTAGCGCAAGTACCTTGGTAACCCAGTTCGACAATGTCACCTCTTGCCTTGCTTCATTGTATCTGCCAGTTTATCAACCAGGGTTTGTTTGCTTTCTCGGAAAAACTGTGTGTCAACTCCCCGAGCGTGCATTGGCAGTGCCTTCTAGTCAATACAACATGCCTTCATGAATTGAAACCATTCTTGCTCTACCAACAGAGCCCAAGACATCTTCAAGTTATTTCGAATGACTGCCGTTGAAGATATTAATGCTATCTTGAGTGTCATGGTCAGTAATGTTTTGCTGGTCGTTAATTCTCGCAGTACTGATCTTTCGTAACTGCTCTAGTCACATCGTGTGTAGCTCAAGATATCCTCGAAATCGCAAACAAAACCTTATATGAGCACTTTGAATCAATGTCTGCTCCAAAGGAAGAGCCAAAACAAGAAAGGTGTTAAGATGCCCAACGCAAGCTCGCAAAGGTAGAGGAACAGTGCTCACATGGTACGATACAACAAGATAGCACTATGCACCTGTTCACAAGAACCATTTTGGATGCATCCTAATCTAGCACGGAAGATGACCCTGGTTGCTCCTAGCCGACACTCTTCTCGGAAAGCCTTTGGGAGGGTGAAAGTGAGTCTCGTAGATGAGATATGCAACAACGCCATGGTATGCCCCACAGCGACATGGCCATCAGATGCAAAACTCCATGGCATAGAAACAGTAGCTAATAAGCTCACTTGGCAGCATCTCATGTACCAGACAGCTTACTAAAAGAAAACACGTTTTTCTTTCTTTTTGATTCAGCTGAAATAACATGGTACTGAGAATCTCCAAAGGCCGACCAGTTTCATCGGCTACCAACCTACTTCGGCTTAGGGAGCGTTGTCCGTACTTAAGTAAAAAATCTTAAGTCAATACTTCGACGCATCAAGAGAGGGAACGCCAGCCGGTAGACGACAATGTCGGTAACTACATTCCAGATGGACAGAAACTGGTGGAAGTTATCATGAAAATAACGCTCCTCAAGATACTTCCTATTCCTATCTGTGTGGTCAGTGCTCGTGGTTGCAGCTGGAAAGAAAGCAAACATATCCACACGGATCGACTGAGCAACACATGCATGAGGACTCCGCGGGAGGAAGACAAGATTCTATGCCAACGCCTGGCTTCGCGATCTCGCAATTGCCTATCATTATTAGGTATACGACAAGGTGCCCAGGTTGCCATCGGAAGGTATGCCCAATGTGTGCAGCCATTATCGACGGAAATTGACAATAGCAGAGGATCTTGGGAGGGGCGAGGGCTCCACACAAAACAACCCTGCATGTTTTCGGAGCGTGCAACCGGACCAGGAACAGTATTACTATACACCTGGTTTTGCACGACGCGCTATCCACGTCAGGCAGCCCTCAGGTACACATGATGATGTGTCAGTCACAAAAGCTTGGTCGGATCAAACCTGGCACTGCACTCGTACCACTCACGGCAATGAAAACACCGCTCCAGCCCCAGCACCCCACACGCGCTAGGATGCTGCAATACGTCTTCCAGCCATGAATCAGCCCCATCTCGCCACCAGAACCACCATCAAGCGGCACTTGGCAAGCTTGGCAGTCCGCCCAGTTGAAGCTTACCAAGGCCTCTTATCACGTCTTGACACGGCTCGTGTGCTTGTTTACTGGGTCCACCCACAGCGGTTATTGGTGGATGAAGGGTCAGCCTCGTGTGCGGATGCGCCCACTTGGCTGGATGTAGCAGGTCGGAAGGAGCTTTGTATGTGGGTTTGATTGTAAGCTGCATTTCAGGCATACAGTGATGTTGGTAGGAGCGGCATTCCCGGTCACTGGGCCCATTTGCAGCTTCGAGCTGCAGGTGGTATGGAATTAGGTAAACTAGCAAGCAACATAAATTGCACAGCATGCCCTGCCAGTTTGGAAACGGTACTCCCTTTGCAATAAACAGGCAATAGTCGCAATGGCCTACCTGAAGTCAATCGCAGCAATTGCTGCATGCGCTGCGGCGGTTGAAGCAGCAGCTCTTCATCCTCGCACCAACAAGACGCTGGTTGATTCGGTACGAGCATGCGAACATCCATTTTATGAGTTGCTCTAACACAAATTATAGCAATCGCTCCGCGATACGATTGACATTGACAACTTGTATGCCAAGGCCGAGATTCTTCAGGAGATTGCCTACAACACACCTGGAAAGAACCGTGTGATTGGCAGCCAGGGCCACGAGGATACCGTGGAATACATCAAGGGCCAGCTCGAGGCATTCCCTGACTACTATGACGTGTACACTCAGGATGTGCCTCTTTCAATCGGAACCACTGCTACGCTCCGTGCAAACAACAACACCATTGAGGCTTTTGCAGTAACTCTGGCTCCGGGCGGCAACGTTACCGGACCGCTCGTTGCTATTCCCAACTTGGGCTGTGAAGAGGTAGGTTCATGTTTTCGACTATATGCCCAAAGAACATATGAAGGAGCAAGACTAACATTGAAAAGGCGGATTTCCCAGAATCTCTCGAGGGCTCTGTAGCTTTGATCAAGCGTGGTACATGCTCTTACGGCGAAAAGGTGCAGATTGCTGCTGCCAAGGGAGCCTTGGGTGTAGTGGCATGGAACAATGCTGAGGGCACTCTTGAGGGCTACTCGCTCCAAGTATTGTATCCCAAGGGCAAGTTTGTTCCTGTAGCCGGCATCACCATGGGCCAAGGAGAAGCGCTTCTTGCACAGCTGAACGCCGGTGTCAAGATCAACATCGACATGTCGACAGACGCCAAGGTGTTCAACACTCGCAACGTGATTGCGGAGACAAAGGCTGGCGACCACGACAACGTGATCCACGTCAGCGGCCATTCCGACTCGGTCACTGCTGGCCCCGGCATCAACGACAACGGATCAGGCACTATTTCCATTCTCGAGATTGCCATCCAACTGACCAACTTCACTGTCAACAACGCCGTGCGCTTCAGCTGGTGGACAGCAGAGGAAGCCGGTCTCCTTGGAGCCGAGTACTACGTGCACGAGCTTCCCCAAGCCGAGAAGGACAAAATCCGTCTTTTGCTCGACTTCGACATGATGGCCTCGCCCAACTTTGCCTACCAAATCTATGACGGCGACGGCTCGGCATACAACCTGACTGGACCGGTTGGCTCCGCCGAGGCCGAGCACGAGTTCGCCGCCTACTTTGACAGCATTGGTCTCAACCATACGGAGATTGAATTCGACGGCCGATCCGACTACGGTCCCTTCCTCGAGGCTGGCATTGCGTCTGGCGGCATTGCCGGTGGTGCCGAGGGCATCAAGACGGAAGAGGAGGCGGCCATGTTTGGCGGAGGCGCTGGCGTTCCTTACGACGTCAACTACCACGAGGATGGCGATACCGTCAACAACTTGAACCTCGAGGCGTGGATCGAGTTCACGAGGGCTATTGCGCATATGACGGCCAAGTATGCCGTCTCGTGGGACAGTATCCCGCCCAGGAACGCAACGGCGGCGCAGAAGCGGTCAGAGCGGTATGCCGAGTTCAAGCAGGCGTTCCAGAAGACAAAGAGGTACCAGAGGTGGGTATAGATTGTTTGCTCGACCTCGAGACTCTTTTTGAGTAGTTTATGAGCTTTTAGATACGAACTTTAATGTGGTTGAATATATCAGAAGAAATTTTTTCAAGATAATGTTTTGTGTGGTAAGCAAAGTGGGTGAATGGTAGAAAAACAAGTTTTGTATGGGATTGCACATGTTTATTCGCCGTTTACAAGACGGGGACGGGTTTGCTTTACTCTTCGTCGTCATCGTCAACTACAGGTACAGGCTCGTCCTTGCCAGTCTTCTTGACTTTGCGGTCCTTCTCAGCACCAGCAGGCTTGGCGTCCTTTGCTTTCTTCTTGTCGTCGTCGTCGTCGTCGTCCTCATCGTCGACCTCGTCAGAAGCAGCATCCTCGTCGTCTTCGGCACTCAGCTCAGCCTCTTCCTCCTCGCTCTCATCCTCGTCCTCGTCTTTGCTTTTGGCTTTGGTAGTGCGCTTGGCCTTTTTCTTTGGCGCTATAGGGGAAAAACAAAAATAGTAAGAAGAGAGTTGCGGAGAAGGGGTCAAGGGACCACCATGGGGTTACTCAGAATGACTTACGTGGCTCTTCCTCGTCCGAGTCGGCTGAATCAAAGTTTGAGCCTTCAGACTCTGCGTATCTGGATGGCTGGGTCAGTCTTGCTGTAGGTGTCGGATGCGCGCGCAAAGAGAATTGTTTCCATGAATTAGACAAAAGTGCCATGATAGCCATGTCAAGTGTAGAGGCAAGGTGGGAGTGAGTTGATTGCTGCAGGAGGGAGGAAGGAGCCGGCTGCCGCTGACTCCAGGGCTGCGACTGCCTTTGGAGGCATGCGCAGCGACCAGACAAGGTAGAGGTACAAATTCAAAACATCAATTCAAGGGTGCGCATAGAGACGATGACAACAAAGCCAAAACCATCGGATTGCGACGTGGTGGTTAGAGACATGACGTCAAGAAAGCGGCGACTTACTCTTCTTCTTCGTCGCTCTCATCGCTGGGGAGGGCAACGAGCTCCTCGTCGTCGTTCTTCCTCTTCCTGGTAGTCATGGCGCCGGACTAGTCTACGAAAGCAACAAAAAAGAGCTGGTACGTGGCAGGATAGTGGAACAGAAGTAGGAAGGGATCCAGAGATTGAGCAAGTTTGGGTGGCAGCAGGGAAAGAAAGCTATGGAGGTGAGCCTGGGGGCGGGGACCCAGGGCAACACAGACGGGGGCGCGGATGAAATAGCTGGCTGGGTACTCGGCCACGACGCACACACACACAGACACACACACACGCACACCTACGCAAGCCGCGCCCCCTTTACTTGCCCAAGAAGGAGGCTGGGAAGCGCAGGACAGGGCAGGCCGGGCGACTGCAGGCCTCTTTTGCTCCATCGCCCACCTCGGCCGCTTCGGGTACACGGCGAGGAGCCAATCATGGGGTGTGCTGTCATCACCTGCGTTCCGAGCCCGCCATGGACGACATCCAGGCGGTTGCTGCAGGTACCGCGTCCGAGGAGCTTTGGGCGACAGGCTGTTGTTGGGCTTGTATATGACACGGTGAAGTGCTGTCTGGATGGCGGTGAGGGCAATAAATGTGCTTACCAATGCCGTCTGTCCTGTGGCTATGTACGGATTATGTATGTATGTACGGCATGGCGAATGAGCGATATCTGGGTGCTCAAGGTAGCCCCCAAGGCGATGCTCCCACTCGCTGCAGAGCGGCAAGTTGGACTGTCTAGCGAAACACTAAGACAGGCCAGGAAACGTTTAATCTGTCACCTAGAAACATCTTGGGTATCCACACAGACGAAGCCGTCGAGATTGCAGCCGTTGGTCCGTATCCAAGTCGGCATGTTCGCAGCTCGAGGTGTAGCGTTCGTGGCCCAAATAGGCAACGAGCCCCACCTAATCGCACCAATCACCATCTGCTCTGCCCCGCCCGCAGTACCGCGTCTTATTCGCGCGCCATCTTGACTGTCTTTCTAGTATTTCCCCGACCAAATCTCGACTGTCTGTTCCCTACGCTCGTTTGACACCACACCACCACAGAACTGCGCTTGCCATGTCCGCGCCCCAGATCGCGAGGCCGGGCAGGGCCCCGCGCCTCTCCAGCCTGAACAAACCCGATTCCTACCAGTACCAGTCCTCCGCAACAAAACGAAGAGCCGCCGGCCCGCCCCAGCCCGTAAAACCCACCCAGCGCACCTACACCTGCTGTGAGGCACCCTTGATCAATGTCGCCGACGGCACCACCATGTGCTACAACTGCGGAAAAGTCCACGACGAGAGCCAAATTGTTTCCGAAGTCACTTTTGGCGAAACTTCGGGCGGAGCAGCCATCGTTGAGGGTGGCTTCATCCATGCCAACCAGCGACATGCCAACTCCATGGGCGGCACCATGCGGGGTCTTGGTGGCATGGAGAGTAGGGAGCAGGCTGCTATGAATGGCAAGAACGCAATTCAGGCCTTGGGTGCTTCTCTCAACCAGCGCGAGGCAGTCATAGAACAGGCTTTTAGTTGGTACAAACTCGCCATGAACCACAGGTTCATCCAGGGTCGCCGCATGAGAAACGTCGCCGCTGTCTCCATATACATGGCAGCCCGTAGGCAGCCCGAGAACACTCTCATGCTTATCGACTTGGCAGAGAAGATTCAAACAAACGTCTGGGCCCTGGGTGATACATACAAACAGTTTTTGGAAATGCTTAAAGAGGAGGATCCTGCCCAGCTCGTTGGTAGCAAGGCTGTACAGGAGATTGAACCCTTGATGTTGAAATACTGCCGGAAACTTGAGTTTGGAGACGACTCTCATAGGGTAGCTGATGATGCCTGCAAAGTCTTGAAGCGCATGAATCGCGACTGGATGGTGCAAGGTCGCCAGCCCGCTGGATTGTGTGGTGCTTGTATTATCATTGCTGCTCGCATGAACAACTTTCGTCGTACCATTCGTGAGGTTGTCTATGTTGTCAAGGTCGCCGATTCCACCATTACTTCCCGTCTATACGAATACAAGAGGACACAGAGTGCAGCTTTGACTGTCAACCAATTCCGAGAGTTTGCACCAAGACTAAAAGTCAAGGCTCAACCGCCTGCCATCTGGAGGCGCGCAGAAAAGGAGGAACGACAGGCGAAGAGAAGGAGACTGCTTGAAGGACGCGATGACACTGCAGCATCTCTAGAGAACGAATCAGGAAGTGGTGAAGTAGAGACTGGCACATCTACAGCACCAACGCGGACAAGCAAGAGACAAAAGTCTAATGATGGTTCATCACAACCAGTTTCTACTCAGAGCGGAGATACAAGCACTCAGGGAAGTGGTATACCTGCAGAAGTCGAGGCTTTTGATGGCAATGCCGACGCAATGATTGATAGTGTTGCCACTGCACTTGAGGAAGTCGAAGCAGGAGAGGCCACCGATCCAGATTTTGTCATGCCCAAGAAGCGCGGTCGTCCACCCAAGAAGCGAGTACCCATTGCCATTCCCGAAGAAGATCTCGAAATCGAGCAAGACATTGAGGAAGAACTTACGAATGCCATCAAAGATTGGGAGTCCGTCTTCAAAGAATTTGCCAACAACGAAGACCACGATCTCCTCCGACGCTCCGGCTGGACCGCCGCCGAAATGGCACGCGCCGCCCAAGACAAACGCGACATACCCGTAAACACGAACCCAGAAATCGGCGAAGAAGAATTCGAAGACGACCCAGATGTCGCCACGTGCATCCTCGGCCCCGAGGAAGTCCGCCGCAAAGAAGCCATCTGGATCACAGAAAACGAAGAATGGCTCCGCGCCCAGCAAGAAAAGATGCTCCTCGCCGAACTCGAAGCCGCAGAAGACAAGCCCAAGAAACCGAAGCAAAAACGCAAACACCACCAAATGGGCGACGGCAGCGTCCTCGAGGGCCAACCTGCTACCAGCGCCGCAGACGCCGCGCACAAGATGCTCAAGAAACGCGCAAACAAGGCGTTTAGCAACCACATCAATTACGATAGGCTCAAGGAACTTTTTCCAGGCGGTGGAACAAATGCTTCGGCTAGTCCGGTGAACAGGTCTCCGCCTGCTTCTGCTGTCCAGCACCCAGCTGCGGATAAGGATGCCCAGGGCGATGAAGAAGAAGAAGAGGAGGAAGAGGAAGAGGAAATGCTAGCGGAAGAAGAGGAAGAGGAAGATCTCGAGTATAACTATCGCGATGATGATGATGAGGGGTTCGGAAATGAGAGTTATGGCTACTAAGGTTTTTAAATGTTTTTCTTTATGTCAGGATTTACATCCCAGCCTATTGGGCTTTTTTTCTTCTTCTTCTTCTTCTTCCTCTTTTCTACGCCAATTGTTTTCAGAAAATGGGGGCTTGGGTCTGTATTTACAAATAGGTCTGTTTGGCCTAGTTTTTTTTTCTTACTTTGCATTAGCTATCGACGGAGTTTTCCATATCTCGGAGTGTGGCTCAACTGGTACATATCAGCATGTACATACATATACCCACTTACAGCGCTTCGGGCGAAGCATGTCATAGATTCCAATGAAGAAAAAAGGCGTTTAGTCCTTTTTTTTCTCCCTCTTCCACCTCTGATCTTCCGCTCTATCATCAGCCGTGTACAATTCAAAAACCACACATTCAATCATCGCTGTGTCCAGGTCCTTTGCTGCATTATTTTTTTGTTATAGGGGAGGAATTCCCAATGTTTCGATTGGTCCCTGCTTCATAACTCCTGACACGCATGCTCATGCTACCCTAGATTTTTCCCGCAATTCAATAAGAAGGATCCGAGCCCAGATCCACCGCACACCCACATACACCCCCCGTGTTATGACCAAAAACACTTGTCGAAAGTAAACAAAAAAAGATTGAACGAGAAGAAAAAAACAAAACGCCGGGTTTTACCGTTGTGCGAGCACAAGAGTCTATCGATCAAGAAAGCATGCACCAAGAAATCCCCATTTCTCTCTCTCTTTCTTTCTTGTTCCAAGACCTACAAACTTCGCGGTCTACTTGTACACATACACACATTGTCTAGCACATCTTGTACTGTGCCTCGCCAGCCGCCTGCCTGTGCATATCCTGGCTCTCGAGCTTGTAAGAGATGGTGATGTCCAAGTCGCGGTGGTTCTTCTCGCTGGGCTTGTTCTCCAGGGTACCGCTGATTGTCTCGCCCTCTTCGACAGTCAGGACGTCCTTGAGGTAGAAGACAGTCTGTTTCCAGTGCGTGTACTTTGTGTGAGGGCCGGTAGAGAAGCGAATGGGCTTGTGGCAGGCGGCAAACTCAATGTCGAACCAGGCAATGACGGCGTGAACAAAGTCGTTGCGGCGCACCTTGAGCTCGTACGGTAACCGGAATGCGAGGTCTGCAACGGTGCACGTGTAAAGGTCGAGGGTGATGACCGGTGAAGGGTCAGTAACGACGGCCTTGATGTCAACAGTGTCGACGAGAGGTTCAGTCATGGCAGTGGCCTTGAGTGGGGAGTAGTCGAAGCCCCAAACGTTGTCCCAGACTGATCTTGTTAGCATATCGGCAAAGTTCGGTGAGATTCGCTAGACTTACAGCCAATCTTCTCATCCTTGTACTCGCCATCTTCGATACCGGCCATGAAAATGGTGGCCTTGTCGGGGAAGATAAGGCCGTCCTTGACCAGGTACTTGTCGCGTGCATACAGGACAGTGTCCAACATGGACTCGTAGAGCAAGAAGTAGCCCATCCACTCGGATATTATTATGTCGACCTTGTCGAAGGGCAGGACAACCTCTTCCATCTTGCCTTGTAGCAGGGTGATCTTATCCGACAGGCCGTTTACCTCGACAATCTCCTTTGCCTTTTCGATAATGGTTGACATGTCAACACCGATAACGTGCTTTGCACCGGCCTTGGCGGCGAACCTATATCCCAGGTATCAGTGTGTGTTCGAGTATTGTGTGTTCAGGCGGGGGAGCGCGGACATGCTGAGGATGGAGGTACCGCATCCGACATCAAGGACGACCTTGTCCTTGAACAGGTGGGGGTTTTGGTAGATAGCGTCGCGGTAGCTCTTGGTTCGGACTTCATCTTTCTAGACGCGTAACATTAGCCAAGCTGCCTGTGGTCGTGACTGCAACCTTTGCTCGGGCAAGGAAGGAAGTGGGGCACACGTACCAGCATTTCCTCGTGGATGCCTTCACTCGCGCGTTAGTATCACTTTCATCAAGACATGGCATTCTTTACGGACCATGGTGGTTGTAACTGCGCAACACGGCGTTAGTAAAATGTATCTTTGGAGCGTCTGCGAGTGCCTACCTGTTGAAATAATGCGCCTCAGAGTGCGCCATGCCCGTGAGAGGGTCTTTCTTTCCGGTCTCTTGCTGGTTCGCCATGACGGGTGTAAAAGCTAAGAAATCTGAGAGTTGAGGGAGAGAATGTATGTAGGGTAAGAGAAGAGAGATTGGTTCTGCGATTGCCAAAAGGTAGGATATGGAAATTTTGGTTTTGGTAGAACCAGAAGCGCACAGACACTAATCACCAAGGGTCTCAAAGCGGGGCAAGAAATTGAGAAGCTAGTCCGAGAGAAGCTTGACACCACGATGATTAGATTTTCTAGCGCCTTGCAGCGCTGTTTTTTTCCAGTACTAATACTAAGTTTGCATATTAAACAACGTGCACAAGTACGATGACAAGGGAATCCAAACAACAAGTTGCGCCAGCAGCAAAGGCCGATTGTCAATCAATTTGTTGGCCCAAGGAGGAAAAATAGACCGAGTGGGGTATATCATGCCGAAAAGCAGAAGTCACCCTCATCGTAGTCGTCGTTTGCTCATCATTGTCGTCATAAAGTCATAGGTATTTTTGTTCGTAAAGTCGTCATCGTCGTCTCAGCGAGTGTTGAGCATGTCGGTGCAGACACGGGTCGACCAGCATGCCTCGTGTCCACTGTGTACATCTAGCAACCCTCAAGCCATGCCGATTCGATAGAAGCTCTCTCTGAATTGTTTTGCATCTGTCCTTCGAGTCAGCGACAAAATGAGTACACTAAAGTGGATCGTCATACCTTCAGGGGTCGTGAAAGTGAGCCGGTATTTGCCCGTAGGTCCCTTGGGTAGCCTGTAGCTGTCGCAGAACACGTACGGATGCAACTTTTCGAACTGTATCGTGTCGGGACTGACACGTTTCATCCAGTCCCTGCGTCCAACATACTGTGTAACGAAGGCAGTCCAGATGGGTATGGTGTTCATTGGACCTCGACGAGCAGTAGCCTCGAAACGCACGCAGCCCGCATCTTCATCATAGTAGATACGGAAAGCGTGTAGATATCTGCTGTCTGTAGTCTCACTGAGTCTTGTTAGAAATGATCAATACTGAAGATGCCATTGACAGCTTACCCGCTAAACATGATGCTCTCGGGCTCGAAAAAGTCGACAAGTCCCTCTGCAACAGCAGTTTGGTCTTGTCGTTTCATGGCAATGGCGGTACAGTAGAACAGAACCATACCTAGTTCATTGTCAGAAGAGCTTTACCATGACAGTATTTAATGTGCTTACGTTCGTAGAGGGGAAAGCGTAACCTAGCCCAGAGATCTAGTTGCCCATCGCGGCGATTGGCCCGACAGAGCAGTAGACATGAGCCGGCTCGCCGCAGAGCTAGCGCTGTGATTGGTATCTGATATCTCATGCGGCGGCCTTCAGAGTCCATGGAAAGGAACAGGATTCGCGCACGATTGTCTTCAGCTCTGCAGTACATCCTTACCCATACGTTGGTAGCCTCGAAAGGCAATTCCAACACTTTTTCAAACCCGTCGTCCTGCAACATTCCGATTACACGAGGTTCGTTTCTTCCAAAGCACTCAGTAGCCTCGCCTAGTGTCTGAAATGGTGTTGAGCCGTGGCGCCCATCAAATATCTTCATAGCCCAATGTGCAGCGGGCTCGGAATCGGTGGATTGACTTGAGTAGGCCTGTGATGATGCAGACGAGTGTGTGGGCGATTGAGGAATCTCTGGAACGGGTGGTGGGACAAAGGGTATATCTCCTATGCCACCCCATGTTGGGGCAATATGAGCTCGATGCGGTAGAGGCGATGACGGATGTGAGTAGTTGTAAGCGGCAACCGGATATGTAGGATGGCTGTGTATTTTAGGTCGGGAAACTCTTGGAGAAGATGGCTTTGGTGTTTTCGCACCACTCCTGCCGCTTCCTTGGACCGAAAGCTTGCTGAAGTATGATTCTATCGGCTTCTGTTTCTTGAGCAATTTGGATAATGAAACCTTGTAGTTTGCCAACTCAACGTCATTTTCCTCTCTACAACAAGTCAGCGGTGGTCACATGGACAACTCAATTCCATCACATACCCTTTTAATGTGTCGTGCATACCCTGCAGGTACATTCTGACTGCTTCGAACCTTTGTGGCAAGGACATGCCTTGTGTCTTGAAATCCGCAAGTGCATCTTCCCATATGATGGCGTAAGGCGGGGTGCCTGGGAAAGCACCCGGCGCCGCGTGTCGACTTCTCTTGGACTTGCTGAAGATGTCTTGTACATCATCAAGTGTATGCCCCAGAGTTGGAAGACAAATCTCGAGATCTTTGATAATGTAGGTTGCGTATCCTCTGTAGTTGATGGACCTGAGTGCATCATCCAACTCACGCAGAGCGTGCGAAATGGCGTATAGCTCAGCCATGTAGCCTCTGATGTCCTTGCGATATTGGGGGATCTCGCCCTCGAAGCTGAGAAGGCCATTGGCGGTCTCTTCAGCCTCCTTGGCGTAGTCCAGTAGTCGCCAATCCATGGCGGAGGGTGAGCCGGGCATTATACAACCGAGAAGAGATGATTACAAGCAACGCATAGTTTGGATGTCAGAAAGTCGGTGGTGAAGAGACGGAGTGGCGTTTGAGCGATAACGCTATAAGGTGAGCGTCTGGGGTAGCCGTCTGGTGGCATGCGCGCTTGAAGAGGGTCGGCTCTTGACGTGGTTATGCAGCAGCAGCAGGCCGGTGAGAAAGCCAATGACTTGTGCCGACGAATTCCCTTACCAAGCCTGCATGTAACCCGCAATCTCGCTTCCTCTTTTGCACGCTTTGTCTGATCGTACAATCTGGCCCCCAAACCAAACTTTTTTCCACGTTCTTTGTTTTTACGCTCCGCGCAATTGTGTGCGCGGTAAGGCCGAGCCAAAGTGCTATCGTGGGTGGTCGAAGACGCCACTCCTGCACACTCCTGCAGGGCTGCGCTGTCAGTAGGAGATGGATCGGCACACGCAGAGACAGTGATGGAGAATCGGCCGAAGTGTGCTGGTTATTTGAATCGATGACCTGGTCCGCTTGCGTGCTGCCTCGAGGCGCTGCCGGACGGTGTCCTGCCTGACATATCCCCACTCGTAGGCCGGACTAGTCCTGCAACGTAAGCAATGCGGTCAAACAATGATCAAGAGTCTGGTGTCCGAGGCCACTGGCGGTCTGCGTCGGAAGCGTGTGGCTTGACAAGCGCCGGCCAGCCTTGGATAGAGGGGGAAGAGGAACATGGCTCAATCCCAGTTCCCAGCAAGAGCGGCTGGAACAGCTGTGAACAATCAGGGAGCCACTCTGTTACCAATGTCAGGAGCAGGTCGTCACAATATATATGTGTGTGTGTTTGACAAAAGTAAGACTGCGCCTCACTCTGTCAAGCCACAATCACAGAGGCTGCCAACCATGCTTTTGGTCTGGACGAGGCAACCAGATGAGCAGCGCAGCCATGACAATGATCTATTCTTGTTGGGTACTACACCGAGTGGGGCCGACGACGACCAGCCTATCGACTTGGCAGCTCGAGACTGCACATGTTCGCGTCTGCCTATCGACCCAGCGCTTTCAGCCGCTCGTCCACCAGCTTCGATACCATCTTCTCGAGGATGGCAAACTCGCCATTGGTCGACCCTTCAAAATACCCAGCCACGCTCTTCTCTACATATTTGCCTACTTGGTCTACTTCGACATTGACGTCGTCGCCAGCCTTCTTGCTCGCCGTCACTACCTTTTCCTGTGTATAGGCAATAAGCATCACCTCCCACCACCCATCAGGGCCGTCCTGGACCTTGGTCACTGTCAAGCTTGCGCCGTCTATCGTAACATAGCCCTTCTCCACAATGTATCGTAGCACCGCCGTGTCGCGAGGTTTGAAGCGGAAAGTAAGGGCATTGCCGTCTGGAGTTATCGACTCGATAGTAGCAATAGTATCGACATGGCCCTGCACAAAGTGACCGCCCATGCGTGTATTTGCCGAGACGGCGCGCTCGAGGTTGACCTTGGAGCCTTCCTTGAGCGAACCCAGGTTTGTTCGCCGGAGTGTCTCGGGTGCGCATCCAATCTTGAACGAGGATTTGGTGAATTCGGTAACGGTAAGACATGTGCCTGCCCGGGTCAGACAGCAATTCTAGCAGTATTTCGCTGCGACGTACCGTTGACGCTGATGCTGTCACCCAAATGGGCATCACCTAGGATATCCTCACATCCCGTAATGGTCAGAGATGTGCCGCCGCCTCCCGACGCTGTCTGGTCGAGCTTCTCAAGGGCGGCAACAGCTAACTATCATCAGCGCTGTCGCGCATAAAAGATGTCGTGTGACTGCTTACTGCCAATCGTTTCGACAAGTCCAGTGAACATGGTGGGGTAACGGATTGGAGATGGAAGCAATGACGGCGGGCTGCATTTTCCGACAGCCTCGGAACTAGAACTAGTAGCGCATTTCCGGAATACCCCATGCAAGCATCCCCCCACGTCCAATACATGTCGTGACTCCTCACACCTCAATTCCAATATGATAGGCTCCGTTGTACGAGGCTCGAGATGCGCTTTTCAAAAGGTGTCGCCAATCCCAAGGCTCAGCCGGGCTAGGTCATGTCATGTCAGGCGGCTTGCGACTGCAGCTGCAAGCGGAGATGGGTCTGATCTTCCGCTAGCTGGCATCAAAGTGCTGGATATGACAAGAGTTCTTGCTGGTGTGAGTATTTTAGCCCTGAGTTTGTTGCGACTATTCTGAAATATTCAGCCGTACTGTACACAAATTTTGGGAGATCTTGGGTATGACATGGACTGCCCTGTATGGACCAACGAACGCAGTTGGCAGCACGGATGAATTGAGAATTGACTGTAACCTAGAGCCGACGTGATCAAAATTGAACATCCTACCAGAGGAGGTACGTTGTAATTTGATCATGTGCATCAGGTAGACATTGACCAAGACGAAAAGATGACACTCGTGCATGGGGACCACCCTACGCTAAGTACACCGACGAACAAGAGGGACCAGGCGAAAGTGCATACTACTTAGGGGTAAGGCTGCCTGTTTTCTTTACCTACTTGAGACTAAACATGGACAGGTCAATCGAAACAAACGATCCATGGGACTGTCGTTTCAGCATCCTGCTGGCGTAGACATCCTCCATCGCCTTGTCAAAGAATGTGATGTGCTCGTCGAGAACTATCTTCCTGGATCCCTCGCAAAGTATGCCATGGATTACGATACCGTTTCAAAGATCAACCCGGATATAGTTTACGCCAGTATCACGGGCTATGGCCAGACTGGGCCGTATAGGAATAGGGCTGGTTACGACGTCATGGTAGAAGCGTACGTCAAATAGTTGTCTGTCAGTATTAGAGCGCAAGCTAACATGAGTTCAGCGAAATGGGCCTCATGCACATAACCGGAACTCGTGACGGCCCGCCCGTAAAGGTAGGCGTTGCAGTAACCGACTTGACAACCGGCCTCTACACGTCCAACTCTATCATCGCGGCACTTTTCCGGCGCTTCAGAAGCCCTGGATCCGGTGGTCAGCACATTGACGTCGCCCTTTCGGACTGTCAAGTGGCCACCCTGGCCAACATTGCTAGCTCTTGTCTGATCAGTGGTCAGCGCGATTCTGGTCGCTGGGGGACCTCCCACCCGTCGATTGTGCCCTACAAGGCATTCAAGACAGCCGATGGTGACATTCTGCTTGGCGGAGGCAACGACAAGCTGTATGGAACACTGTGCACTAGGCTGGGTAAACCTGAGTGGATTACAGATGAGAAGTTCAAGACGAATGCATTAAGAGTACAGCATAGAGATGAGCTGGAGGAGTTGATCGAAGCGGAAACGCGAAATAAAACCACCCAGGAGTTGCTAGATATCTTTGAGGGAAGCGGAATGCGTAAGTGGTTTTGGTTGCATCTTTCAAACAACCATTGGGCTGACTTGTATAGCCTATGCTGCCATCAACGATGTTCAAGATACGCTGAATCACGAGCACGGTATGTTTTGCACTGGGACCACAATGGTTTTGCACCGGTGAATACTAACAGTACCAAGTGCTTGCGCGTAACATGGTCAAAGAGATCGAGCACCCAGCATGCGGGCCTATCAAGCTGGTAAACACGCCGGTGAAATGGTCGCAGTCTACTCCAGGAATCCGGCTGCCACCACCGTTGCTGGGCCAGCATACTGATGAGATTCTGAGTGATACGCTAGGAATGAGCAAAGAGGATGTGGAGGCCTTGCGGAGCGAGGGGGTTGTTGCGTAGTTGCCAGGTCGATATCATCGGAAGCATGTCACCCGCGTAAATCAGGCTTCGAGTCCGAGGCGCAAATTACTATACAAAGGTCCATGGCATGGTTGTATGTCTGGAAAGGGTCTAGAACGTGCCGTCCAAGATGCTAGTGCAAGGAACATCGATGCGCCATGACGCGATGCGGGAAACCACCTGGGTTGCCGGGGCAATCGCGGCCGGGGCTTGTTTACCGGCACACGCGAGCATGGCTGGGTCCATATGAGTGGTACACCATTGTTAACTAACTTTGGGCCTGCATCCTGTGCAAGAGACTCTCACGTACACATACGTATATTCCCTCGCCATGGACGCCCCGACGCGCCCCTCTAGTTCGCTCTTCAATGTCTTTTTGCGCCTGCGCCCCTCCAACGCTACAAATGCCCGCTTCCTCACCGTTGAGGAAAACGACAAAGGCCATCCAACACATATCACGATACAGCCGCCTACAAACACAAACGACAAGCGCAAGCGAGCCGTGGAGCGTTTTGCCTTCACCCAAGTCTTCGAGGAAGATGCGCAGCAAATGCATCTGTTCAAGGGCACGGGCATCGTCCAGATGATTGAGGGCGTCATGGGCGCACCAGGCCACCATGGACGAGATGGACTGTTTGCAACGCTAGGCTGCAGTGGCTCTGGAAAGGTGTGTTGCACCATATGTGACAATAGGGTTCCCGGTATTAACACACGGACAGAGCCATACAATTCTTGGAACCAAAACCCAGCGTGGTTTGGTTCAGATGACGCTTGATACTGTCTATCAAGCCTGTGACGGGCGACTCGTACAATCTTTCTATGGGGCCCCAGCCTTCTCGTCACTAGCAGCAGCCGATGTCTCAGATTCTCAGATGTACACCGCAACCGCATACTTGGATACAGTATATGGAGACAACCAATCTGAACGATTTCCTTCAAGAGCGCAAACTCCCATGCAGGTAAGTTGGTTCCTCCACAAGCAGACGCCTGCAGACAAGAGCTCACTCGTGAAATAGGACTGTAGTATATTCTCCACGGGTAGTAACTGGAAATCAAATAAGATCCCGCGGCCATCGTTGCTGCCTCAGACCCCTTCTGTTGACGATATTCACCTTCCCGAAGACCCGACCGTAGAATACGCAATCATCATGTCCATGTACGAAGTATATAACGACCGTATTTTTGACCTTTTGAGTGGCAGCGCCTCAAAAAACAAGAGCCACAGTGTGAAGCGTAGGGCACTGCTCTTCAAGAACACTGAGCAGAGCCCGGATCGCAAAGTCGTTGCCGGCCTTACCAAGATTATCTGTGGCAGCTATGAGGAGGCGATGATGATTCTTGAGACTGGTCTCATGGAGCGCAAGGTCACTGGCACCGGAAGCAACGCTGTGAGCTCGCGTAGCCACGGCTTTTTCAACATTGAGATCAAGAAGCGAAACGCGGAAAACAAAGGCCCTTGGTCTAGCAGTAATCTCACCATTGTTGACTTGGCAGGATCCGAGCGTGCTCGGAATGCTAAGACTGCAGGTGAGACGCTTGCTGAGGCCGGTAAGATCAACGAGTCTCTTATGTATCTTGGTCAGTGCATGCAGATGCAGTCGGACAATGCCGGTGGCTCAAAGGTATGCTCAACATCATTCCCCTGAAGAAGTGGTATACTAATCAGTCAACAGAACATTGTTCCGTTCCGTCAGTGCAAGCTTACTGAACTTCTCTTCTCAAATTCGTATCCTTCTTCCTCACGAACAGCGCAACAACATCGGTCACCTCAAAAGTCCATCATGGTCGTCACAGCAGACCCGAAGAGTGACTATAACGCGACATCCCAAATCCTCCGCTACTCCGCCCTTGCACGAGAGGTGACTGTACCGCGAATCCCGTCCACAACAGAGACGATTCTCGCAAGTTTACCACAAAAGCGCCCTGGCACATCATCTTCTGCTCGCACAGCGTCATCCGGCCGGGCCTCACCCGCTGCAATCATGGAGGAGCTCGAACATGCCAATGCCGAAGTTGCTCGCCTGACTGCCGAACTGGAAGTCTTTGCCCTCCGCTTGTCTGAAGAGACTGCTCGACGTAAAGCAGCTGAATCATCATGGGCCGCAGCAGAAGACCACTTGGTGGACTTTGAACAAGAAATCCGCGACGAGTGCTACCACGAAATGGAAGCAGCAGTCGACCAAGAACGCCGCAGATGGCAAACCGCACTAGAGAACGAACAGGACAACCAACAAGCCCACATCGACTCAAAAATCGACGTAGTAATCCGCGCAACAAAAGCCTCAATGAAGCAAGACATCAAAGTATACGAAGACCCGGACCCGGAGCTAAGAGATCGCGTCGAGGAACTAGAACGAGAAAACGAAATGCTAAGAGCCAAACTCGAGGCTCATGAACGCGAGACACAACAACGATCTGCGAGTCCCATCAAGAGGATGAGGGTGCTTAAAGCGAAAAGGTGGGCGGATCCGAGCGCTTATGCCATGGATGATGAATGAAAAGGCACGACCAGTGTTATGCGCTATGTTACGATATTGTTTTTTTCTGCATGGAAATGGCGTTCCTTTAAAAAAAACACCCCCCTTTTCTCTTCGTTGAAGTAACCATGGTAATGGTTTTTTGTTTGGGGTTTTGGGTCTGGGTTTGGGGTATCCACGGTTGTAATAAGGAGGGTGCCCTTTTTTTTCTTCTTTTTTTCCCTCTCCTGGTTGTTGTTTTTTTCAACCATCTTCTCGAGATACCACACTTTACGTCTTTTAATTCTTTTTCTTTTTTGGGGGAGGATTTCTCAGTAATGGAATTTCACATTTCTGTTTTGAATGCATGACTTGGTTATCTGTATTGATGATGGTAATACAACAATGTGCTTGACTCGGTCCTTTTTTGTGCAAAAGGTGAGTCCTCTGTCACCAGTTATTTTGCTTCTTTGTTTTCACATGAAGACCATGGTCACATAACATTCCTTGGTCAATTGCTCCTCGGAAGATTTTCACTGTATAAGATACTCCTCAGCAGTATCCTAGACCACTTTCTGTCCCTCGCCTAAACCATCCAGCGTACCGTCCGCACCCATGCCCGTGCCATCACCTTTCCACCCATGGCTGAAAACCTCAAAGTTGTCGTCGACAAGCCAATTCAGGTCTTCGCTCTCAGGACGCAACGTCCGCGCGAGTCCGTTGCCGGCTTTGGGGTAGTGCGCAGGTGGATCGGTGTCGTAGCCGTCATCTTCGTCGTACTGATTGCCAGCCAGATCAATCGTCGTCCGGGGTTGATGACTGTTATCACCCAAGGTTTGGGCTTCTGTCGATCCTAATTCCGACTGTGGATGTGATGAGAACTGGGGTGTAGCACCATTTGCAGGTGATGTTGTTGAGGGCTGTTGGAGGGTTGGCGGAGGTGGCTGTTGCTGATTCTGTTGTACTTGTTCTTGCTGTTGCTGCTGCTGCTGTTGTTCTTGGTGCTCTTGCGGCTGCGCTTTAGCATTTGATATGTCGGATATAAGAGTCCGAACGTTTGGAGGGAAGACGGGGAGCTCCGGATGTCGGATTGTGGCTGTTAGGAGGAGGCTGACTAGTTGTTGTTGAGGGAGTGTGGAAAAATATGCACGTTTCTGCTCAAGTTAGCATATAAATTATCGCAAATGCACATGGCTGTTAGAAGAGTGGCATACTTGATCAACCGACAGGTCCTCGGCAACAACCAGATCGTGTGCACCCTCGACAGCAGTCTGCTTTGCTCGCGTACATGGGGTACATAGAAATTCCTTCTCTAGTACAGTGACTACCTCGTTATCGATAGGCGGATCGTGACAGTATTGGTGATAGGCAGTACTACAGGCATCACAGAATACTATCCGGTTGTTCGACGGGTCGGTTTCTCGGTGGCACGTCTTGCACTTGGCGGCGAGGAGCGTCTTGGTTGACTTTCTCCGCTTCACACCCTGAGCCGGCTCTGGAATGACTGGGACGAATGCGACGGGCTTGTTGACACTGCGGCCAGACTTTGTCCTCGTAGGAAGTGGTGTGTACGAATCCGAGACGTCCGAGTCGCCGTCGTCGTCGTTCTACATAACGTTAGTCTTCAGTCTTCCCGCCTGTTGCGTACACTGACATGGCTTTCCTCGTCGCTGTCGGAGCGCTTTCGCTTGCCTCCTCTTCCACCCCGCCCGCCGCGCCCCCGTCCACGCCCTCTGCCAGATGCGCGGCCAGACGACGTGGGCGCAGGCGATGTGCCGACTTCGGTCTTGAGGTTGCTCGGCGTGCTCACTCTGCCTCCTCTTCCCCTGCGTCCGGTGGCCACGGCAGGTGGGGGCGTCGGCAGCTTGTCGCTCGTGACATAACTCTGGAGGATTTCTGCCCGCTTGGCCTCGAATGCAGCACTGCCAGCGGCATGACCACTCTTTCCCTGGAGCCTCTCAAGAATCGCAGCCGTCGAGGCCGAGTACTGTGGAAAACTTGGGCCGCTGGTTGCGCCAGCGGTTACGCCTGGTGGGGAAGAAGCTATTTGGGACGAGGACGCTGGGGGCATGGCCATGGGTGTTGTCGATTGCGGCGTGGCAGCCGACATACTGGTTGCGCCGTCACCACCAGCATTGTCGGCAACACTCTGATCAGTTGGGCCGTTTGACGGGTTCATCTTGGCCTGCAAAGCCCCGCGACTGGTAACATGTGACTCTGGATGCCGTAATTGCGCACGTTGGCCGAGTAGAGAGCAATGCTGAGACTGGACAGTGAATTATAGCGATGCCGCGGTTACGGCCCGAGCTCTCGGAGCTAGTACAGAGTAGCGAATCAAAAATAGCATTACATCACCCCCGTCTTTTCTTTTTCTATATATACTTGTCCCACATTAAACTCGACATATCTTCGACGCAAACGTTGCTGAATAGAAAATCTATGTATTTACTTGCACCAAATTCGCAGATAACAAAAGGTCGCACCAAGAACCAGGCGAGCAACGCCTCCATCCAAAAAGCTAAATCTACATATTCATACCATTCCATCCATTCTTGGACTGATCCATCATGCGCTAGAGGCCGTTCAGAACAAGTCCTAATTGCGGATGCGTTCTTGTTCCGACATCGCAGTGCCTGACTCCAGCGTGTTCATGTCGGCGTGCTTCTTCTTTCCGAAGGTATTCCCAAGGGGAGGGAAGCACAGTCCAGGATGGAATACCGTCTGTGCTAGCACTGTGATTGCAATCATCACACCCTCCAAGATGATGAATTCCAGCTCCTCCTGCATGAGTTTGCCGCCCCAGCCGCCTAGTAGCTCGGGAATACGATACACGCATCGGACTAAGATGGTAACATAGGCGACTATCACAGCGCCGCAGAATAGTTTGAAGCGTCGATTCTCCCAGAGTGCGATGGCTGATGGGGAGAGGCGATCGCGGTGGCGGTAGGTACGGATGCTGTATTCGAGAACGAGAAGACCGAAGAGGGCGAGCGCTAGTCGTGTGTCAGTGCTGCTGCAGCATGGACAAACAGAGAGTGACTCACCAACAACCTGCCAGATGATGCCGGCAATCATGATGTTCGTTCCGATGTCCAAAATGTCATCACCATCTTCTGCCGTCGCCGCAAGAGCACCACCGGCACTTTGAAGGACCAAAGATAGAAGATCGGCAGCGATGAAGATGTATGTGTACCAACTTGGCCTCAGCCTTGACCATTCTTGACCGAATTGAATGACGACGTGCTTGAGCGTCAGGTAAATGCCTGCTGCTAGGAATGCTGGTGCGAAGATGACTGTATTTTACATTGTCAGCTTCCGTTATGTGCCACTACAAGACCAACCACTTACGCAACACAATCTGAATATTGAACCCTACATCATTCCAGGGGTTTTCGTGGAGGAGTATTCGTCCAATGTATCCAATACACTCTGCAAGACAACCGCAGCCCAGAGCAATCATATACGTCCATGTCTTGTACCGGATACCAAAGTAGATTTGGAAGACAAGTGCGAGGCCGAAGTAGGCAGCGAAGAAGGCGTTGGCCCCGAGGCTCGGATAGTAGGCGTAGATTGTGTTTTCGACTTCGCACCCAGGGGGTCCTACTTCAGTGCACCCTTCAGGGGGAGGATCCGCACGATAGACGAGTGTGTTCATGATGACGAAACGAAGCGCGAAGGGGTATCAAAAACAAGAGAAGAACCAAAAAAAGACGAAAAGTGATAAGATGGATGAAAAATAAGCTATTAAGCTCAAAACTGTAAGTTGTAGTGTAACTCTGTCTGATCTCATCTCGAAATCCGAACGAACCCTTCATGCTATTTGTATCACTTTCCCAACCCGCACCGCCCAAATCATTGATCTCTGTGGCTTACTCCGCCTTCAACGACCACGTACTCATGCACAAGCAGCCAGCGCTCCTTGCGCCAGGTCCTCCTCATAGCCTCGTCGCCTAACCGTCGAAGGAACCGTAAGCTAAGACGAGCCCCATCGCAACGCTTACCACAACAGGAACATGGAAGCAAATAAAAGCCACAGAAAACCGTTACCCATGCGATAAGCCTCAATTCGTGCGTCAAAATGTGATTGGTCGCATCGATTCCCTCCTGTGGTTAGACCCGCAGGCGTTGCGTGTACTCGCGTAGATTTGTACTCGGGTCTACCAAAAAGTGGGTTTAGATAGTTTATGTCCATCAGCTCTGGGAACAAATATTACCAAAGGAACTTAGTCTCACACCTAAAAATAGCGAATCAGATCATACATACACATGCATATATACACATGTTTCACAATTCCATACAACAAGTGTCAAAACAGTCATCTTCCGACTCGCTGTACCACTTACCTGCACTTACTTACTACTAATCCACCCATATGCCAAAAAAAAACACCCGTACGTAAACCAACAGAGACCTCAAACCCAAAGGAAACCCCACATCTCAGCTCTCATCTCATCGCCTCTCACCGGAACCACACAACACACACACACTCACATTCACACCCCATCGCTCCATCGCTCCCATAAACTTCTCGCCAGCGCAAAATGCTCCTAATCCAGTAGTGTTGGAATGTGAGAGTAGGAGAACCGGAGATGCAACAACCCCCCTTCTTACGCATAGATAAGAAATGAATGCACAAGATAAAAAAACGACCTTCCCATCAACTCCCAAACATAACCCCCAGCCCAGCACATCCAGGCATCCAAAACCATACCGCATCCTCACAAGCGAGTCAAGCGACATAACAGTCAACAAACGCAGGGAAGAAAACGAAGACAAAGAGAAGAAAAGAGGAACTCAATGCGCAAGGCGTAAGCTTACTCTACGTTTTTTTTCTGTTTGCTCTTGGGGGCTACGTAGGCTGAAGCTTGCCAAGAAAGTGGGCACTTTGGTGGCTTGAGAGAAAGATTGGGATTGGGGCCAAGAAGTTTTTTGGTGTTAAGCGAACAAGGCATCAGCGTAACCGCTCAATCAGCTGTTTTTCTCTTGTTGCGTCAGGCGGGCTAAAAAGTGCCTGGCGAAGCGAGGTGAGGGGGGCCTTATAGTCACAGTTGTTGTTTTCGATTGGGGAGTTTTATTGGTTGTGAGAAGGGTTTTCTCCTTTCCTTTTTTTCCCCAAGCATTGAATGGGTAAAGAGGCGGGTGGAGATTAGGTAGGGGATAAAGGATGCAAAAGATCGAAAGATGGTGATATCATTATGTGTATTGCATTTCTGCAAGGCTATTTACAAACAATGTGTTTTCCTTGGAGAAACGTCTATCTCTGCCACACATTGTAGGCATTGGCATTGATCAGCGCCATGCCGTCCTTTCTGAACGTGTCGGGCTCGGCGAAGCTCGAGACATTTGCGTCAAAGACGTAGTCCAAGGGGTTAGTGTTGTCATACATAGGCCACTCAGCCTCTGTGCCATTCCTGTCGAATGAGTCCCTCCACGCGTTGGGGTCCAGGTCGTGGACGAAGCTGATCCAGTTGCTGTTCATGAAGCGGGCTAGTTCGCGGTAGGGCTCAGTCTTGTTCTCGAACGGTGGGGTCTAGCATGGTCAGTTTCGAGGACTTAATGGTTCGTGGATCACATAAGTACTTACAGCAGCAGGCTTGTAGCCGACACCATCGAGATTGAGGAATACAAAGGATACTTCCTGGAAATGCGGTACACCAACCGCTGCGGGGATGCCGGCAGGAATGGCGTTGAAGCGGTACGAGTATGCCGGGATGTCTGCTGCGGCCCAAACCTCGCAAGTCTTACGGCGGTTTGCAACGAATGTCTGGTCGCCAAAGTAGGATGCGGAGCGGCGGAACTGTGCTCCAAATGGTGGGCCCGGTCTAGCATCTCCCAAACTTTGGATCACGTTGACTGAAAGATCGTCAGGATAGGCAATGAGTAGCTCCTCGGTCAGGTTGGCGGGTACACCAGTAGCCCTGATGAAAGTGCGCAGGTCCTCGGTACTGTTTACAGGGAAAGGGCTGAAGGAAGCGCCCTCATCAGAAGTGGTTCCAATGATAATGGGCACATGTACGAATTCACCAGCATCGAGCTGAAGAGAAGTAGGCTTCTGGATGAGGTCGTAGTCCAAGGAAGGCCTAAAGTCTGTGACGTTGAGAATCGGGCTTGAAATGTTGATGGCTGCGTTGAGTTGCTCGGTAGACAGACGGCGCAGACACTCGAGCGGGCTGGTAGCAGTGTTACAGTTGGTACGGCGGGTAAGTTCATCGTACTTGGCCGCGGAGCTCACAGCTGGGTCTAAAAGACTTGCATAGTTGATGGGGCTACCACTCTGCATGATGGCAGCACGGAAGAGATGGTCGTCGCGTCCACCGTATGCGACCAAGTGGATACCGACAGACGCACCTCCTGCGCTCTCTCCATAGATGGTGACTTGGTCAGGATCACCTACCGGTTGTCAGCTCACCAGTTTGCATTAAAAGACGCTGTATTTCAACATACCTCCAAACGCCTCGATGTTCTCCTGAACCCAGTGCAGGGCCAGGCGCTGGTCTCGGAGACCAAGGTTGAGATGGCCGGTATCGGCAACCTCTTTGCTGCCACTCAGGAAACCCCATGGGCCGAGACGGTAGTTGATGGAAACGCCAATAATGGGCTTGCCAATTTTTACCGAGTTCTGTACCGTGAAGGAGAGGTTGTAGCGCTGGTCAACACCGCCTCCTTCGAAGAACCCACCGCCGTGGATCCAGAATGCTACAGGGAGTTTGTCCTCCTCAGTGTATCCTGCCGGGCGGATGATGTTGATGTAAAGACAATCTTCCGAGACCTAGAACAGTAAAGGATTAGTGTAATCCGGCGCTACGGTCCGTAAAGAGTCTTTGCATACCTGGTAGTTCCACTGGTCAGAGCCATAACCGTAGCACTGTAACCCGGGTTAGCCAAGATAATATGCATTGAAAGAAGGAACATACTTCTGGGGAATACTCGGTAGCTGGCTTGGCCTCATCCCAGGTGGTGTTCAAACCAACTGGGTTCCTGAAGCGCAAGTCTCCGACAGGTGGCTGCGCATAGGGGACGCCTAGGAAGAAGTCCTGATCATACTCGGCGGAGTACCTCCCAACGTATGAACCATTCTTGGTCTGAGCAGTCGGTGCGACACTGGAAGCCCCGAGGCCGACGAACAGCGCGGTGGCGAGAGCAGCGTTGCGCAACATGATTGGCAGTTGGTTTGCTGAGTGAAAGAAAGATCGAGCGGATAACTGAGGCTCGCTATGCTTTATACCGTGAGGCTTGAGCCTGCCCAAGAGGCATCTCGCGTCGAGGATATGTCCCGCGGACTATGGCTTGCGACTAAACATCTGCCGCTCCGTTCTTGAATCCGGGGTACAACGGTTGTTGCACCGTTTGCGCACAAGTGCGAGGCGCGGCCACATTCTGCGGGGAACATGACATCGTGGTGTTTGTAGAGACCATTCGGAAGGTGGAGGGGTATGCATATAGTCCAAGGCTGCCATTGGGCCGGTAGCATCTGGGGCCGATGTTTACCCATGAATTGGGAGTACTGTCGTTTAGCGTGGCAAAATACGGGGTTGTGGGGTATGGGGCATTACAAGCTTTTTCAATCATGAGACCGACGTGTCTGGATGTGTATGTTTGTCCATTTGGTACTTTGCAGTCAGAGCGCAAAAAGCACGAAGTCAGTGAATTGATCGTAAGCTACACAGTTGACGTGCAGTACGGCTTACCGGTACATGGGACCCTCACAACCTTATTTGAACAGGGCTGCTTACATCATGCTTGCGATCATATATCATACTACTACTACAAGTACATCGCAGAAACTTCCGGGGATCAATTGAGAGCTCCACTGTCATGCTTGGTGGCTCGGCCGAAAATTGCGCAATTGACTGCCGGTACATGAATAGGGGTGGTCTCGTCACTTGGATTCAACGATTCAGCATCCTTTTCTGCTGCCAAGACGCTTGCTCAGGAACCTGGCTCTTCCGACTTTTCGGCCGTATACGCTCCAACCATCGCGCCTTGTTTTGGTTGATGGTAAGGCTAATGGCGATGGATGCTACCTCACAGATGCACCTTGGATCTCGACACATTACTAGTGCAAAATCACGGACATCCTCGATAGACATCCAAGTTGAAGGCATTATGGATAGATTAATTGAGTGACACCAGCCCAACGGAGTACTAGCCTGCAAGCATACTCCTTTCTTTGTCTCTCAGCATGGCTAGACACAATACGAGCGGATATAGGATATAGTGACATGCCCAAGTACCTTAACAGAAGTGACCGGCCCCACATTACCCATCATGTCGCGGCCAAGTTCACCGAGCTTGGTGGGTACTTCGGTAATCGTCTTCCCGACACACGCTCTCTGCAGATGAATAGAGAATAGAAAATAGAGACCTCGCGGCGGTTTCTAAACACAAAGGAAAGATGGACCATATATTCCGCTATTCACCAAGAGAGATTTCCGTGCCGAAAACGTCGTTGTTCCAGACACATGCTGGGCGTTGCGTAGTAGAAGTGGGAAGAGCCAGCTGAATACCCCTCCTTCTCAGCAGGTCGACGGATATGTAATGCGTGCTTCGAACTCTGTCATCAAGCATTCACATGCATTCCCAATCACATGCCGGCTGGTGGGAGTTGCATCTAGGAGTGTGTACGTATACACAGCTGCGGGCATCTACCAGTCGGCAACTGCACCTCTCGAGTCGGCAATTACCCCATGTACAGAACTCCGATTCCTCGTCCGGAGCAGCCACCCGCACACCAGGTACGGACATTGATAATATGGCATAATATGCATACGCTATGGATTTTATAGAGCCAATAGCGGCGATAAATTGAGATTGCGGTGTTCGTTAGCGCAGCCTATGTTCTGACGTCATGACAGTGTCCAGGTCATGGTCTTTCACTGCCAAGCCTTTTAGGATGTGAAGAAAGAAAACGTAAAATTGAGTAGTACTACATGTCGTTGCGACTAAAATATGCTGTTATCTGAGCATGTAAACGGTCCGCTCAGGTTACTGTTGGGATCATTGTAGATCTCGATAAGAGCCTTGAGAGAGGTGTATAAGCCACCAATCATGAGGAAAATCGTCATGAGCATGATGGCGTAGTTTAGAATGGCCAAGAACTTCTTCCATGGGGTACTCCATTGTACCTTCCAGTTCATGTGTAACCAGAAAATGCTGGTGAGACCAAAGGTGAACCATGACACAAAAATGGCCGACGAAATGTTGAGGATGGACGAGAAGATTGGCACCGCGTTGGAGATGACAAAAGATACAGCCCAGAAAAGCGTACCAATGCCAATCCAGAGGGACCATGTGAACGTGTTGTGCACATTCACCTGTTCGGGCTTTGCGATTCGCATAATGGTGATATACTGTGTACGTATTAGTTTCGTGCTTCAGTCGGGGAAAAGGGTCAATCATACCATGTACTTGATGGCCGTAATTCCAATGACAAGACCTGTACCCAGAACCGAGGGAATCAGAATGCCATAGGCAATCTTAGCTGTAAGCTTGGGGGCGGAGCCAAGAGCAGGTGATGTAGTAGCATCGCCAGCCAAGCCGTAGATGACACATGCAACCACTATGTAGATGACTACTTCGAATCCCTTTTGCATGTAAAGTGCTGGGGGAAAGTCCCTGGAGGCGTCTCTCATCTCAGCCATGACGCTGATGAAGCTTTGGTTCCCCGCAAATGCAAACGCAATGTTTAAGAGTGCGTTGACGGTCTGAACAAAAGTAGGCTTTCCGACCAGAATTATCGAGACTTTGAAGTCGGAGGGAGCTTGTGGTCCGGAGACGCCCAGGGCAATCATGACAATCATGACCGCAGCCACAATGGATATCGTGCATACCCAACTGGCAGCGGCGGCGAATGTGAGCTTGCGTGGGATGCAGAGAAGCCAACACAGAATGTGCGGGAAAGCCATGAAAGCCACAGTGCAGAGAGCGTGGTTGGAGAGCGTGTTGAGAGCGACCGACAGGGTGATATTGGCCGAAGCACAAATGAGTACCAGGTTGAAGATGAAGGCAACACCGAGAAAGTACTCAAACGGTTTTCCGCCGACATAGAGAGCGCAGTCGACGAGATTGGTGGTCATGGGGAACATTCTGTGGAACTGAAGCAGAATATAGCCGCAATAGGTTGTGAGTCCACCGAATCCCAAGATGGCGATGATACCGGGTATGAGTCCGAGGGTTTGAAGGGCTTGAGGCAGACTCAGGATGCCAATTCCGACTTCGATGGTGATCAGGATGACGCATGCTCGCCATCGACCCAGAGTGCGATAGTTTTCGCCAGAAGCGTTGGGGTATTCGGATGCGCCTGCATGGCCGTCGCCCGTCCAGCCTGTTGTGATGTCGGTGTTGTGTCCATATGCCTCCATGTCCTTCTCCGAAGGGGGGTAGTCGGAGGCGACATCGCCGTTCGAGGACGTCTTTTGTTCTTTCTTGAGGAAGGCTTTCAGACCCATGGTTGAGATGGGTCACAGCAAGGTGGTATGGAGTATCGGGAGTCAATGGTAGGAAAGCACTTTGGTAGCGAGGACCGGCGAAGTGTGGTCTTTTGAACCAAAGCACCTCCTGTATCGGCCATGTCGAACCTGATCCTAGGACGTAATGTCTGCTAGTGGCCGAACAGACCCTTGAACGATCGTCTCCCGGCGGGAGCCGCTTTTCTAAGTTTGCCCTGTGGCCAGTTCAACGGACCCTAGACCGATATGCTATCATGCTTAACAAAGCGGAGTGCAGTTTGTGGGGGAAATGGCACGATAGGGCTGCAAGCGGACTAGATGAACGCGAAAATTGTGCTTGGATGGTGCGAGACGCGAGGAATCTCGAGGGTAGATGGGCTCAGTGGGGCGTGGTGAGTAATAGCTTCATGCTGAGATGTGACCGTGTTGCCTTCCGATCCACATTATCACGTAAAATTCTTCGAGAAATTTGCCGGACCCGTCTTTGCCACTTGGCAGGGTGATGAAGGCATCCGCAGTTCGGACGTCAGAGCTGAGACGAATAACTGGGGCGGTTCGGCTGGCTGCATCGCTGAATTTTTGGCGATGTGTGCTACAGAAGGCATGTTGTGATGAGTTGATGGGCGTGAGGCTCAAGAAGGGATGATGTGGCGGGGTGGGGCGGGACGGGACCTAACCCAATGATGCTAGGCAGCTTGCGGCACAACATGAGCACGCAAATGGGAGCACGCGACAAGGGCCGACTGCAGAATATGGCCGTTGAAGAGGGCGCAGATTGTACTTGGATGCATAGAGTTCAGTGAGTGGTGGTCCTGTACTACACAGAGGTTGCAGGTGTACGGTGTGTATGGGTCTGGTTTGGCGCATCGGTTGGGTGTGCGAGCCAACGATAGATGAAGGTGAGAAGATTCTACGCCCGCAAATGCAATGGCCGTCTCGGTCAGCGAGGATGCTGCTGCTGCTGCTGCTGCTGCTTATCTACTCTAAAGCGCAGAAGCGGACATCAGAAAACAGCCGGGTGCGTTGTGCTGTTGTGCTTTTACAGAAATATAAAGGTACAGGGCGCGTGTGATTGGCTGGCTGAGGGCGGCATGCAGGGCAACGGCGAGCGAGACCAGCCAGACCCGTCTAGTGTGCTGCCGTGTTATCATGTGCACACATCAAGTGATGGCGGTGAGGCGTGGATGCGCGTGCGATGCCGATGCCATGACACCCAAGCTGAAGCTGAGCACATTGTTTGCGTGGGACAACCACCAAACTACTGCCATGTACGAGAGAAAAGCAAAACAGAGGCGGTTATGACGGCGTTCCCAGTTGATGTCACAACAACGCAGAGGCTCTTCCAAGCCTGTCACCCTAGTAGCCCGTTCCGGCGCCGCTAGCGCCTAAAGGTGGGGTTTACGAGGGATGGGAGCAAGGTTCCCCGACGCAGCCAGACCGAAGTGGCATGGCCTTCTCAATCCATTGCCAGCCGTGGTTCTCGCACATAAGCACTGCAAGCCATCTGTCAAGTGTCATGTCTTGCTTCATTAGAGGCCGGCTAGTCATTGCAGCGCTGCGAGTAGAGGGGAGTGGAAGTCCCGCCAGATAGTGTCGGAGGCTATCTGCCGATCCTATCCGTTTTTCTTAGTGCCTGCCCAGGACAACAATCACCCAGAACTTTCCTCACACCACCGTCCTTCTCTCCAAACTCTTCGTCTTTTACACCGCCCTCGCCTCTCATCTTCTCCGCACACCCCTCCCATCTTTGTTTCTTTTTTTGATTACGTGCTCATATAGGCCAAGCGCAGAAAAGCCTATACTTACCCAGCATCCCACGCGCCACCCCGAGCCACAGCAAGACTGCGTGTTGGCAAAGCCGTAAGATTCATACCAGGTTGCAGAATGCCATTTCTCACAAAGAACCGAAGAAACAGCCTCCAAAATGCCGCCACCCACGACGACGACTTTCCTGCCGCCCAGCTTGGTCTTCTAGGTAAGCGTTTCCCCCCCTGAGCTGCTGCTGCTGCTGCTGCTGCTTACCATTTGCACCCCCCATGTGCCCGCCTATACTGACATGAACACACAGCCCTCGTTCGGGTCGCAGAGCCAATTGCCCTCACCTCGATCCTTCCATATGCCTGGAAACTTGTCTCCAACTTCCACGTTGGCACAGAGACAAATGCCCCCTTCTTCGCCGGCCTGCTCATCTCAGCCTTCTCGCTTGCAGAGGCCTGTAGCGGCATGTACTGGGGCGGCGTATCCGACCGTATAGGTCGGAAGCCCGTCGTCATACTTGGATGTATAGGCACCATGTCGTCTCTGCTCCTTGTTGGCTTAGCCCCGAACTTTTGGGTTGCTCTTGCCGGTAGAATTATCGGTGGTGCGCTCAACGGCAACATTGGCGTCATTCAGACCATGGTCGGAGAGCTGGTAAAGCGACCTGAGCATGAGCGTAAGTACTGCCGTTTTTTTATTGCAGAGAAACAAGATATTAACTGGTTAATAGCAAAGGCATACGCCGTCATGCCGTTTGTATGGAGTATTGGTACCATCATAGGACGTAAGTTGAATATGCTGGCCTGGTTTTGAATCCCCTGATCGCTGACGTCTATAGCTTCGATTGGTGGCTACTTTTCTGAGCCTGCGACCAACTTTCCCTCGGTGTTCAGCCCCACGGGTCTGTTTGCCAAGTTCCCCTACCTATTGCCAAACATCATCTGCGCCTCCCTGCTCTTGCTCTCTATCATCATGGCATATTTCCTGCTGGATGAGACGCACCCAGACAAGCAGCCACATGGATTCTTTGAACAATACGATGCAACTGTTGCAGAGACTCCACTTCTGCCTGCTCAAGGTGCAACCGCTGATTCTGCAGCAAACCTGACTGCGGATTCATACGGAACATTCAACTCGGTCGAAGTTGAGCGCGACGAGGTTTGGCGCGTGCGGTCCAACGGAGACTGGGTTGAATCGCCCGCTAGCGAGAAAGTCTTTACACGGCCGGTGATTATGTTTGTCATAGCACTGGGGATTTTCACGTACCACTCGGTAAGCACAGAAGACCACTGTGGCACAGAGATCAACGCTAACCGCTTCACAGATGACATATGACCACTTGCTACCCATCTTTCTTCAGGACAAGCGCGCCAACGACGACATGAATGCATTGGAATTTGCTTCATCCGCACTGGGTGGTGGTCTTGGCATCCCGATTCAGAAAGTTGGAATCATTCTTTCCATGAATGGCATAATCCAGCTTGTCATCCAAGCCCTCGTTTTTCCAGTGCTGGCAGATTGCTTCGGCGTGTGGAGGCTATTGCTCATTGTCACATTGGCACACCCTATTGCGTACTTTATTGTACCCTTCTTGCAGCTTCTGCCTGAGCACTTGCTTTACCCCGGCATATTTGCTTGTCTCACGGTGCGAAATCTGACATCCATTTTGGCGTTCCCACTGCTGCTCATTATGATCAAGGAAGCTACCCCTGACAAGTCACATCTTGGAAAGATTAACGGACTGGCTGCTTCGACGGGTGCTGCCTGTCGCACCGTGGCTAGCCCTATCGCCGGTCTGCTCTATGGTCTATCAATTGAGCTGCGATTCACCCCGTTGGCGTGGTGGGGCTCTGCTCTGGTTGCTATTTGCGGAGCACTTCAAGTGCCTTTCTTGAACCGCGCAGCCCACGAATGCCATGCACAAGTGCGAACTGCAGCCCGATGCTGCCTTGTCAAAGAGCGCCGTCGAAGCGAAGTTGTGCGCATTGTGGTGGAGGATGAACAACCATAAGAGCAAGGATCTTCTGTGCAGTACATATTGACGAAATTTCAGGACAAACCCTTTTTTTTCTTTTTGAGCATTTTTTCCTTTTCATCGCTGAGCTCTGCGAACAATGATGCAATTGGACGGCGTTCTGCAATACACGCACCTAGAATGATGAGTATTGGCGTTCAACGTGTATGGATTGGCGTTTCGTATACCTAAAGATATAGACATGGTCGTGGGTTGTAAATAATCATACTACCCTATGGCATTAATAGCAACACGGCATGTTTACTCCTGGATGAGTTCCTGATCACATGTTTTTCCCCCAATGAGTTGTTGATGGGCTATAGATGGTAGGTCACCCATACGAGGGTAGGTTCATGCACAACCCCAGGGTGAACACTGCATCCGTGCTGGCTTGGTCTTGAAACGTTAGGGCCATTATGTAAACACCGAGTGGCCTCAGGAAGGGTGGCAATAAAGCTGCTCCACTATGACATAAGATATGCCTTGGGCCGTCGTTTCTCGTCACGGGCAAGGTATGAATGGGCAGTCTGGGGGCTGACACGGCCACTGTGATGCATCGTGTCTGGTATATCCTTGCGGGGGTGCCCGCGACCTTGAAGACAATGCCGTGTGTCGAGGTGTAGGAGGACAGGAGGGCGAGGCGACAGATCCCTGCATTTGCGTGCAACAGCCACAGGGCCAGGGCAAGAGCAAATATGCCGACGCCATTTTTGGAAGACATGTGTCTGTGTCTGCGTCTGTGTCTGTGGAGAGGGCCGCCGTCAGTGTTGATCGCAGCAGGGCGACCCTGAATGATGTGCCGTCTGGCCCGATGGATGGTGGCGCACACGGACGAGCGGGCGCGACCGGCTTGACAAGTTTGACTTTGCCATTGTGGCCCTCTTAGCAACCCCATCGCATCGAGTTTCCTCATCCTTGACGCCCCTTGTAATCTTGGGCCTCCAAGCACTCGAGACGCACGGCGCCGAGAGACCCAGGGCCTGCGTCGGGCAAAGCTTGTTGTTACCGGCCCTCGTTGGTCGCTACATGGGCGCGATGGGTGAAGGCCATGAAACACGCTTGCGCGCCTGCTTTTGGGCGACAGCGCTTCACCTCCAACCAATCCGTCCCGATAGATCGGCGTAAGATACTCGAATAGGCAATCAAGGTTATGCAGCGTCCAGTATTCGGAAACCAGTGTGGACATGGGCAGATGCAAGGAACGGAAGACTGTCATGGTAAGCTGATGGGCGGCTTCTAGCAGAAGCGGAAATAGAACATGGCCATGAGACCGCCTCCTCCAGGCCTCGCACTCGCCAACAACACCACGTCGTTGTCGATTACCGCTGAGGACAAAAAAGTAACAGTATTGTGGCGTCGATCAACCCATTGATAGCAGGCGACAGGCGGCGAGCCAAGAAAAAGCCAGCCGCCGGGGATCCAATTGAGCGCGTACTGGATGGTTCGCTGGCCGCTTGCTCACACAGGCTGCATGGTAGACTATTTAGGAAACTATCTAGGGCGTTTCAGAAGCACCCCATGCCAGGGCTGAAGCAGTGTGGCCTGGATCCCACCACCACTCCCAGGCCGCCTGGTAACCGACGGCCGTAGAGCCATGTGGGCCTGCAGAGCGCGCGACAAGCCGACTAGGAGGCTGAGCATTCCGAGGCCCCATGCTAAACGATTATCGACCAATACATTGACAATGTTTCAAGCTTGCTTGTTTCGTCCCTGTGCTGGGTGGGAAGAATATATTTTACATGTTCATGCCGCTTTTTACACACACACCCCCATCAGCTTCGTCTTTTTTAATCACAGCACTGCTGTTACATTCGCTTTTCCCCCAGGTGGAATACACTGCCCTCTTTAGGCTACATTCTCTTTTCTTGTAGACCATCATTCGTTTCGGTCTCTTGGAACTTTTACCTTGCCATTGACACTCTTTACGTCTTGCCTTGATATCTACATTGTTTTGTAGACTATACGACTACGTATTACTACTATTATTCTCTACCCCACATTTCACAATGAAGACTACCTTTGCTCTTTTGGTCACTGGACTGGCCTCTCAGCAGGTCGCTGCCACTTGGAACTTCTTCGACAACTATGGCACACCCAACTACAGCAACAACAAGTGTAGCGAGAAGCAACAGGGTGGCTTTAACTGGTCTGACCTCAACGACGGTGACTCGGTCAGCAACTACGGAGACTTTGACTTTTCTGGAGGCTGGAAGTGCGCCAACTCTTTTGGCAAGCTTGACTCGTTGACCAAGAGGACTTTTGGCAACAAGTGCATCAAGAACACGGTCGGCAAGAAGCAGCCTGCTTCATTCGGCTGCAACAAGCGTGGTTTCTCCATCAGCCACATGGACATTTCTTCCGAGTTTGACGCTGAACTCGAGCTCCACTACACTATGCAGGACGGGTCTATTTGCAAGCAGCGCGGCAGCTGCTCAGCTGGTGGATCGACTCTTCAGAACACCCAGTGCGGTGGTGCCAAATCCGTCGACATCTACCTTGGCTCTCACCACAAGGGCGACCAGGACTCGTGCGAGATTGGTTTCCACAACATTGGCTTTGACTGCAGCCCCGAGACTCCTTACACCACCCCTACCCCGCCTGAGGTTCCTTCTACCACCAGCCCAGCCGAGTATCCCACTTCTCCTGCCAAGGAAACTCCCACCCCAGTCCCCAGCACTACTCCTGCCGATGAGTGTGGACAGTACGGTGGTGAGGGATGCGGTACTACGTCGGTTCGGAGGCCTACTGGTGGCATCTGCGAAGGTGGCGACTGCTCCCCTGTTTCTACTCCTGAGGCTTCCACCTCACCCAGCGAGACTCCCACTCCTTCTGCTGACTGCGGACAATACGGTGGCGAGGGATGCGACACTCCCAGCGAGACTCCTACCCCCGAGGTTCCTACTTCAGAGACTCTTGTAGAGACTCCCACTGAGACTCCTTCCGAGACTCCTTCCGAGACTCCTTCCGAGACTCCTACTCCAGATGTTCCCACTTCCAAGATGCCCGCTTCTTCGCCTGCTCCTTACACCAACACCTCTGCACCTGCATACACTCCTCCCACTCAGGTTCCTTCTTCGGTTGTTGAGAGCACCACTGCTACTCCACCAGTCGAGAGCTCTGCCACTCCTGAATGCGGTTACGGCCAGTCTTGCGAGGAGTCATCTGCTATTGTCACCTCTGCCGTCCCTAGCAGCGCTGCCACTCCTCTCCCTGCCACCAGCTCTGAGGCTCCCAAGCCATCAAGCCCCAGCTACCCTCCTGTGGACATTACCGACTCGGTCCCCAAGTGCATGAACTCGTGGCTTCAAATCTCTGCTCCTGGCTGCAAGGACAACACCGACGCCAAGTGCTACTGTGTCAAGCCCGAGTTCACCAAGAATGTCATTGACTGCCTTACTGCTCGCTGCGGAAGTGACGACGATACCCGCAAGGCACTCCAGTACTTCATTGGTATCTGCGCTGAGCACATCCCCCAGAACCCCAACATTGTCGGTGACTGCCCTTCGTACATTCCTTTGAACCCTACCCCATCTCCTCCTGCTGTTCCTACTGGTGGCGCCTCTGCTCCCGTTCCTGGCAGCTCTGTTCCCGCTGCCGCTGAGAGCAGCCCCGTCGCTGTTCCTACTGGTGGAAAGGGCACTCCCGCTCCTTCGGTCCCAGCTGAGACTCCCGCTCCTTCAGCCCCTGCAGAGTATCCTGTTCCTTCAGCACCTGCTGAAGTTCCGGCTCCCTCGGCTCCCGCAGAGTATCCCGCTCCTTCAGTCCCCGCTGGAACTCCTGCTCTCACTCCCATTGCCAGCACTGCCCCCCCTGCTGAGCAAACCCCTTGCACCACCATCACCTACGGCACAACCACCCTCACTGTGCCCCAGGTCCACTTCACCACCGAGCCCAGCACCCCTGGTGCTCCCCCCAAGCAGCCTGTCGCTCTCGTCCCCGGCACTGCGCCCCCACAGACTCCCGCTACTACTACTCCCGCCGGCGGCGCCGTCCCTCCTCCCTACCCCACTGCCACTACCCTGGGCACTGCCACCGTCCCTATTGCCTCTGGCACTGGCGGCGTCCGTCCTTCTGCGCCCGCTGAATTCACCGGCGCTGCATCGCCCTTCAGCATGGTACCTCACAGCGCGCTCTTTGGTGCGCTCCTTGCCTTTTTCGCATTGTAAAACAAAAAACAATGCCAATCTTGTAATGTGTGGTCGGTTTTTTCCATAAACCCCAAAGCTTTTTCTCTTATGTATAGTTGGCTTTTTCATGTGGAATATATATCATGTACATGGATGACATAGGTGGGATGTTTGGGATGCATCTTTTGTAATACTAGGGCGTTCTTAAAGGAACTGGATATCGGGAGAAATATGAATATTCCATGAACATGTTGTATTGTTTTGTCTGTGAATGCGTGTTCTTGAAGTGATATTGTTCTTTTGCTTGGTGTGCTGGCTTAATTTAGCATTTGATTGAAGTGGGGTCATTGTAAAATGGATATGATTGTTCAAGTCAATCCTTCTCCTATAAGAAAGCAGAATATTATTCTTTCAGCCTTTATACAGACTAATGCATATGAAGATGGCAATTCTTCTATTGACTACATCGTCAGCGAGTCTGTTGCTATCATAGAGGCAAAGTATGAACTCTCAATGACCATACGGATCACAGCGGGAAGCGTACTTTCCGCTCAACCTTAGTGGCCATGCCGAGGTATTGCATCACAGTACCAACATTATACGTAAACTATATGTGTGCCCCAGCGAGATACGTCGATTCTCGGACCTTACGATGTGCTAGTAGATATCCTGTACCCAGTAGGAACGGGGGTAATTTCAGTTCGATTTGCAAGGCTGTCGTGAACACATTCTAGATGGAAAGACACCTTTGCCAAACTAGCACGATCTGGTCATTCACATGGCACATCTCCTTGGCAATGACCCTACAGATTGCCAAGTTTGAGCGGGTACATATGCGGGGAGTTCGCATGTGAATGATTCGTTACCATGGGTGGAATGCATGAACCGAGGTCCATGGTGCTTGTGCCGTGTCAGGGTAAGCCCTATGGGCCTCAGGTTACTAGCCTCCCCCAGACCCCAGATTGCGCCGGAACGACAACAACAAAGCGCTTCCCCCTCCCTCACGTCATGATCACGTCTCACACCACACCAGACGCCCAGCATGTCGTCGTCGTCGGCTAGCGCTTCGCAGCCTTCTCCACCGGGCAAGCCACAGCCCATCGACCCCATCCTGCGAAATGCGCTGCGATACACCATCTCGGCAAAGGAGTATCAGTTGCTGCACCAGTACCTCCTTTCACGTGCGCCGGTTGTGAAGAAACGCAGCATTACCCCCAAGCGATACGATGCCATTGTCAAAGGTCCGGATGACTACAATGTCGCTGCCTTCCGCGCCGCGTTGCGCCTGGGCTTGGTGACCTTGACTGGGCTCAAGGCGTGGGAGGTGATCAAGACAAGGTTCTTGTCGCGAAGAGCAGTCCAGAGGTACAGCCAGTCCATTTTTCCCAGTGCAAAGAACAAGTGTTTTGAAAGGGACTTTGTGCTGACATGCTAGCAGGAACCCAACCCGTGTGCCCATCTGGAAATCACCCAATGTCCGTCTTAGCAGCTCTCTCGCTCTGATACTCCTCTTCCATCGCCTCCTGCGACGCGTCTTTTTGCGTATCCGCGAGAGTCTTCTCAGCAATGAAGCGCGCTCTTTTCGGCGGCGGAACCCGCGCATAACCCGCTCGTTAACGTCCACAATCGCACCAGCTATCGGATCCAGTCTGGCAGGTTTCTTCCTCGCCGTGTATCCTGGAGACCAACTGCGTATTACCATGGCAATCTACGTCATGACACGAGCGCTGGAATTCAGCTACAACTACCTCGAAGAGCTAGGTTACATGAAAAACAGGCCGAGCTGGTTCGGCTCATGGATGCTCATGCCCGTAGCATGCGGCCAGCTCCTCCACGCCTTCGTTTTCGACCGCGACTGCTTCCCCTCTGGCTTCGGCGACCACATTCTCCGAAACTCTCCCGAGTACATCCAAAAGCGTCCTGCAGACTACCCAAAGTCCGCACCCTGGCCAGGTACCTACGACATCGTCGATAACCTAGCCGAAATCTCGCGCCAGAGATGGCCACCCTTCATCTCGCCCATCCTCTTCCCAGACACCGAAACTCTGCCCAAACGCCTGGGCTCCATCTCCCCCATCACCTCCTCCGCACACCCCGCCATCAAATCCCTCTCCTGCGCCCTCCTCCACCCACAAGACCCCTCCTGTCTCCGCACTTACATCCAATACTGGATCCAAGCCTTTCCCAAAGTCGCCCGCCTCTTCACCATCTTCTTCGCCACACTCAGCATCCGCAAATACAAGGCCTTTTTATCCTCCCCACTCGTCTCTCTAAACACACTCGCCAAATCCATTCTCCGCATGTCTATCTTTCTATCTGGCGCAATAGGAACGAGCTGGGGCTCCATCTGCCTCTTTACAAACTTCCTGCCGCGCTCTTTTCTCGCGACTCAACGATGGTTCTTAAGTGGTGTGCTAGGTGGTATGTGGGGATTCCTCGGGCGCAGGAACGGCAGAACAAATTTCCTGTACACGGCGCGTATGTCGGTGGATTCGCTGTGGAAAGTGGGTGTTAAGCATGGGTGGTGGACTGGTGTCAAGAATGGCGATGTCCTGCTTTTTGTAGCTAGCTTGGCCCTGGTCAATACGCTTTATGAGGTTTCGCCTCGTTCTGTTAATAGTGGTGTTGCGAGGAAGGGGTTGGGTGTTTTGAGGGGAGAGGGTTGGGTGGATAGGGCTGTGGTGGGTAGAGATGAGGATGAGACGAAGAAGAAGAGGGAGGAGTAATGAAATGTCTGGTTCCCTCCCATATATACCTTGTTGTTGTTGTTGTTTTTTTGGCATCCAAATGTTTGTATTCAAAATCTTCCATCATGACGATAACGAAGAATGCCATAATTTCTAATCCTACTATCTTCAAACCCAAGTATCCCCCCTCCCCACACCACAGAAGAAAGAAAAAAAGTACGATTTTAATACATATAGTTATATATAGTTATATTGATTTTTGCCATTCTCGAAATACAGAACATGCTATAGAAAGAAAGGAGGTAATTTGGGTATATCAAGGACTGATGGTAGTCCCCCTTGCTAGAAAGGAAGAAAGTAAGAAAGAAAAAAAAATAGCCGACTACATCGCTCTTCTGCTGTACGCTTTGAAGCGAAAGTTCTTTCCCACCTTACGCCATACACACAAACACACGCACACCACCTGCCATTACCATCCCATTCCCATATCCCCCATGATGCCCAACCGTGACATCACATCACACTCAAGCCATATCCATCGTCACCGCACACTCCGCCAACTCGGGTTTCTCACCCCCATAACTCTTCGGCACACCCTTACCCAACTGAGTAGCAAGTTGCTTTCCATCGCTCAGGACGACAAACTTCCTGCTCGTTTCTTTGGCAACGACGAGCTTGACGGCGGTAAAGACCCAGCCCATGATTGCAGGGACGTTGACGAAGAACTTGCGGGAGAGAGTCTCTGGGTAGTGGCGGCCTAGAATCTCGATTGTCTTGTTGGTGGCGGCTTTGACGAGGGGGTCGCGGCGGATGAAGGAGACTTGGAGGTAGTCGTGGACTTGGAAGCCTTGGTAGGGGTCCGGGCCTTCGCCGTAGTTGGGGATCGGGGTTGTGGCGGTGGAGAGGGAGAGGGCTTGGACGGATTTTTCCATGAGGCCTACGCGCCAGCGGAGGAAGCTGTGTTTACTTGTTAGCCTTTTGTTTCTCTTTCTTCCTCCTTTTTCCTCTCACACGCAATGTGTGAGGAGAGTAAACATCAGAAAACTTACCCATCTAGATCCCCAAACGTAGCCTTGTTATCCTTGACAGCACCATAGACATTAAACGTAGTAATATCCTTCTTATTCGGGCTCTCAGGCACACCCTCAACCTCAAGAACGTAGCCCAGACCCTCGAACCGTGCCTTGTCAAATGTCTCGGTGGCAGCCTTGATGGGGTCAAACGACTTGCGCCACTTGAGCGTCTCGAGGAGCTGCGCCTTGGCCTTGTTCAGGTCATTCTGGTTGGCGCGCAGGAACTTTTGCAGGATGAGCTTAGTGTGGAACGCGTTGGACTTGCTGAGCTCGATGCCGTAGACCTCGCTGTGCTGCGCTTCGCTGACGAGCGCTTCGAACGCGTCGTAGAACTTGGTCAGAGGATGCTCGGGCGCCGTCTCGGGCCATACGGGGCCGGTGGTGGGTTCGACGGTGCTAGCTTCAGGATGCGTATCGCTAGTAGGAGTTGCAACGGCAGGCGTTGTTGTGCTAGTACTAGTAGCAGCCAGTGGTGCTTCCTCCGTCTTGCTCTCCTCCTTGCTCTCCTCCTTTTTCTCCTCCTTTGCCTCTTCCTCTTTGACTTCTGTCTTTGGTTCTTCGTTTGGTTCCTCCTTTGGTTCCTCCTTCTTTTCTTCCGCCTCTACCTTCTCTACCTCCTTCTCCTCTTCATTCCTTTCAGAGACGGAGAGATCAGCTACTCCGGCAGTCGCATTGCCCACGGCCTTGGCGTCCTCCTTTTTATCGGTGGACTCGACCGCTGGACTGGACTCGGGCTGCTTCTCTGGAGTTGCCTCATTGAGGAGTCCTGCGCCTTCGGCAGCTATCGCCTTGGTCTCTTCTGGGTTTGCTGCCATTTTGCGAATGTCTCAAATTCTGTGGTTGCAATGTGCTGTTTGTATAGTGTATTTGGGGATGTTAAAAGGACAACGGTAATCACGCTATAATTTCCGAAACCGCAATACGAAGACGCGCGTTCACGTGTTCCCCACCTGTCAATGAAGACACGCGTTCTCAAGCATATCGGGTATACGATTGAACTGGGGAATTCAATATGGCAATGGCACATTTGGAAAATGTTGCATACATGATCATTTGGTCAAGCTATAAACTTCTAAACTTGAGGGCATGATGGCGCCTGCCTACATCGTCCACCCTCCCTGGCCCACGCCAATACTGAACGTGCCTCGGCGTTTCTTGCATCGACCAATGCAACACCGCAATCTAGCGTCTTCTCTATAGGCAGGAACGATGTTCGCAGGGCTAGTAGCAGCTCATCGCAATGAGTAACAAAGCAATCTGCATCCTCATTAGCACAAACTCCACCCAATTGTGACGTGCAGGGATTCAAGTAAAAGAAGCAATCAGTCGAAAGATGAAAAGTCTCGAAAAGTGTGTCAATCAGTGGGGCGAACCCCTCTGAGTTAGCATGAATTGGTGTTCATCATAGCATACAGGCAGAACAAAATAAGTATTTACCTTTTTACAAACAACTGGTCGTCGAAAGTAGTGAGTAATCAAAAGTCTATCAGATACCTGAAATCGAGTCAGCTGCATGTCACATGTACAAATGTTGCGACTGAAGATTGTGTGTAAAAAGACATTCAGGTAATCGAACTAATTTGTTCCCCATGGGTAGGTCGGTATTTGATAATACACTTATTGCTCATCATTGAGAACGGGTGTTGGGGGGTGTTGGAGTGTATTCTAACCTTTTCGATCCAGTCATAGCTCCAAGAAGCCCTCCACATATCGAGCGCACTGTTACTGCTTGCAAAAATCGTGCCATATGCAGTGAATGCGCCGGGTATGTAGAAGGCTTCGCGAAGCTATGATGGGTAAGCCACTACGAGGCCGCGCCGGCGCATGCATTGCGCCAGCATGTGGTGAACAATCGCATTTGTCTGGAATCCTTGGAATCAGTTAGCATTGATTCGCGGATAGCTTCTTTGCAACAATTCAAAAAAGGTTGAAGATATCAGTTTTCCCATTTGGCTTGGGTGGTCGATCACCATGTAGTGTATGATAGGGGCGACACGTATGTTCATCATGATAGCGGTGACGCGAAAGAAAAGTAGAGGGGGGTTATGAACTTACCAGACGTTGCGTTGTGTAGTGAAGAGAAGAAGCCGTCGAGCTTCCAACTTTTGTACGGGAACTTTTCGCGGCGGGTTTTTTGTTTCGCCGGGGCAGCCAGATGGTCCGAGCGTTTACCATAGCGCTGTTGTCTCCATTGACGCGCTCACCGGCCATTCTTAGGTCGACATCCACGCGCTTTCCTTCCAACACCCCAGCCCACTCCCGCCTCACCACCAATTTCAACCAACCGCAACCGCCCATCATGGTCGCATCGACAACTGTATCGTTTGACGACTTTGTCAAGCAGACGCGGGAGAAGAAGAAGAACGAGACGCTCGCCCAGCAGTTCCTCGGCGGCGGAAGCCGTGGCCGGAAACCCAATGCCTCCGGTGCGGGCGCAAAGCCGCGGGTCGATTCTGAGAAGCCGTCTCTTCTCAGTCGCATAAACGGTAGTGCTGGTGTTCAAAAGCGATCGGCGAGTGCGAAGCCAGCCGGCAGCATCGACGGGAAATGGCAACACGACCTGCACAAGCTGAACAATCCCCGCGGCGCAGCCAACACCAGGAACCACCTTGCGCGAACGGCGTCGGCGTCGCAAGTCGAGCGCAACACAAGGACATTTGACAAGTTCGCCTCGTCGCTCAACCGGGGTGCGGGCGCACGCAGCAACGATGGTGCGGGTATCAGCATCCGAGGTGTTGCAAACGGAGGACCATGCACCGTCATTGCGAGCAACTTTGCACCCGGGACAACAGCCGCCGATATCGAGGCTGTCATGAGCCCCATTGGAGGAGAGACTCTAGGATGCAAGCTTTTGTCCGCAAGCCCAACGGTCATGGTGGAGCTTCAGTTTGCGACCAGGGAAGGAGCGGAGAATGTCATTGCGACGTTCAACAACCAAAAGGTCGGTCTATGCAGGGTTCCGAGCGGAGCGAGACTAATGCAGTGTACAGGCTGATGGCAGGCTTCTCTACGTATACATGAAGGACGTCCCTGCGAGCACCCATCTGTCGCTGTCCCGAGCCCCAGCTGGTCGTCTGACCCAATCAGCCGATGACATGGAAATCGACACAGGCGCACGAGCTGGTAGCTTCCAAGATGGACGATATGGCTTCAACGAAAGTGGTCATCGCGACCCACCACGAGGCCCGCGCCGTCGCTACTAAATCACACATCATTTTGACAAGTCTTCTTTAAATCCATCACACACGATACCCTTTCACGAACAATGGCGATAAGCGAAAAAAAAAAGTCCCTTGAAGAGAGGTTATGTTAGTCCCTTACGATACACGGATGAAGCGGGTTGAGAAACCGGAATATGGCTTTTTCCTTTGGCAACATAGGCATGGGGTCGCGCTACAACAGCCGTTAAGCATGGCCTTTTGAAAACTGTCGAGATAGGACATGGTATCTAGAGCATACTTCTAATTACACTTCCGACGGACACGGCTTCCACTACGGTTCCTTTAAGTGCTCTTCCATCCCTGGATTGCCGCATCAACCTCATTCCTGTACCTTTGCTGTCCCTCGCATTGCTCCAAGAAGACCTTGTATTTGGCATCCAACAGCTTCTTGACTGCCTTGTCAGCCAACGGCTTTACTGTTTTACCAGGCTTGCTGAGCCGATCCATGATATCCCACAGCGGCTCGCTCTTGCCATCCTTGTCTGTACTGGCGGCCTTGGCGCCCAACATAGCTGCGCCATGCACAACAGCCGCATGTACGTATCGTGGGATGAGCACAGGCATGTCGCATGCCGTGGCCATGAGCTCCATGAGTAGGCTGTTCTGGCACTGCGACCCAGACATGAATATAGATGAAATGACATGTCCTGATTTGTTCATCGCCGAAACAATTTGATGTGTCTGTAGGGCAATGAACTCCATTGTGGCATAGTAGTACAGTGCTAGACTGTCAAGACTCTTGTCGGAGCTTAGACCGATGACAGATCCCTTCATGTTGGGATCAGCTATAGGTGAGCGGTTTCCAAAAAGGTCGCCGTAGAAGAAAAAGTGGCGGCCGAGCCAAGAGATATGCGGTGCCTTTTCATTGTCGGCCATTTCCCGCAAGTGTTCGTTCAGGTAGTCGTAGATGTTCGTGTTGTAAGTTTCAGCAACAGAGACAGCCTCGTTGAAAGCAGGGTGTATCTCGATTATGTGCTTGAGTAGTTCACCTGTTGCACTCTGTCCACCCTCTGCCATCCAGTAGCCTGGTAGGAGCACATCTCGGTATGGGCCCCATACTCCGTCCACAAAAACGGGGTCGCGGGACATGGCGAGATGGCAGGTAGAGGTTCCTGCAACGGCGGCAAGACGTGTAAAGGCTTGGGAAACGTCGTTCTTGGGCTGATCCATATCGAGTGTGTCCTCGTCGAGCTTGACCTTGGCCCCAACAGTACCAATCCAACCGGCATAAGCATCGATGACGCCGCTGCCGACTGCGATACCCGGCTGAAGGCCCATTTCCTGTGCAGCCTTTTCGCTGAGCGTACCGACGAGCTCACCGGCAGTGAGATAACGTCCATTCTGCCAGAGGGTTAGTTGCGCTCTAGATATCTCAAAGCGATGGACAAACCACATTATCAACACCTCCCATGCGCTTAAAGTTGTCCTCGCATAGCTCCTCAAGACCGATTTCCTTGAGAAAATCCTCCTGCCATCCCTTGACACTTCCGTCAACGCCGACTGGTACGAAGCCTTGCTTGCAGACAACACTGCAATAGCTCCGGCTCTCGCTTCCAGTGGCAAGATGTGTAAGGGCGTCCGTTAGATCGTAGAACTTGCAACGATCGAATAACTCTTTTGGCATGTTGTTCTTGAGCCAAAGCACTTTTGGAATCTCCATCTCAATTGACATTTTGCCTCCAACATATCGAAGTAGATTGTGCTTGGTAGCATTGATCTTATTTGTTTCCTCTACAGGACGATGGTCGAGCCAAAGAATGACGTTGCGGTCATTGCCGTCTTTGTTATCGAAGTTGGGCCCGGTAACCGGGACAGGTTCGTCAGTGTCGTCCCTGAAGACAGCAAGGGAGCATGTGGCGTCGAAGCCAATGCCACGAATGGTACTCGGGTCGATGTTGTGCTGATCTATTGCTCGACGGACTGAAGAGCAGATGCATCGCCAAATATCTGTCGTGGATTGTTCCTGCGTCGTTTTAGTTTTGGCTAACGTTTGTACCTGCAGCAGCGTAAATTACATAATAACCAGTTTGTGGCTGCCAGAGACCAATGTTTTCTGATGCCAGTCCTACAATATCGCCTTGGTCGTTCATGATGCAAGCTCTGGCACTACCAGTACCCACATCAATCCCAATGTAGTGGTCGACTTGAGGGTGGAGCTCATTGCGAGGGTCAGTCGACAATTGCCGCGACTGCTGGCGCTGCGTCTGTCTGAATGGAATAGCCATAATTTGTGTTTTTGTGCGCGCAAAAGGACAAGGACACAGGAGGAGAGAAACAACAGGAGATTAGCAGAACTTGTACTTCGACAAGATAATGTTGAGCAACCGACAGCTGTAAATGCGGGATGAGCTCATAATAGCTCGGGGGAAGCTCTAGCATGGTGGGGGTGGGGCAATTGACAGCCCTTAGTTGCTTAGATATTCCATCTAATCCGGCTACTGGCATCTAGGGTCGCGGGTCAAGTGCCGATCTGGTCACGAAAGGGTTGTAGGGAGGTGGGCATCGTCACTTTCGGATCCACTTCTTTTGGTATACCGGCCGCTGTTGGATGCCCGCAACGCCACCCAGAGGCAAGTTTGAGTCTTGGGAATGACTTATCGGTGCAATTCCGGGACAAGCGGAGGAGCAGCATGAGTCAATGTCTACGCGGCTCGTGAGACGTGGAGTGAGGAGAGGGGTTGGTAGTAAAACCGAGGGTCCCATGCATGCTGGTGAATGCTCTTCGGTGATACGATTCGCCGTTGTACGCTAGCCAAGCTTCGGCTTCCAACACCAATGCGCGTACACTATAGTCGCCGTTTACATGAGCACGTCAGTATGCTATTCTCCAGACTTTTTTTACTGCCCCTTGCAGTTGCATCTTCGGTGACGCTCTATGTCGCTCCTGTTCCTGCCTCTGAGGGTACGGCTGCAATCGCTTCACCAGTACCCCTCGCACAGATCGACTACGATGCGGATCAACCAGTCGGCACCCTAGTCTCATATACACCCCCAACGGGCTCGTACTCCGCCGACCGCTTATTACGTGTCGGTCTCACCGATCCAAAATCGACCTCGTTACATGGCGTTGTGACTTCAGCGGCGAGCTTCTCCGAGCAATACCACAAGAAGATTGTCATCCACGTTGACGAGAAGGGCGAGCCTTTTCACGTTGGGTTCAGTACAAGTGCAAAAGGCAGTGGAAAAGAGGTAGAAGTTGAGATAAAGAGGAAGGATACAGGACCGAAGCCGGTACTGAACAAGCCCATTGTATTGAATGCCGAAGGAAAGCTGGGTGGAGAAGAGCCAGAGAAGACATTCTTGCAAAAGTGGGTAGAGCTGCGATTGTTATTAGGGGAAAATATGCTGACAACTATGCAGGTACTGGTGGGCTATTGCTCTCTTCCTGCTTGTTCAGCTAGCCGCAGGTGGTGGAGAGAAATAAGGACTAGACAAGCAGGACGTCTAAATAGATGCCTTGTTAAAAAAGGGGGTATATACATTGCCCGTTCACGTTACTATCCTATGTGATATCTGCTTCCGGCTACAATGTCTTTCATCGCGTGCACGATCCTCACATGACAGCACTAGCAGGCAATCCGCCAGAATAGTCTTCATATTCAAAGTAAGGGTCGTGAGCTATCGTACATTCCATATCATCAGGTTGATGTCAAATCATCTATCATGTTGGGTATAAGTATGCATGCGTCATGGGATTCCTCAGGCAAAAGCCGTGGAAGCTGATGCTGGACGGGACTCGGCTGGCGCAGGGACAACCGTCTTGACCAAGGAAGTAAGAGTGGGAATGGACCCGGTGGAAGCAGAATGGCCGGGCGCGTGGGTAGCAGATGAGGGTGTCGATTTTGGTTGATGGACATCCATAGGCAGGATCTCGGTCTTCAACTCTCTAGTCTTCTTCTGCTTGGGCTCGGGCGCCTTTTCGTTTTCCTGGACATAGAACTTCCGCAGCAGCATAATTGCCTCCTCTCGAAAGATGCCACCGGTGACAGGATATGGCTTGTCGACGCTGGGACTATCGAAGGGTTAGTGATGGTGATGTGGGTGTGGGTCTTCAAGGGTTGGCGTACTCAGAATGGATCTTGAGCACCCCTCCTGTTCCACCAAAGCGCTCGTTCCAGCATCCAAAGTAGACTGCGCGAATGCCATACTGACGGAGCATTGACGCGCACATGACGCACGGCTCAACGGTGACATAGAGATCTGTCTCGTTGAGGACAGAGATGGGATACTCAGACAGGATACCAGCAATGGCCACGAACTCGGCGTGTCTGGTGCCATTGAGAGTACGATTGGTCTCGTTCATGCCTCGACCAATGACCTGGCCATCCTTGACAAAGACACAGCCAACAGGCGTCTCGTCGCTCTTGAGTGCAAGTTCGGCCTAGCGCAAGGGATGAGTCAGCATTCAAGTATGTTGGATATGGTGTGTGAATGTAAGTATGCTGGAGCAGACGTGGGTGTGTGTGGCGTGTGCAGGGGTTGTTTTACCATGGCGATGGCCTCGCGCATGAAGCCCTCATGATACGCCCTCTCCTCCGGACCCATGTCGTCTGCCGTGTGAACCGCTTCGTTGTCTTGGCGGTCTTGTCGGAGCGCAGTGGAGTGAGATGGGTTGTTTGGCGTGAGCGATTGTTGCGCGAAGAGGTAGAAGAGGGCCAGGCCGAGGCCAGCAGAGGCCAGCGCAAGAGCCTGCCATGGCTGCTTCCCCTTCAAAATAGCATTCATTCCCCGTGTGTGTGAGGCAGCTGCGACTGTGAGAGATGTTCTGAAACAGAAAGTGCACGTCGGTGATTTGTCTGCGTGGCTCCGATCCAAGACGGTTTCGGCAAGCGCTAGCCGCTCTAGTTTACGTGGAGGCCGCGCCGACCGAGGGCTGAGCATACCTAGAAGAAGCAAGCAACCGTAATCATTGCCATCGCAACAAGCAGGCAGCCACCCACTCCGCTATACCGCACGCCTATACACCTGCTCTACTGCACCGCCACAACTACATTACGCACTCGCAACCCACACCACCAACCCAGCCCACTTTGTACAAAACCGACACTGACGCTCGTCCAATCCGTCTTACAGTAGCTCCGTCCACACAGCTTGCGCCGTCAACAAACCGACCCAGACTGCACTCGACATTGCCCTATACTTACAGCTGAACTCCCACGAGGCTTGATTCCAAAGCAAACATGACGCTCGCAGAAGAGTTCAAGTCGCGAAATTTCAGTAAGCTATCTGCTGCTGCTACTGCCGCTGGCGCTGGCGCTGTTGCATTGTTGCTGACATGGCATCTTTGAAGGTATCTACGGACAATGGTCAGTCGCGTCCCCTCACCATCTTTCCACAGGCCACCCAGGCTTCCCACAGACATCACCAAGATACTGTCAGGGGGAATCGCCAAGCATGAGCGGTGTTGGAAGACCATCAGACCACTACACGGTGTGGTGGACTCAAGCACCATCATGACTACTATGCCACGCACCTCCATTGCTCTCCGACCGTGTCCGCTAACTCCACGTCTAGGACCGGAGTCCTATGTATATTCCTATGCTTTGCGCTGGGTATCGCCAACATCTTCCACGCCAACTTTGTCATTGCGTTCAGCATCGTATGCTTGTACGGCTCCTACCTCTTGTGGCGCACTGGGCCTAACGATCTAATCAACGTCGTAGGGTGTGCTCCTTCGTCATTATATTTATTGAGATACCGCTCCTTCTTCGCATCTGTCCAACCTCGTCGAAATTCGACGAATTCATCCGCAAATTCAGCTCCAACTATATGCGCGCTGCCATCTATGGTGTGATGAGCGTTATACAATGGATCAGCATTTGGCCTATGGCCACGAGCTTGATTGTCGCAGCCATCTTCCTGATGCTTGCTGCAGTCTTCTATGCACTTGCCGGCATCAAGGGCCAGCAGTTCCAGGGCAGCAAGACACTTGGTGGACAGGGCGTTGCACAGATGATCATCTAAAGAAGAGACTCACATGGCGGGAACAGGATGAGAGATTGGATGAGAATGTGGTAGATGTGGGCAACGATTGCGAATGTACAACCTGTTTTGGAATACACACAGGGACCGAGGGCGAAATGGATTCTGCCATAACAGCCGCATCCTGGTGTCGGGCCACGATTGAATCTGTTTGTATCACGGGTGAAAAGCCAGGCGTTATTGGGAGATATCTATCACAGGGATTGCCTGAAGCCGAAGGCGTATGGCCAAACTTAGAGGCACGAGAATGCGATACTATATTTTCATTTCTGTGCTGTGCGTTTGACAGTCGAATATTGGTCATGAAGTACTAGTAGTAGCCCAAGGCGGGGGAACATACGTAACTGCACATGTGGAGACTGTGCAGGGCCTATTGGAAGGCCTGCAAAGTTCTAGAAGCTTGCATTCCCATCCACATACTGGGGGGGGGGGGGGTGACGCTGTTCAATCTTTTCATCCTATGTAAGCAGACCATGCTCTACTCACGGACAACGCAGGACAGATGGCATGTGAAGGGATGCGCTGGGCTCAAAAGCAAAGAAGGATTACTGCCGTTGACCTAGACCTAGGCTCTGCTCGCCCTTGTGCATGCCGATGAGTGGCTGCTAGGGATTCGCCAGGAACCACACTTTCTCGGCGCGGGGAACACTAGCGGCTTTTTCGTGCCGGGAGTCGCACACATCATTGAAGAGTCTGCAGTATGGCGCGCAGTTGATAAGAAGCGTCCTCGTCCTGCAGAGTCCAGTCGCGTTGGCTTGACCGGACACTTCATAAGGCTAACGAGATAATTGTGGATAGCCCAAGTTTGCCAGGCTCGAAAGCCTCCACGTAGTTGTTGTTGAAGTCGCATAGTCCTCGATGCGGCATAGTGGCTGGGCACCTCTGATGTTCATGTCCAACGCGACAGGCACAATGGATGGACAGCGTTTGCGGAAGTGACATGTTCTTCTTCGTCTTTTTTTTGTCAACTCAATGCAAATACTGGGAAGCACACGACAGAGCAAATAAAGCCAAGTCACCAAAATGCGCATGCATACCGCGGGCGCTGATGATGGTTGCCGCGTGCCAGACGCCAGACGCCAGGGCCCCATGCGCCATATCCAGGCATGATGCAAATGCGGGTCGCAGAGCTGTCTACTACTTAAATCCACCACCCCAGGTTCACCACGCCAATCCACTCTGCGCCATTTGGCAACACCATACCGAACCATCCAATTTTCCTCTTTAGCCTCACTTTGAGTGTTGGGCCTAATTGCGTGTCGTGCGGTGAGTTTGCACTATAAAACCTCGCCCTGTCCCGCAGCATTCGGGCTCTCATTTGCACTGCCCCTCATTGGCTGGCTATAGCTCAGTGGAGCTGGCTGACCACTTCTCTACATTTGTCTGTTTCTTCACTGTTGTCAATGCCGCTGTCTGTCTGACGCTCGACGTATCAAATAACCAGTCCGTGTCTTACCTGTCACTGACATTGATTTTCTCTCAGCCTTCCAAGACTCCCCGCAGCCAACGCAACACCTCTACCCCACATAGCCCTCGAGCAACGGCGAAGCACACAATGACCGCTCAACCAACAATACCTCCACGCCCATCGCGCTCCCAGAATAGCCGTTCGCCGGCGCCGGGAAGCCATATGGAAGTTCCCAAGATCCCCCCTCGTCCGAACCGCGGCATGGACCGCTCCGTCTCTCCAAGCGGGGACAGATATGCCCCCTCCCCGCTCAACGATCCCACCTATGTACCCGGTGGTCCACCAAAAGATAGCCATCGCCTCAGCACTGAGGTGCCCTCTCGTCCTCCCAGTGTCTCTATGCCTTCGCTCGGAGAGGAAGGCACTGAATACGCCAGTTTCGAGGACTTGTCCAAGACTCTCAATGAAGACAACCAGGGTGGCTCTCCACAGCATACCAAGAATGTTGCAGGCGACTTGCCCTTGCATGCTCCGACTGCCTCAGTTCCGAGCTCCACCGCAAAAACACGGATTCAGGCTGTGACGCGGACCGATTCGCAAACAGCAGCCGCTGCTGGCTTTGGCTCGCAACTGTCAATTGATGACAAGGTTTCACAAGCAAAGTCTGGCCGTTCTGGCTCGTCAGCTGGTTCACGCCCTAGCTCAATCTACAACGATCAGGATGAGCATGGTATTCCAGAGATTGGTGTACAGGTGCCCATGTTTCGCAATGCCGGAGATGTGCAGGCTCCAAGCCCGGCTCCATTTGCGCAACAGCCCGGATCTCAAGGAGTTGGCTTCCATCAGAAACCCAGTGGTCGTCATCATGGGCGTACAAAGAGCGGTCGCGAGATCTTTCACGGACCTCCTGGCAGCTATGGCATGCACGGCCATGGCAAGATATCGACAGACGAATTTGAGCAAAAGTGGTACGAAAAGCATCCGGACGATTTGAAGCGTGAGAAGGCGGGCGAGTATGGCCCTCACATCCAGGAAAACAGAAAAGATTACCACTGGGGCGCGGACAACCTGGAAAAGCTTGTGCACACAAGGTCGCAAGACGTCGGAGTGGGTACGCTACTTGATCCTATCAGACGAATATGCATTTGGTATTAACCTTGTTGCGCAGGCACTAGCCGGGACGTCGTTGGAACTCCTGATGAGCAGATTGGTTACAGGGCCACCGAGGAATATGCCTCAAGGATGGCTTCTCCCAGACCGCAATCTTCTGGTGTGACTTCTTTGAACAAAACTCGCCACGCTGACTCCCCGCTCCGTAACGAGGCCGGCCAAGAGGTGAATGACAAGGGAGAAGTCATTCATATTGATCCGCCTACACACCGTTCTAGTAAGGTTCATGGTGGAGGTTACGACCCCCCTACTGCAGACCTTGGACCGCGAGGCGGTAACACTGCTGCTGAGGGCGGATGGGTTACCGAGCGTGGATATGGTACACCTATCCTTGCCTCTGATGAACTCAAGAAGCACCCAGATGCTGAGTGGAGGCAACCTGCCGTGTCACCTGAGCTCGAGCGCCACGGCAATGAATACATTGCCAATGAGGACGGCACGTCACAGTACCTCACCAAGCAGCGCACCTCCAGTAGGAGCTCAAGTAGGAACAGGAGCATACAACAGCAACGCGTGATTCCGAGCCCAGCCCAGTACGAACATAGCAGCACTCCGCTTGAGTCCCATAAAGAATATGAACCGCTCTTCCCAGAGGATGAAGAGACCAAGAAGCCAAACTCAAAGGTTGACGAGGTCAAGCGTCCTAGCTATGCTCGCCACCACTTCCCAAGCCAAGATGTTTGGGAGGACACGCCTGGTAGTCTGCAGCTCGAGACTACCGTTGATACTCCCCAGGAGCCTGAAGAGCCTCAAACCGCCGTCAGCAAAGGAGATGTCAGTCCTGCCAAAGCATTTGAAAGCCCAGAAACAGAGGAGCAACGCAAGCGTCAGATCACTGAGGAAGATCAAAAGTCATTCCTTTCGGATCATACGAAGCAATTTGCTGCCGAAAACAAGCTTCTTGGAAAAGTGCGAGACGAGACACCAGGCCGCCCCGGTATGCAGCAACGTTTCCCAAGTCAGGACATCTGGGAAGACGCGCCGTCACACGGATACCTCGAGACCACGGTCAGCACGCCACAGATGGAGGAAACGAACGAGTACGCCGAAGATTCCCCCCAGGATCAGAAATCCTCCGCCCCTGCTCAGCCTATTATCCCTGCCCGACCTGTCAGAAAGGAGTCACCTGCGGGGGGAACGAGAGTACCAATCGTCCCCGAACGCCCAAGGGGGCATGCCTCAGCACGCCCAACCAAGTCATCTACTGGCCCTTCAGAAAATGGTTCAAGTGCGCAGTCACAAGCCAGCGAGAACGAAGCTTCTCCGCATAAGGCGAAATCAGTGCTGACTGGTCGTCCAGCTGGAGGCAAAATTGCTGCTCTCCAAGCCGGCTTCCTCAAAGACCTCAACAGCAAAATTGGTCTAGGGCCACAGGGTCCTCCCAAAGTTAAGGAGCCTGAGCCGGAAGTGGAAGAAAAGGAGGCAGCACCGCTGCAAGATGCTCGAAAGAGTCGGGCCAAGGGTCCACAGAGGAGGAAGCCTGCTTCTTCTCCAGCCCCAGGCGGTGCGGCTGCTGCGGCTGCCGTGCCAGCTCAGAAACTGAGCGTTGGCCCTGTGACTGCAATTTGGAGTTTTGTTGAAGACGGTAGCCTGGACGTCCCAGCTGCCAAGATGGCTGTGCAGATACAGAAATCGCTCAATGTTCCTGCACAGGCTGAAGAGCCCGTCGCCACCAAGGCTGCAGCGGATGAGAGTGTTGCGCCAGAATCAGAAAAGCCGCAACTGACCAAAACTTTGTCAAAGGACGAGGCTCAGCCTGCTTCTGCAACCGAGGCAAAGACTGAGGCGAAGACTGAAAATGCTTCATTGTCTGAGCAAGTGTCCTCTGTGGCATCAGGCACTCTTGAGTCATTTACATCTAAGGTCTCAGCTGCCTTGAAGCTAGAGGAGCCTGTGGTGACGGAGAAAGCACCTGGCTCCGCTGACGCCCCTGGTGCCTTTCCTGGATCAGGTCCAGAAGCAGTAGACGGAGGCAACATCAAGAGTGCTGAATCTGACAGCAAGAAAGTAGATGAGCCGGTCGTCAGCAAGTCTACTGAGGAGAAGGCATGATGATCTATCTATCTATCTTGTCTGTAGAGAAGTAGGATGTGAAGGAATATACACGATCTTTTTCATTGTTGTCTCGAGTTAGATTTCAGTGTTTAGCAATCAAAGTCTGGATTACTTTTGTTTGCAACTAGAATTCTTTTTGTTCGTTCACTCATGCAATGCTAAGTGAGAAAATGAGAATTAACAGCAACATGATTGTCATTCTGTTTGACTTGAGGGGGTCATGCATGTCTCTCTTCTCTTGCGTTGTAAAACGTGCAAGAGGTATCGTTTCGGTACTTGATCTTCTCGATGAGTAAGTAACCCAAGTATTTGACGTTGCCAGCTTTGAAACTATTGATTTTGCATTGCTAGGCGCCCTATTCACTGGAATTATCGCCATGATCTCCCTCACCAGATGGATTTGATGTTTCATCCTTGTTCGCATCCAGCTCTGCAAGCATAAAATTCAACCACTTGACCGAGTTCTGCCGCGAAGGATGATCATCTCGCAGCTTGTGAGCTTCAACAGCGACAACACTCTCCAGTAGTGCCACTGCCCTGTGTACCTGCCCAAGCTTATAGTATGCTACCGCGAGCATGTGCTGCGATGTCATTCGATGCGGATGCTCTGGCTCCAGCGTCTTATCGTCCACGCTCACGATGTGTTCCAGGAGCGGCACTGCTCTTTGTTCTTGTCCGTCTAAAAGGTACAACTGTGCGAGGGCGTGCTACGAGCCCAGTCGATGTGGATGCTCTGGCGGCAGCATCCGTTCTCGAGTTTTGACAACTTTTTCTAGAAGTGGGAATGCCTTTATCAATAGATAGCAGTTCTGGCATGCTATTGCGATGGTCTCTTGCAATGATATTAGTTCGTCGTTCTCTGGCGCTAACGTTTTCTCCGCTACTTTGATAACATCTTCTAGAAAAGCGATCGTCTTATGCCACCGTCCGTCGAAATTATATGCTTGTGCGAGATCTTCCTGCGATCTCAATAAGCTTGGGGCATTTGACGATGAAGTCTCCTTTCTTATTTGTACTATGCGCTCCAATAGTGGTATCGACTTTTGCGGTTATCTGTCGTACGTATATGTTACCGCGAGGTTGTACTGTGAGTATAGGCGGTCTGGGTCATCCTCACTAAGGTGAACTCTCTGTTGACATGACTTTTCCAGCCATGCCAACGCCTCCCGATACCTGCCATCTATTCGCAGACACACCCCCATTCGTAGAAACAGCTCAGAAAGGTCCTCTATATTGCCGTGCTGCCTGCCGTTAAGCAACTGAAGCGCGTGCGGCAAGTACCTCTCCAAACGGCCCGGTTCTGGTATTTTCCTTCCGGAAAGACATGTGCAACATGCCGGATTGCACCTTCCACTACCTTGTTTGCATCGCCGTTCTTCTTGACCCAGGTCCGTGTCGCTAGGTGCACAAGTCGGTGGATGTCGTACCACTCTTCCTCCTTTGTCTCTGTATGTTCTTCGCTCTCTTCCTGTGTGCCTTGACTGTTACTATTGCGTCTTACTAGAAAGGAGTATCCGCACAGCGTGCCAATGGCTCTCTCCATCTCCTCTTCAGAATCTTTCTTTGGCCGCAAGGACCGTGGTACGGCCTTCCACTCTATAAAGGATATAAACTCAAGCAAACCTGCCGCAAATGTATCGCGCTCGCGTAACTGGCTGAACGACACCACCCACGTAGTCGCCACTGCGTTCACTGAGCCTTTGTATCGCGTGTTGTCACGAAAGTCTCTGCTTAGTAGACCGATAAGATCTTTTTCAGTATTGTGCAGTAATCCAAGATATTTTTTGATTGTCATGCGATTCATGTTCAGATACGCAGCCGCCTGCGCGATGGCCAGCGGTAGCCGTGTTAGCTCTTCTAGTAGCTCGTCTCTCGCCGTGTGGTCACAGAGTAGCTCTTTCCTGATTATTGAGCTGGAGAAAAACTCGATCGCGTCCTGACGATCCATGGCCTCCAGCTCCAGAACATCGTACTGTGTTAACGATATCGCTACCTCCATCGTGCGTGTTGTGTACAGTATGATACCGTTCTCGCTCTTTGGTAGATAGTCAACGATGCCCTGTGACTCTGCTGTTTCGAACAAGGTACTAGGGTCGTCAGCGTTGTCCACCACCATCAGCCACCGCCCTGCTCGACTTGAGCTCAACCATTGTTTCACTCGCTCTTTAATGTCTTCTTTGTCGTCCGCCACTTGCGGTATACCCAAATTTTTTACGATGCTTACACATGCCTGCTCAAAAGTCTCCATGCTCAGGACAGGCACCCAAAAGATTGAATAATCTGGCCATTGGTCTCTCACGCTGTATGCAAATTGCAACGCCAACTGTGTCTTGCCTGTCCCACCAAGCCCCATAATGGACAGCTCCTGGCAGTCCTGGTCCATCATTAGCCTTTTCTGCAAGAGGTGAAGCTCTGTTTTTCGTCCAACAAAGCGTCGATTGATAAGAAAGGGTATGTGGTAGTTAGGTTTGGGTACGTTTCCTGCTGTGGCATCAGTGCGCTATTACAAGACATGAAATAAGATAGCTGCGGCAACACTTACCACTTGTCTCTCTCACGACTTTTTCCACCATATTTAGCTTGGACAGCTCTGCCGGCGGTACCGCTAACAAAACTTCTTTCGCATATGCGGCCGCAGTCCCGGCTGCGTACGGCTGCCACAGCTTGTTTTTATGTGAGTCTGCGTAGTCGCAGATACCGCGTATAACGAGACAGCGAAAGCTATTTAGTAGCCCTGCTGCTTCCATCTCAAAACACAGTACTTTGCCGAGCCTAACACTGACTCTGTCTCGTTCAGCAGCACTCCGTAACACTCAGTTGCCAGATGCGATAGTGCCGTAATGTACCACTACTTCCTCCCCGACGGGGCGTGCCTGTCGAGTCTTCTGTCTGTCAGGGCTGCACCTATCGCATGTCGGCCCTGCAACATGGTCGTATGTTGCTTCAAAAAGTACATCAATCCCTGCGTTGCTGCGTCGTAACTTGGTCATGCTTTCCAGCTTGGAGATATGTTCAGACAGCTTGCTTCTGCCACGCAGGTCGTTCGCCTTTACGCGCGCGACAGCTGCTAACAGCACCTCCAGTGGTGCATCCATTGATCCCGTTCGTTCAAAGCCGCCTGGTTTTGTTTTCCCCATATCATACTGTACTACACCAGCAAGATTCCCGTGGGGCTGGCTGACAACAACGTCACCTAACCGAACGTCTGCTTCAGAACTCGGAACGCCGCCACCAATGCCGACCATCAACCCAAACTGAATGTTTTTAAACGTTGCTTGCATTCGAGTTGCCGCTACGGCTGCTGAGTTATTGCCGATCCGACCGGCAGGCAGGCATACAATGGCGACGTTGTGACCGCCGACAGAGCCTAGCGTGTACAGATTCTTGTCATTGTCAGATAGTAGGTTGTGCTCCAGGCCAGCATGCTCCTCGTCAAGCATCTCCTGCGCCGCCACCATCTCGACAGGCAGTGCACACACCCATCCTACTGTGTAGTCTTCGGGTCGCAGCTGGCGTGCCATGTGTCGTCATAATAGAGGTAGAGACGAGAATAACTGTAGTACATCAAGGATGGTAGAGGTGAGTTGTTGGCGCCGCAGCTGAGTAGCCGCTCAGCCTGACGACGTGCATAATCCTTGGCTGCTCACATGATGAGGTGGGCTGTTGGTGTGCAGGAGATGTTGCTGCAGTTGCAAGTAGTAAGGTGTGGGGGCAGAATAACAACACGCTCACTGGTCGGGCATGAGGAACCTTGCTATATTTGGACTAGGGAGTGGCATAGTGCCATGTCCTCCTCTGTACGCGACTACGAGTATAACGGACACAATGATGGATTCTTATTCTACTTTATCAATGAATACTACACGAAACTGGCCTCATTCAAATCAAATTTTCTCCCCATATGGCGCCCCCTCGAGCTTAAACCCACCAGGCTGCAGCTTCTGGAACACACCAACAGGATCGTACTTCTTAGAGACAGCCTTGAGCCTAGCCAGCTTCTCCTTACCATAACTCGGGATAACATTCTGGTACGGCCCAGCATAGTTTAGGTAAATGAAGTCGTGGTACTTGCCCCGTCTCTTTGCTTCTGCCTTTGCAACACTCAAGAAATTCTGGGCAGCTCTTTGGATCTTGGTGTCTTGAGAAGCGTCGTCCCAGACCAGATAAAGGAGGCTGTGCATCAATGGTCCGTCCGTGGGAGAGAGGCCGAGCGCGTTACCGCCTTTCTTGCTCATCTTTTGCATGGCAGGTACAGTGAAGGCTTGGAATGTCAGCGAGCCCCTGTTGGGCATGGCGGTGAAGTCCTGTCGATGGCGTTCTTGGAGCCAGTTCATGAGATCCCGATCCAGTTTGAAGGTAGAAGCCCAGAATGCGTAGCGCTGACCGTTGGGCATCTGTTCGGTTATCAGGGAGGTGTCATTTGCCAAAGTTCTGTTCATGGTGTCGGTATGTATCGAAGTGATATTGAGGTACTTTTTGAGGATAGTGGGGGGGTTGAGCTCGTTTACAGGCTCGAGGTACTCTAGTTGGATTTGTGCGGCCGCTTGGCCAGCTCCCAGAGCAAATGAAAGAATCTGTGAAGATTTAGGGTCTTTGTTGGCGTCTTCTGCCATCGAAGCAAAGGCATCTATAAGAAGCGGGTAAGTAGCCTCTGGGTGAATTTGGAGTCCGCCCCACATCAAGCCCTGGGGAATTGTCTCCAACTCAAATCGGGTGACTATACCGAAGTTGTTCCCACCTCCACGAAGTGCCCAGTAAAGATCTGGGTAGATGGTTGGGGTGACGGTGATGATACCACCTGATGCAGTGACGACTTCAAAGGAAGCCACGTTGTCGCAAGCATATCCATAGATACTGGATTGGTGACTGATACCCCCGCCGAGAACGAGGCCAAGGCCTACCTCTGATGCGCGGCCACCCATGACAGCAAGGCTGTGTTGACCAAGCTTTTCATATACCGCCCCCCATCGATTTCCTGGCCCTATGAATGCGGTTTTCTGGTCGCTGGAGAGTGTGATTTCGTTCATGTCCTCCATGTTTACCGTGATGCCATCTTGAATGTTAGATGCACCAGGGAAGGCAGTATGTCCACCGCCCTTTACGGCAAAGGGACATTGAGTAAGACGAGACATGAGTACCAAGATTGATACATCTTGCGCTATTGATGGCTTCAACACACAAGCTGGGTCCACCAAAGATGCTTGTATAGACCAGTATCCACTGGTGAATGCATCGTACGCGGGTGATCCGCTGGTGAGAAGCTTGTTTCCAAAGATGGTTTTGAGGGCACCGCACTTTTTTGAGAATCAGAAAATGCCTTTGATAGATAGCAGTATGACTTACAGCCGCCGTGCATCCGGTTGAGATAGCACGTCTTTCAGTCAGTGCATCCAGGGCAGGAATGGCGGAGACGTTGACGCCGTTCGCAGCCAGAGCCTCTACAACGTTAAAGTCCGAGGCCTCAAACACGTCTTGTGTAGAAGCAATGGCAGAAAAAGCCCCAAGCGAGACAACCAAAGAGGCCTTCATACTGTGCGGCGCTGTGTCTTGCAATGAGATTAGTAAAGGGGGTGCGTCTAAAGCAGGGGAGGTACCTCAAGTGACAGTTATGACACCCAATGGCCACTTATAAGAGATGGAGAGCGCCTCGGAGTGTAGCTGCGTTAAGAAATTGACATTTCACTCTGCATCTATTGCCTCGAAATCAGTCGAAGGATCGCGTCTAGCTGCAGGGTACAATTCAACTGACCACGGGCTACATGTGCAAGGGCTAGGTACTAGTGTAGAGGTGTAACAAGGGTATATTTTCCCAACCGAGGATCATACTAACCCGGAGTGGCGGCTCATTAAGCAATAGCTGTACTGAATACCAGTCTCTCTTTAGCAGTTCATAATTTTTATTACTAGGTACGAGTAAAAGGTACATATCATGAGTTGATGAGATGGTTCCAAACCTCGCCGCAACATCATCCTTGGTTGGGAAAACACAAGTACCCTAGTTACCATGTACGCACACAATCAAAGCGTTGCAGCGACTGTTCTCAATCCGCCACTCACGGGCAGCCGAGAATTCTTTACTTGCTGTTGTGTCACATACTGCGCCGCCTTGGCGACGAGATGTAGTGGCATGATGGGAAACTGACCGGTGCATTAGGATTTCAGAATTAAGCTTAGTAGGATCTAGATGCAGGGATGCGCAGTCTTTACTCTCAGATTGCGTGTTGATTCGAGCTCAAAGCCCATCCCTGCATCTGATGGAGCCCTTGATGCGAAGGAACGGCAGCAACCCACCAATGCTACTACTACACCAAATACAAGCTGGTTCGCAGGATATTAGGGATCATCGACTACGTACTTACGCCTCGTAATTCCCGTTTTGTCCAAGACCTACGCCGTCAGAAGAGGGCACTCTATGTCCTGCATGAGTCCTAACCAATATCATAATCGGCAGAGCTTTCCAGCCAATGTTGAGGGAAGATGTTGGCCGTTGTGCGCACGCTTCGCGTGCGCTAAATCCGTGCCGCCAACATGCATGTGCCGCTTGGACCGAGACGCCTCATCTTTTCAAGATGCTCCGTGAAGGGATTACTCTATTTGAGCCCCAAGCCCGCTCTATCCTCGTGCGGGAAGTTCGTATCGCCAAGATGCGGCAAATTCTCCCTTGATGAAGATGGTACCGAGGAGCAACAGCAATCAACGCAACGAATCTTTTGAGAAGCAATCTATCAACAGAAACCACATTATTTTCTACAATCTCGTGCACACTCATCAATACTAACCAGGAGCCATCAGATAGGCATAATTTCTACGAACTTGCTGAAGCGAGTAGTTCTTCCAGTATGCTGTTCAAGTCCACCCGATCTACCGTGTAGGATCTCCTAACACAACCACTGATCTCAAATCACCCGTTTCACAGGGGCAACTCCAGGATACCAAACATCGATCCTCCTTGCAAATCTTCTTAACATGACGATATCCGATGTTGAGGGGGGGCCTGCAGTCATACGCTCGGCACAGCAAATTGAGCGCCCATCCCCTTCGCAACAATCGACCGACTAGGTCTTGACAACTGTGACGATTGACGTCTACGCCGCAAAGGCAAGCGATATTCCGCACCCCATTACCTGGATAAGCCGAATATGCGGCAAAGTACAACTACCGCCAGCTTTTTTTTGGCCTTGCTATCATGCTGCTTTGCTCTCCCCTTCCCCTTTCTTCCCCTCGTTTCTGGACTTTTCTTTCTTCTTTCGTTGTAATCGTCTCGTTTTCAGTCAAAATCCAACCCAAAATATGTCAACGCGCACCAATGGTTTCGCTCAGGGCACAGTGCTCAAGGTCGCATACTCGATGCTTGGTCTCACAAGCTCCGTTGTCCTCGCCAGAATAGGTCTCAATATCGCTAAGCCGAAGCGGCTCACGGCGTCCGATTACTTTGTTTTTGCCGGCTTCGCTTTCTACGTTACAAAGTGCGCACTGTATATTGCTGTGTCGCCGTATATGCAGAGAGTGTATGGTGTTGTTAATGGAGAGATTGCGCCGTACCCGGAGTTAGTGCACGATGCAGTTGTGATGACGAAGATGGTGTTTGCTGCTTTCAACTTGTTCTGGGGTGTTTTGTGGGCGATCAAGTGTTCGCTGTTGCTGCTTTATCGGAAATTGCTGGTTGGGTTATCCAGGTGTTATACTATTGTGTGGTGGGGCATCGTTGGGATTTGTGTACTTGTAAGTAATTACCAGAACGTTGCGTTAGCTGTCAACTCACTTTGGTTGTAGACATTCTTTGGAAACTACCACTTTTACTTCAAATCGTGTGGTACCCCATCTGGTTTTTGGACCGGAGGTTGTGTGAGTCGATCTGCCGTCAATCTTGAGAATATCAACTAATGTTTTCTTGTTACAGGGTGGGAAAGCTCGGCATAATGCTCAACTCTTCAGTTTGTATTTTTCCTTTGTTGCAGATACATCTACGAATTTGATGAGTACGCATTCCTACGATACCTGGATTGTGGCATAAATTGCTAACTTGTGACCGTCATAGTCATGGCTCTTCCGATATGGCTCACGTGGAGCCTTCAGATGCCGCGTAGGAAAAAGATATCAATGCTATGTCTGTTCGGAACAGGTTTTGTATGCATACTATTCGCCTGTCTCCGTGTCACTCAGGTAGCTGTGAACGCATCCAAGCCTGAAGCCGTGGATGCACCACTTGATCCCACATGGCTTGCTATTTGGGGCATGGTGGAATGCTCAATTGGTAAGTTGAGTTCTCACTTATAAGCGTTCCAACGCTCATGCCACCACAGCCGTCATCATCGGGTGTTGTCCCGCATTCGCAGTCTTAACAAATTCAGCCCGTACCAAGGCCTCCTATGACTCCCATGGCTATCGGAGACAAGCAGATAGTGATACAAATAAGAACCACGGTAGCAGGATAGAATTAGGAACCATTGGAAGTAGAGCGACGCGCGACATAACTAAGGTGGTCGGGCTGAACACTATAGACCTACACTGGTTATGTGCCCAAAATAGTCAGGAGGAATTGAGAGTCAAGCACGGTAGTAGTATCATGGTTTCAACTACCGTTACGCAAGACTCTGTGGATAAGTCTGAGATATGCTGAAATGAAAATACGTACCCGATCTTCCATAGTGAGAACGAACAATGCGAGAAATACCATCTATCTATTCGATTTTATCTCGGCTTTCCCTCCTTCATAGCGAGGCAATAAACCATCTTCCATCTGTGTTGTGGAAGAGCGCACGGGGAAGAAGCTAAAGTTATTACGCGCTCGTATCCTTTGCCTAACCTGAGGCACAATATCTTTCTGCATGAACGTCAAGATTGAGAGTGAACATATCTCAACGCATACCTCGTAGACCCCGCATTTGGGACTGTAATCATAGATTGGAAAACTCAAATCACACATCAATTGTAGCCTCGCAGCGAATCGCAAATGAACCGAGCCGCTCATGGAGGACCAGAGGTGGCGGTCCGGTCAGCCCGGCGTGATTGTAAGTATGTCATACCCACCCATTATAGGTCTTAGAATCATACACTCGACGGATGCGGAGCAGCACGTGTGTTATTAAGCGAAATACTATTATGTGTTCGCAACATCGATGTTTCGTGGTGTAAGACGACATGATGAAGACATGGTTTGCAGGCTCGGTGTCACGTAACGGAATAGAAACCGGTTGAGAAAAAGGGTATGCATGGTTACGTCTTACGGTAACAATATCGTAGCCTTCAGATAACGATGATGAAATGGCGATCAGCGGCAATGTTCCGATTCTACAACTCGTGTTTTTCGCGCAAGGATTATAAGATGACATGCTAAGGTGATAATTTTCGCCTCTACTGCGAAGTATGTACTACCATACAGTAGTACTGCATATCAGCATACCTGTAATTTGAGTGGGCAAGAGCAAAGGGAACATGCCTGCCACCATGGAGAATGTCTCTACACCACAGTCGCTGCTTTAACCCTGCGTATAGATACTATCAGATTGACGGTGTCTGAGGGTAGAATATAGCGGTGTAATAGCGGCGAGACGGGACTTGGTACTTCTTAGCATAAGCAAGACCCACGGACAACATGCTAATTTTCATGACCGAGATTGGAGCGGACATGAAGGAAAAAAAAAGGGGGCAATTTATTGCTGATAAGAGCAGCGCTCGCTGTGCTTCTCGAGTCGTTTATTGTTTTGCACGGCAGTCCGGAACAGAGGTCTGGTATTGTACAGGCTGCGAGGCAGACAAAGGCCAATCAGCATCCTAGTCCAAGCTGGCGCGGCTTCGGGAGGGGTCTCCATGCCTGACTTGGTGGCTCTGCCAGTCGCACTTCTGGCCACAAACGATATTCCCCACCGTTAAACCCTATAGTAAAAAACTCGAGAACCGCTAAGTAGTGGATCGCGCTGGTACCAGAACGAGGCTGTCACAGGTTTTAACTGTGGCGTCTTTCCAGTGTCCGAGTCAAGGTGCTGGGCTAGGGCTGAAGATCCCAGTCATTGGGCTAAAAGCTTGTCTAACAGGGGAAAAGCATGGCGCTGAAAATAGGCTCGGCCTTTTATTTCTGGCGATATTCCCGAAGGCCGGATTGCGGATGCTTGCACCAGCTTTCGGAGGGAGACGTTTTAGAGGGCCTGCCATGAATCAGACATAACGGTATTTGGCTGCAAAGCCGCATGGAGCCAATACACACTTACTCCATTACCCTTGCCGGTAAATATTGAGGGGTTTCGTGTGCGTGAAAGGCTCCCATCTTCGGAAGGGTGCAGATGGGCGACAGACTTGAACGAGCCAAGTTGTATGCTGGGGGCAGGCCTGCCAGAGTGCGATTTACATAAGATGAGTATAGCTTGGCAATACTGGTGATTGGCTCAAGCGATATCGTCGGGAGGCGACGGTACCCAAAACGGCGCGATACGGGGCCGTTCATCGTTCTCGCATGTTTCGGCACTCTGTAATCTCTCTTCTCGCCTGCCACCACCTGGCCCAGGGGCTTCAACGACACCAAGCTGCGCAGTATGCGGTGCCTGAATGCGGGCCACTGTTTATGCTATCGTATTTAATTCTTGGCTGCCCAAACCGACATGGCGTGCAGCCTGACTTGTTTTGCCAAGCGAATCTCTTAACCTCTGACAAGCTCTGCTCCAAGCCCCGTAGCGACCGCTTGGACAGCCTCGGCGACTGTTGCCAATGTGCCCGCAAGAGGTCGATGCTTTGATGGCGTTGTTGGGTGCCGCACCACCAGCTGTGGAAGGGGAAGACGTCACCTTCTCCCCTGCATTTGACCTGGTACGACAACCTATAATGGACTAAGGCAATCATGCCGCCCCTGGAACTCGCGAAACACCATTACTGCCCTCTGTGAAAGACCCGCGGAGGGATAACGCCGGCCCAAGTCCTGAACATCAAGACGGGCAGCGGAGAACGCCCAGGTGTGAATCACTCATCGTTTCGAGGCCATGGTGGTGATTAAACTTCTGAACGGCAGACAAATGCAAGATGAGCTGTCTTCGTAATATCATACAGGTTAGACTGCGTTTCAAACCAAACAGGTCAATACATTACATTCTATTTTTTACTCGCCATTGTGATAACATTCTCGTTCCTGCATGGCCATCCAGTTCGTTCGACCCGCAACCCATGGAATTTCCTCCCGGAGCGAAGCCGGTAGCGCGGATTTCATGCTTGCAAACCAGGGGTCGGTAATACGGACGTGTACTTTTTCCGCCCTCATATGCATCTAGACAAGCCCTAGGTGGAGACGCTAGCCTCGGCGCGAGTCGATATTGGCATTGGCACCCCACATCGGTCGGAGTCGTCGATCATCTGCCATTCATAAACTAACAGTGTCTGCACCTTGAAATGTTTACTTCCGGGTACCTTCTACCGGATACCTAATTCTTACCACACTTATTGTGGCCCACCTTCGTTTTCCATCTCCAGGTCTCTCAGTGTGTTGTCGTTGTCGACCATCACGTTCCGCTCGCTCCCGCCCATTTACAATTCCAATTTGATTATTACTTTTAATTCCATAATCAGGACCGGTCGCATTCTTCCAACATGCACTACTCTGCTGCTCTTGCGGCCGTCGTAGCCGTTGCCCCCATGGTTAGTGGCCATGGAACCGGCCTCCCTAACATTGTCGGACTAGATCCGAAGGACACCAGGGCTCGCGACTTGCTTTCTGGTATCGGAGCACGATTCACTGGCGTCAACGAGATTGCCAGTGCCAAGAACAAGGTCAAGACACAAATTGTCCGCCGCCAGGATGACCGCCAGTGTGGAGCTGGCATTGGCAACTGCCCTGCTGGCCAGTGCTGCTCAGAAGCCGGCTGTATGTTTTGTTTGTGTTACATATCAAGACTTTTCATTGACGAATTTCAGACTGTGGAAATGATTCCGACTACTGCTTCTCTCCCGGCTGTGACTACAAGCATGGCCCGGCTTGTCCAGAGAATGTGACACCAGCCGGTACCAGCACCGCCTCAATTGCCCGTACCAAGCCAGGAAATGTCGAATATGGCGGCAACGGTATCTACAGCTGTACCAAACCAGGAACCGTTGCTCTCACCTACGATGACGGCCCCCAGAAGGTTTTCACTAGCCACATTCTTGATGTCATGGCTTCCTACAACGCCAAAGCTACCTTCTTCATCACTGGTAACAACATCGGCAAGGGCCAAATCGACATCACTCCTGAATTCACCCAAGTCATCAAGCGTATGGACTCTGAAGGCCACCAGCTTGCTTCGCACACCTGGACTCATTTGGACCTGAGCGCCATCTCCTCGCAGGATCGCCACGACCAGATGATTAAGAACGAGATGGCTCTGCGTAACATCGTTGGCAAAATCCCCACCTACATGCGTCCTCCCTACTCCAGCTGCACTGCCGAGTCTGGCTGTGAGAAGGACATGGCTGACCTTGGCTACCACGTCACCTACTTCGACGTGGACACTGTACGCACACTTTATGATGCTCTTTGGAAATAATAACTGACTTTTTCAGGATGACTACGAGCACGATGACCCTACTCTGATTCAGTACTCCAAGGACGTTTTCAAGGGCAATGTTTCCTCGGGTAAAGCCGCCAGCGCCCAGTGGCTCGAGATTGGCCACGATATCCACGAGCAGACTGCCATGAACCTGACCGAGTACATGCTCTCCACTCTTACCCAGCTCGGCTACAAAGCCGTCACTGTCGGTGAATGCCTTGGTGACCCTGCCGAGAACTGGTACCGCAAGGCTGGTGGTGCTAGCACCGGTGGTTCCACTGGAGGCGCAAAGCCTACTTCTGCTGCCCCTACTCCCACCGGAACCGGCAAGGTGTCCACTGATGCTACCTGCGGTGGTACCAAAGGATTGTAAGAAACCCCCGTATCCGTGCATCCTTTACACATTTCTAACTTTTCCCAGCACCTGCACAGGATCTGCTTTCGGCAATTGCTGCAGCTCTGCAGGCTGGTGCGGTAGCACCAACGACTACTGCGGCACTGGCTGCCAGACTGGCTTCGGTACCTGCGGTACCGGTACCGGCTCAACCACCATGAGCACTGCTGCGCCCAAGCCCAAGCCCACCACCGGCACTGCTAAGGCTTCCACCGACGGAACCTGTGGTGGAACCTCGGGCTTCACTTGCATTGGTTCGGCATTTGGAAACTGCTGCTCGCAGTACGGATGGTGTGGAAGCTCCGCTGATCACTGCGGCACCGGATGCAATGCTGCCTTTGGAAAGTGTCCTTAAGATGGCGATTGTCAACTCTTTGATCGTCATAGCAAGGAGATTTTCTTTTAAAGCATCTTGGGAAAAGGTTATCTCGGCAGAGAAGAGATGGGACCAAATGTACAACTCTTTTTCTGTATTAGCCTAAGAGCAGTATTCAAGTTCCGTTCAACGATATTACGAGGTAAAAAAGCTAGTTTTTAACCACAATCTTTTTTTCCCTTGAACAAATGCCCTGCTGGTGTCCCCGTGATTTCTGTTTCCAAATATCTCAACTTTGCCTTGAAAATGAACATGTCGGATATCAGATGTTGCGGTGGCTCAATAGGGCTGTCACTTTACGTTGCCAAAGTGTAAACCGCATCCATCTACATAGTAATATCGCGGAACAAGCACAAACTACAACCATCCTTCCTTTTATCCATCATCAAGATACAAACCCCCCCTCCACCCTTTCTTCTCCTCAACGTAGAGAAACAAGCTTCTGCCCAACCACTCTTTAACCACTCAGCCTAGTGAAACCACCACATTCCTTCTTTCACACCCGCGGCATTACTATATCGACACAAAAAGAAAAAGGGCATTCACAGGGCGACCTCGCCTGATTAACACTTCTGCTTCTCACCTCCCCCTTCGCCAAGTTCCAAACCTTGTCAGTGAGAAAAAGAAAGGACGAGGGACGCTAGTGGTGCGTCATTACGCGTTCGCATGGAAGCAGCGAAGGGGTTGAAGTTTGTTTTTGGATCGCGGGCTATGGTTACTTTTTGGGCCAGGGGTGGATTACGCGTCGAGTTGGTGAAGGGTAGGCTTATGTATAGGTAATGGATGATCGGGGTTGGTCTAATGCAGGGGGGATTGGGGCTGGAGGATGGTGATGGGGGGTGACGTCTTGTGTGGTCCGAAGCCAATGTAGATGGATGAGTGCTGGGTTTGATCCACTCACACTAGGTTGATACATCGTAAAGTATCTTGAAACTGACAAAGCTGAGATTCGAAGTGGAGGGCCGAAGCTGTGGTGTTGTTCATCCTCTTCCAATGCCTCTGAACGCACTTTATATCATTGTTCTAGCGCCAGATAGGTCTCTGTTCTGATATCAAATGATAGCATTATCATCAAGAGAATCATTTCATTGTGCCAACCTCTTGTTTCAAGATACCTTGCTTGAGCTTGGGTGGAGATGTCATCCGACTGTACTTACATCTCTGGCACTTTCCAGAAGTGTTGATACACTATTGCTTACATAGGTGTATAGGGGGGGGGTTCTTTTTCTCACTAACATATGTACATATGTACACTGCTTGTTGCAATCCAATAATAGTACAGATAGCGGCTACAATTCAGGTGTTCCAAGCATTTATGGATCATTTATCGCGCTTCCATATTGCCATACTTTAAGAAGACGCTTTTGTTTTCATATATATGGGCATGACGATCTGTAAAGAGTATCACATGATTGTCATACTGAAGCCATGTGTTCTCGAGCTAATCCTTGGAATCCATATGATCCAAACTCTGGTATATCAAAAAATGTCCTCAGCATCAGGAACGGGCCATAACCAATCACTTGTACGCACGTGTGCTTAAGACCCGTAACACGCGTGTCAAATGCGAATGCATGAGCAAAAGGAAGAACTCAGTTTTCGAGACTCAATGCAATCGGAGAGGTGAGCCCCAGATGCTCATTCGCAACAGTTGTACGCAAAGAAAGTGGGTCCGATGGCTGCTGCATTGGCAAAAAAGAAATATCAGATGCCTTCCGCCAGAATTGAACTGACGACCTCGTCATTACTAGTGACGCGCTCTACCACTGAGCTAGGAAGGCTTCGATGGAGAAACAGGTCTTAATTGCATTTATATACCGCCGTACGCGCAGTACTTACTCTCGTGTAAACATGAGCTAAGCGCGTAGGGAAGGTCCTCCCTCGGCGGGCCGCAACTCCAGCAGCAGTACCCGCTTTACCTCGGGTGATGGACTTGTACTTTACATTTTCGGAAGAATGGGAATATGGCATCGCGACTTGGAGAAGATGAAGACTGTTCATGGGCGTGCAGTGCGAAGCTGAAGTTGTTTCTTGTGGAAACGAATGCGTCATATGTCGCGCCTTGATCCTGTCATGCTGGTTGGAACAAACAGGGAGCCTCCTGTTTGGAGCCGCCCCCCCCCCTTACGTTACGGCCACGCCGTCACGGCGCTACAGCCACGGTGGCTGACCAACTGACTGTGTTTGCAATCAAATCTCAACACGTCGCTTGCGGAGAAGGGCGCTGAAAGGAGGGCGCTACGTCTTTCTGGGGGTTGTTTCAATGCGCTGAGCTGAGATTCACCAACTGCCTCACGGCTGCGTCTCGGTTTCGTTGCGTCCTCGCCACGTCCATGGTCGCGTAGCCAAGTGCACCGACTTGTCCTGGTCAGGAAACACGCGGTACAATAGACCTCGCACGATGTGCAGCTCCACGCATATGTGGAGATGTGAATCCGGGGCCGGGTGACCATTCGCGTGTTAGGTCATTCACATGCCACCGCAATTAGCCCGCCAAGGCACCAAATTAAGAATCCGGACAATTGAGCCTCTCCCGCTGATCGCTGACCTTTCCTCCAACACCTTTTTCAAACGCGATTTTTCCCCTGCACCGCGACACACCACCACCATACAACACCTGCCAGGATCGCAAACCTGGCCTCGACTTTCACCATTCCCAGTATTCAAACACGACCATCTATGGGCTCTGCTTCTCCCGCCGCGACTGCCTCTCAAATTACTGCCCAGCTTACCGTAGTTGGCTCCTTCTTTCCATATAGCGCGCTGAGCTCGGGTCTAAATAAGACGGACGCTTCCTTCGCGTCCCTTGTCCGACAAGTAGGGGTGGGCGTTCCGCCGTGAACCTCTGCGGCGGGCATAGATTTTGGGCAGCCCAAGTCCGGAGTTGGATGTGCGCGATCTCCACCGAACTGAGGAGACGCACCAGGCTGACTGAAACGTGCAGAACCTAAGCGTGCTCTGGAGCGCAAATATCCTTAAATTGTTTTACCCCTCACTACCGTCATCATGGTTTTCGCATTCGATCATGACGATGCGCAGCTCGCAGGCAAGGTCCCGAACACTTCCGAGCCTGCCGTGCCAAACGATGACATGTTTGCCCTGGAGGATATAGACATGAGTCCTTCAAAAGTACCCCTCCATGTTGGGACCCCGCCGATCAATATCGTCAGCCCTATGCCAAAGCGCAGCGCACAGCCCAACCCTGAGGGCAAGCAGCTAGGACCAGACAAGTTGGACTTTGAGGCGGTTATGAAGAAGGCCCAGAAAAACAAGAGGAAGAAGAAGAAGGGACCAAATGCAGGTCTGCAGGCTACTAACGTGACTCGTGGCTTTCACACACCCGTCACATCGGGTGGAGAAGAGTCGGACTATTCCATTACGAGCACCCCACGGTTCGGGCCCGTCCGCTCTGGACTCCCTAGCGTGACTAGCAGTCCCGCGCTACGACCACAGTCTACCATGGGAGGCATCAGCAGCCTCAAGGCCCAATTGGAGGCCTTGAACTTGGCCTCCAGAAGCGATTCCCCCATGAAGGACTTTTCCAACAAAGGTGTCGCCATGAGCCGGGTCGCATCGCATATGTCTAGCAACACCAGTATGTCTGGTCGAGAGAGTGATAGCGACCGTACGGAGATGGAGAGTTACGAAATTGATTTGAACGCCGAGGATTTTAGCGCTGATACGCTTTCTAAGACATCGACTATGTTGAACAATGGGATGGCACGCAAAATGACTGCAGAGGACTTTGAACCTTTGATGTGCCTTGGAAAAGGTAGTTACGGTACGGTGCTGCTTGTCAGGCAGCGTGAAACTGGACGTCTGTTTGCGCAGAAGCAGTTTAAGAAGGCATCCATCACCGTTCACAAGAAGCTTATTGAGCAGACCAAGACGGAGCGCAATGTTTTGGAGAGCGTGAACCGCTATCCATTCATTGTCAACTTCTACTATGCATTCCAGGACCAGGAGAAGCTGTATCTGATCCTCGAATATGCACAAGGTGGCGAGCTATTCCATCATCTTGCCGCTGAGCGCATGTTCACCGAGGATGTTGCAGCCTTCTACATGGCTGAAATGGTACTTGCTCTCGACCATCTGCACCGCACTGTCGGCGTCATCTACCGCGATCTGAAGCCCGAGAACTGTCTCTTGGACTCCGAAGGCCACCTTCTCCTCACCGACTTCGGTCTTAGCAAAGTCACTCTCGACGAAGACAATCCTTGCCGCTCTTTCCTCGGTACCGTAGAATACATGGCTCCGGAAGTCGTCCAAGGTCTTGAGTACGGTGCAGCAGTAGATTGGTGGTCCCTCGGCGCCCTCGGTTTCGACCTGCTTACTGGCTCACCCCCTTTCACGGGCAACAACAACGCCAAGATTCAAGAGAAAATCGTAAAGCAGAAGCTCTCGCTTCCCTACTACCTCAGCGCCGATGCCAAAGATCTCCTCACCCGCCTCCTGCGCAAAGACCCCAAGAAGCGCCTCGGCTTCAACATGTCCAAGGACCTCCAGACAATCAAGAAGCACCGCTTCTTCCGCAAGATTGACTGGAAGAAGCTCGAGGCCAGGGAGTTGGAGCCACCGATTCAGCCGCTAATCACGGACCCAGAGTTAGCAGAGAACTTTGCTCAGGACTTTACGGATTTGCCGCTTAGCCCTGTGTTGACCAAGAAGTTTGATGATTCACTGTTTGAGAGTCAGAACAACAATCCGTTTGGTGGGTTCAGCTTTGTGGCGAGTCAGAGTCTGTTGGATGGTGGGGAGTGGGGATACTAGAGAAGAAGTGTTGAGCAGTTTCTCGTGGGGCGAGCGTTTATGTTTGCATTGCTCGATTGTGTTTAATAGCAACGTTTGGCTTCAAGTGACTTTTATTAGTTTTTATCGTTTCAGGAATTCATATTAGATAACGTTGTTCAATGAATCTCAACAAGCAAAGTGAATTCTGGGTGAAATATATTGTTTTATTGCTTCATAACTGCCCAGACCAGTTCATCCCAAACTCCGCGCTCGTGTGATCGGTATCATGCGCAAGCAATCATGAGTACTATAAACCATGTAGGTATCGTCAAGAAAGAAAGGAATCTCGTGTGTCTTTCAAAGAACTCGTCTATGAAGTAGGGGCAGCAGCGGGGGTCTGTCCAGCCTTCTCGCTGCTCTCTGCGGTGGTGGCAGTGGTAGTGGTAGAGGCACCAGTCTCCTCAGCCTTCTGCTTCTTGAGGTCTGCCAAGTGCCTTGCCTCGTTGTGGACATCCATGACAGTCTTGTTGCCCTGTTCATAGAAAGCACGGAGCTTCTGACCGGTAGGGGTTGAGGCAGCCTTGTCAAAGTAGCTGGTCAAGGTGTTGAAGGCAGCGTAGCCCTTGTTTGTGACGCCGAGCTTCTGGTCCACGACCTGAGCCTTTTGTGTAGCCTGGGTCTTCTTGTCGACGTTGTTGATGAAGTTCATGAATTTTGAGCTGTAGCCGTTCTGCTTGTCTGCGGCCAGAGCACGCTCAATGGCCTTGTCTGAGATGGCATAGCCGTGGGCAAGGTACTCGGCAACGATGCGTGCGCGGGGCTTCTGTTCCTGCTCGATGTGATGGTCGCCATCCTTGGCCTCTTCAGCCGAGGCGGACTTGTCTCCGGCAAGCTCGTCGATGCTCTTAGCAGCAGTGACGTGCACAGAGTTGGGTCCAAGCTGAGTGTTGTCGAGGAGAAGGGCGGTCTTTGCGGCGGCGGCCTTCTCAAAGGTGACGGAAGCAGACTGGGCATCGTCGCCGGTAGGCTTTACACTGATGGATTGAATCTTTCCGCAGAAGCTGAAGAAGCTCTTGATCTCCTCCTCGCTCGTCTTCATGGAAATGTTCTCGACGTTGACGGTGGCAGCCATGATGGTGGATGTGTATTGTAGTTTGAAAGGTGTTAGGTTGTAATGGATTGTAAGTACGTAGAAACAAGTACGGTAGTGTAGAGTGTATGGCAGGAGACACGTATGGCCAGGGGTATTTGTAGCAGTGGTGAGGGGTGCGGAAACCAGCTCAGAGAGGGGCGCAGCCTGACGACGCAAGGGTGCAATGACGCAGGTGGGGCGGTGCTAGTGGCGTATAGACGGCATACCACGAGCACGAGCGCGAGCGCGAACATTCACGAAACGCCACCATGTCCATACTGTCTTTCATGTGAAACTGCACTGCCACATATGCAATTGCCTAGAGAGCACATGTGTAGATCAAGTAAGTCATGGCTAGACTATAATGGAGTATGATCATCTTTTACGCAGTAGACGCTTGTATTCGCCCGGGTTTATTGATAGCGAGGAATGGGTAAGCACAGAAGCACCGAGGCCAAAGTGCGGCATTTGAAGAATTACGATATTTGGCTATGTAGATGTACTCCATAAATTATGCAGAAATCTCACAAACTAGAGGCAGGAACATGTACACATGTGGACTAATCAGGGCTGGAATAACCCACTACGAAGCTTCATCACTCCACCAAACCCCGGCTTAAGCTAACGTCATAGCTCCGTAGTCCCATAGCACTTTGCGTGAGCACTTTGCGTGAGCTCTAGGCTCTGATGAACCGTTTCTTTTCACCCAATTGATACCAACAATGGCTTCCAGGCTAATTACCCAGTCTCCGCGGGCAGCGCAGTCGTGCATCCGCCGCGCGCAAAATCTTGCGCCAACTGTATCGCAGCTCCCACAGCGTCGCTACATTTCCGCCTATGGCTACGAACAAGCAAAAGCCCTCACCTTCTCCGAGTATGGAGAGCCTCCTGCCGTGCTCTCTCTCCACAGTCATTCCATCTCGCCGCCTCATAGCAATCTTATGACCCTACGATTTCTCGCATCGCCTATAAACCCCGCCGATATCAACCAGATCCAAGGTGTCTACCCGTCGAAGCCTAGATTCACAACCGACCTAAGTACCCCAAAGCCAATCGCCGTTGCTGGAAATGAGGGCGTTGCTGAAATCATTGCGCTGGGCGAAGGCGTGAAGAAAGAGGGATTCAAAAAGGGCGATTGGGTATTCATGAAAGGACCTGGCTTCGGAACATGGCGCACACACGCAAGCGCCACAACCAACGACGTAGTAAAGCTCGACGAGCAGATGCGCGAAGGAATCACAGCAATCCAGGCCGGCACTGTATCCATCAACCCATGCACGGCCTACCGGATGCTCCGCGACTTCACCACCCTCTCGGAAGGCGACTGGTTCATACAAAACGGAGCAAACTCTGGCGTTGGCCGCGCAGCCATCCAGCTAGGCAAAAAGTGGGGCTACAAGAGTATCAATGTAATTCGTAGCCGCGACGACAAGAGCAAGGAAGACGCTATGAAGAAGGAGCTGCAGGACCTCGGCGCAGACGTTGTCATTACAGATGCAGAGTTGCAATCGCAAAGCATCAAGGATCAGGCCAAGGAATGGACAAGCGGGGGTCGCGCACCCATTCGTCTGGCACTCAACTGTGTGAACGGCAAGGCAGCAACAGCAATGGCGAAGCTTCTGTTTTCATCTGCGCACTTTGTTACCTATGGAGCCATGTCTAAGCAGCCATTGACCATTCCTGCATCGATGCTTATCTTCAAAGACATTCACTTCCACGGCTTCTGGGTAAGCAGGTGGGCAGAGCAGCATCCAGAGGAGAAACAAAAGACTGTTGCCGACGTGCTGGACATGACGCGAAAGGGTGAATTCAAGGACATGCCTGTTGATGAGATCAAGTGGGAATGGGAGACCAAGGGAGAGGAACTCATTGCCAAGGTCAAAGATACACTCGAGGGATACAGGAGCGGCAAGGGTATTTTTGTCTTTGGCAAGACATAGACTGTGTAGTCTTTGTATATAGAAATTAAGTGTGTAGCATTGTGCCTAGCTTCTCTACTGCAAGAATACCCTCGACCCATTATTCGGCAGCGGCGCTCTAAACAGCACAAATGGTCTCTCTCTGCGATCCGTCCCTGGGTAAAACGACGAGCTAAACGCAAGTTGGTTATCCGTAAAATACAGATACCCATCACTTCCAACCGACACTGCATTCAAGTCAGCACACCAAAAAAAAAGATACAAAGAGGGAAAGAAACTCACTAGTATCCACCCAACTAATCCTCGGATCCCTCACAAAAACCGTCACAGACGCATTTGCCGGATTATAAAACCCCACCTCATTCTGCTCCATATTCCCCGCATACACAAACCCATTCGTATCCGTCTCAAACCCATCACTCACGCCCCTCTCGCCCCTCCTCTGCACCGCCGCCTGCGTCCTTAACTCCACACTTTGGTCGCTCCTATCCCGCAGCCGCTCGGTAGGCACACTATATAGCGACCTCCCACCCACCGGCCCAAAATACAAGTCCTCACCCGACGAGGACAAAGCGATGCCGTCACTGCCGAGGGGAACGGTAGTAAGAGGGAGCCCCGGACCAGGTATGTAGTATAAAGGGTGGCCCCAGACATAGGGTACAAAACCGCGCTCAGCACGTACCTCTGCTGTGCCGTCGAGACGGCGCCAGGACTCGCCCGATGCGAGATCGACGACGACGATGCCGTTGCGGCCTTCGCTTGAGGAATCGGTAATGTACGCTACGCCCTTTCCCGTCGTACCGCTTAGACTAGGGCGCAGATCGAGGCGGATGTCGTTGAGGTACGAGGTCGGGTATGCGACTGTGGGCGGGAAGATGATTGTTTGGAGGATGCTGTTGCTGGAAATGTCGACGGAGATGAGTTTGGCGCCGCCTGGGGAGGCGGGGACGAGGGTCCCGTCCGGGGTGAGGGCGCGGCCGGTGTCGAGGATCCAGAGGCGGTCTTGGGCGTCGAGGACTACGCTTTGGACGCCGATGAGGTAGTTGGCGTAGTTTGCGCCGACGGGTGGGGACACGGTGTAGTTGATTGCTCCGTCGGGTGGGTTGTTGATGTCTACATTTGGATAAGGGATTTCCGTTCCGTTGGCTAGGATTTCTGCTACGGCGTGCTTGTTGTTGCTGCCCGTGTTGGTGTTGTTGGGGTCGAGGCCAGAAGGGTAGTTTGAGAATCTACGCCCGGTCTTGGAGACGGCGATACCTAGAGAGGGGTGTCAAATTTGAGAATGATTGAATAGGTAAGATGTTCAGGCAAAAAGTTACCAGTTGGCCATTGATCATTGTAGAGGTGCACGATTTCGAGTGGTGGGCCTGCAATGCCAGGATCAGAGCGGATTCGCTGGGCGCTCGATAGTACGGGGAGCAAGGTGCTCAATGCCGCTACAACTGAACTCGCCAACATCTTGAGTTGCAGAGTCGGTATAGACACATGGTTTCATGATGTCTGCCATCGTCAACTTATACAATTCTACATTGAGCACGCGTAAACTGCGAAAATGACCTCAGATGATACGACTAGGCAGTACAATAGTCTCCACGTCATGTACATGTCAGGCAATTGCAAAAGAACAAGGGTAACGGTCGATCTAGCTCTGCATTTGAGGTTATATCCAAGAGTAGCTACCTATTTACGGTTTAGACTCTACAATGGTTCACCCCGCTTTTGTGATGCAATGTGACATTGGCGGTACGGTGCGGACGGAGCTAGACCGGGGTACCTGTTCTTGGACTAAGAGCAGGAAGGCTCGTGTTTTTGATGTCGTAGAGATTTGTATAATCTTACAATGGACAATGACTGTCCTCATTTTTAAAATCGGATGAAATCTAGTCTCGTAAAGCGTAGCAGATGGAGGGACACTGAAATTTTGTTTGCAGCTGTCGTTTGGTCCAAACTTTCATCCAACCCAACTCTTGACAACCTCTTTTAAAGATGTACTGTTATCTGTCCCAACCCAGGTGTGTGATTGTTCCGAATCCTCTGAATCCTCTGGTGCATCAGCAGAAAACCTTGCAACCTTGAGCTCTCCGTCATTGAATTCAATTCTAATATCCTTTGACGATGCAACACCCTTCTTCGCATCCTTGGTCCGAATCGAGAGCCGTGCATCTTGGCTTCTGGTCTGCGCGCGTGAAGAGTAGTCGTTCTTGAGTAATCGATGGGCAACGTGGAGCGAAAGGATCCAGTCCAGATATGACTTGAGTTCCTCGACAGTAGCAAACTTCTGCTGCTGAAACAATCCAAGATCGGAGCTAAGCGTGGACGGAAGATTTAATCTGTGTTCGGTGCCGAAGGTGGGTTGACCGATGATAGTGCGTGTAACGATACTCAAAGTTTCCGACTGTGCGCCGTTTGAAGTAGGGAGGGTCAAAGTAGCAGTTCCACCAAACGGCTTCATGAAAATCTCAAAGAGCTGATCAGTAGCTGATATGCCTTTCTTGGATGATGCTTCTAAGCTTCCAACAAGCGCTGCCCAAGAATTCTCACGTGTCGTTTCCAACGTCACGTTCAGACCGGCGCTGCGGAGAGTCTTCGCGACGAATCCAAGATAGGCGTGAAGCGAATCCACGCCCTCAATGTGGTAAAGGACAGCAAGGAGGGTACGTAGCAATGGCGGTGGTTGTTTCTCACGTGGTTTTCCTGTTAATGGAGGCGGGAGCTGTGATCTCCGATAGAGACGCATGCTATGCTCGTGAGCCAGCAAAAGGCGGAGTGATTCGGCAATATTCTTAGCCAGCCAGTCGTACTCACGAGATTGGTTATTTGGTATAGGATCGTCTCGGAGTACGCAATCGATGAGCAGCTTGCGGTTTTGGGACAGGCTGCCCATTTGAGGCGCATCAACATAAATGACAGAGTCCCGGAATTCGACCCCGTATGCTAACAATTGGCGCGTCTCCAAACTCATCTCGTAATATAGCTCTTCTTCAAACAAAGAATCTCGTGCCAGCTGGATGGACTTTTCCAGTGACTGATTAGCGAGTTCCGTGTCAATTGAAATTTGAGATGTTCCGGTGATTTTTCCATCGACGCTGATTCGAACGCGGAGTATCTTTGGCTTTAGTGCAAGAGCTGGATCTAGAATGATGCTGCCATCCTTGTCCATTTGCAGAGGGGCGAACCCACGGGCTTTGAAGTGATCACTCGCTAAAGGTTCTGTCAGCTCTGGTACGTCTCCGTTCAATGGGTGCCCCTACCTTCTGGAAGTCCATAGCGCACTGCAAAAGGCGCGTGACGTACGTTTTGACGCAGACGCTGAATAGGCCAGCCCTTGTCCGAGACGGAGACAATCTGATGCCAGTATTTTGTCTCACGTCGAATTTCCTTCTCCAAGTGTTTTGCTGCCTTAAGGATCTCATCTACTGACGAGTCGAGCGCGTCCATACGTGCGCCTTGTGCCACGACCTCTTGTCTCGCCTCGACATCCTGCAACCTCTGCTGCTCTTCGGGCTTTCGGATGCGGTGTTCGTGATTCTCCCGGCTCATACCAAAAGACCCGAGAGGAATGCCCTGGTTCAGACCTTGCTCGCGAAAGGTTGGGCTGAAGAAGTTGAGACTGCGCTTGTTTGGATCTTGCGACAGGACGAGGGAGACGAGGTCGAGCGCATTAGTAGCAGCAAACTTGGCCCACCTGTTTCTTGTCAGACGTCGCGTCGTCGGCATGGATATGCGGGCGATACGTACTCCAAGTGGCTGTACATTTCCTGGCCTGCTTTGAACACCTTTTCTACTTGCTCCTGGCGGGACGGCGCATCGGTTTCCTTGTCCTTGTCCTCCTGCTTGGTTGCATCGTCGGCATCGTCGGGCACGTGTTTTCCCGCGTCAATGTCTTGCTGCAGCGACTGTTCGGTGATGTTGCGCAAATGGCCCCGTTCGCTTGCGAGCTGCTCGATCTTGATCAATAGGTCTTCCTGGGTCAGCTCTTCCTTTTCGGTAGCTGGCCATGGCCGCAGCGTGACATTGTTCAGTGAATTCATGGCGACGGCAAGGCTAGCAGCGGCAGAGGGGATTGTAGAAGGTGAGTTGCAGTGGTTTGCTCCGGCGCGGTGGGCCCTTGCATAAAGGTCGGAGCTCTCAGTAGCGGCCGCTGGTAGATCCCCCGCTTATCGATTGTCGGCTTGGGTTGCACATGGAGCCACGGGTTCCTGGTGCTGCGTCCATTGTTTGGTGCGGAGAGGCAAGTGATGGCCGAACCAGTAATGGCCGTCATACATCCAAGTACAGCCTCTTGTTGTAGTGCATGTAGTAGCTTTGTGCGGGGACATCACAGGTCACCTGTGCATGGTCCCTTCCCTCTCCAGCCACTAGCGGCGGACTCCGATAAGCTTGGACATACAGCCTCAACCATACTGACAGCTCATACCTTATTGCTTCTTCTCCCATCTTCCTCTCTTTTCCTCCCCTCTCACAGACTGAATTGCTGCCAAAATGACGACAAGATACCGTGTAGAATGTAAGTGCTGACCCTTTTTGCCGCTATGGCTACAACCAGTATGCTGACATGATGCCCTCTGACTTGTAGATGCTCTCAAGGTGTGTGCAACGTGATTAACTAAGTATTTGGTTGTACACCGCTAATACATCTGGAAGACTCATCGAAGAGATCAGCTTGTGAGCATCACTCAATTTCTACTCCCTGCTTAGGCTAACCATGCTATCAGATTGAATGGATCAAGGTAACACCCATTGTGCCTCTAAAATCACATTGGCCGGTTTCTCATAGATTTTCAGGGTCTATTAGCTGTCCCGTTTGTGTTGCACTCGCATCCTACAGCCGTGTTTGAGCCCAATGGCGAATCGGTCGAACAGCAGGCCAACATTGCCCAGCGGCGGTATGCTGAGATTATGCGTGATGTAGAAGAGATAATCAACGATCACAGTGAGTAACTGAAGCACGGGGATTCTCCCAAGCATGATCCAAATCGTTCTGTATTGACACCATACAGTTCAGCACCAGAAAGATGGCAAACCAGACCGGTCAAAGCTAAAGCTGCTGGTACCGTCAGTAGCAAACTTCTTCACACCACTAGCACTACATGATGCATTCATATGGCAAGACCAGCGGCGTTTCATTAGCCACCGGCGTTTTGTGCCTCCTTCTTTTAATGACGTTCGTCTGGTTCTCAACACAGCCCAGGTAATGAGTCTGGTCCGCAATGGCCCATTGGAACTCGTGACTTTTGACGGAGATGTGACGCTCTATGACGACGGAAAGAATCTTGAGCCCGACAATCCGATCATCCCAAAGATACTGGGACTGATGCGGCGTGGATCTAAGATTGGCATTGTCACGGCTGCCGGATACACTGAGGCAAAGCCATACTACGGAAGACTTCACGGCCTGCTCGATGCCATTCAGGCCTCTGACCTGCCTCGAGAGGCTCGTCAGAACTTGCTCATCATGGGAGGCGAGAGCAACTTTTGTTTCAAGTTTGACGAAAACAGCCCAGTGCTGCTGCGGCTAGTACCGCGAGCAGAGTGGCTGTTGGAAGAGATGCTGCTATGGCATGAGACGGACATCAAAGACCTCCTGGACCTGGCAGAGGCCTCGCTGAGGGACACGATTCGGAACTTCCGGATGGAGGCCAATGTGGTGCGCAAGGAGAGGGCAGTAGGCATTGTGCCCAAGCCTGGATATAAGTTTTGCCGTGAAACGCTAGAAGAGACAGTGTTGATTATTCAAAAGATTTTGGTATGTGCGTCGGAGATGGGGGTAGAGGGCTGTGCTGACACTAGTAGGAAATTTCTGAGGTTGGCCAACGGCTGCCGTTTTGCGCGTTCAATGGTGAGTTGCAAGGCGGGACCCTGGACAATATGAGGTGAAGATATATGTGTACTGACACGAAAGCAGGCGGAAACGACGTGTTTGTTGACATTGGGGACAAATCATGGGGAGTGCTGGCGTGTCAGCGCATCTTTGGGGGAATTGCAGGCAGCAAGACACTGCATGTGGGCGACCAGTTTCTTAGTGCGGGAGCAAATGATTTCAAGGCGCGATTGGCGTGCACTACAGCATGGATTGCCAACCCGCTAGAGACGTGCCAGTTGCTGGATGAGATTGCGGAGCTGGACGAGATTCACCAGCGCAAGACGCGGTGAACGGGGAGGGAGGGCAATGAGGGAGTTGTGTGTAGTATGTAGTACATATGTATGTAGTGTATGTATGTATGTGTGTATGTATGGATACGGAAACACCGAAGAAGGCATGCAAGGGGCGGCAGGGCGATTACATCAGCATGTCGGCAGCCGGCCAATCAGGGGGTAGGGTGAAGCAATGGACATGTCAGCGGAAGAGGGTGGTGTAGGCTGGAGGGGCGACTGTCAACAAAACACAGAGTTATCCGACATGGGCCGGGTCTGGAGACGCAGTGGTGCAGTATGAGTCTGGATGGTTGTATGGATGTCGACGTCGTGATCCGTGGGCGAGGGCGGCGCTGAGTGGCGAGTGGCTGGTGGCATGGGGCCGGGCAGGCTAGAGAGCGGCGGCGCAGGGCGGGCAGCCATGGCATGCCAGGTACGTGGGCTTGGGCTGCATATCCTCTGCCGGCGCGGGTTTTATGCATGTGCCTATGTACTGTAGCGACCGTCTATGTACACATCGAGTATGTACGATTGCTGTATGTTTCCATGTCGTCGCCGTTGCGGATTGCGCACTTGGGCCGGCCACGCATCGGCGCCCTGTCCATACGCCATCGTCCACTACCCTTCGCCTCGCTGCGCCTCGTCTCGCCTTGCCTTGCCGCGCTCGCTCGGTTGCGTGTCTTGCGTCTTGCGTCTTCCGTCTTCCGTCGTGTTGCAACTTGTGCCAACACCCCCGGTCCCTGCTACCCACTTCTCGACCCCCCGGCCGTGGAGACCCCCGTCACGTTCCTCCGCTTCATCAGCCCGACGCACCTCCTGAAGCTTCCACCCACCTGCGGCCTCTTGCTATAGTACTTGTTGCTATTCACCCGCTGCTGCCACGCCAACCACAGCATCTCCACTGCCGCCCTAGCAGACTTCTCTCTGCTTCCAACCTCACCCCAACATCACTCCCCGCCTGGTCCACGCGCCTGCCTCTGCCAGCCATGTCGTCGACAAAGTTCCAGTACAAGCCATTGACGCTGACGCCCATCAACTTTTCCCTCACAGAGGGCACCTCGATACCCGCGCCGCTCGACAGTCCTCCCGACTCGCCTCGCCCTCCCACACCGGGCAAGGGACCGCTCTCCTCCCATCCTACCCCCAAGTCGCCCGCCTCGCCACCCCAGAGAGAGTCGCCTCCTCCAGAAAAGCCGTCCGACAACGCGACTCTCGATTCATACCCGCGAGAGAGCCGCACCAGCGATGGAGCAAGCACCGTGTCCCCCACGAGTCCCTCGAGCAAACGTCCTACGTCTGTGCGTAAGTTTCTCGGCATTCGCACCCTCTCCTCCTCCGACAGCCTCAAGTCTGACCGGCCGGGCTCTCCCGCGACCATCACCAGCCAGGCGCCCAGTCTGAACAGGAGGAAGAGTGGCAGCTGGTTCGGTAAGAGGAAAACTTTTATCGCCGGCCCCGTCCCAGAGGGCCACGTCGACACGCCCACCTACGCAAACACTCGCACCGTATCGCAGCCCCAGCCTGTCCAAGCTCCGGAACAAAAGGGCCCTCCGGCCCCAGCTCTACCTGGTCTGAGCTCTTTTGGCCTCAATGAGGATGCGCTGAGTCTGAGCGCCGATGATCTATTCAAGGATATTGGGAAGCACGACGAACCTATCCAGCCCAAGAACAACTACTCCAACTCGGACAACAAATCAAAGTCGACACGATGGGAGCTATGAAAACAAGAATCCTATTAATAACAAGCATACTCACATGCACCACTTGTGGTGCGAGATATGCAAGACACCAAAGGGGACGAGGAGGAGGACATTCATGTTCATGACAGCATCTTCTAACGGCATCTCAGACTTCTTCCTAACGCCCTTTACTTTTTTCCTCTGTTTTTTTGTTTATCACATATACACCCTTTTTTTTCCTTTGATGACACCAGAGGCCGCAGGTTTGGGAGTTTTTTGTTTCTTCTTTGATTCAGGAAAATCTGTGCCATCAGTCTCCTTGCTCTTGTCTATTCTCCGTTCTTTTTTCCATTATTACCCCCCATCTGCGTTGTGTGCCGATACTACGCACACAATGCATTTTACAACCAAACGATACCCCCCCAGTCGAGAACCAGTATGGTAATGGAGAGAGAGAGAAAAGGCACGCAGAGCGGAGCAAACTTTGTTGGGGCCCGAGAGGCTGAAGGAGAGGAGGGTGATGAAGATGAAGAAGGAATATACCTTCATTGACGACTGGGAGGAACAAAGTTACTTTATTCCATACCAATACTATTCTTCACGCCAGCCTCGCTTGGCTTATTTTTTATTCATCTGTTTTTTTGTTTCCGAAATACAACCTCGCTAGTCTGTTCCAGTATGATTGCCAAATGGAGAATCATCGATCTCCAATAACTATATCATTTCCTTTTCCTTTTCAAACAGTCGACCCAGATCACTCCACCGGAACAAAATCCAAGGAAATTATAATTGCTTTTTCTACCCCTCCACCCACTACTCCGTCCCGCACCGCAAACGGTCCGCTAGCAGCCAACACCCTAATTATTCCTTTTTTTTTTCCTCCCTTTCCCAATTTATCCGAACCTTAATCCACTCTTTCCGTCCCTTCCCGCCTCTCCCCCTCCCACTCATTCACTTCCGTCCCCCAATATCCGATAAAGCAACGTCTACTTAACTACCACCTTCCCTTTTACTTATTTCTCTTTTCCCCTGATCTCTCACTCCATTCTTCCCACCGGACCCCGCGGTTTGTTCGCGGAAAAACCTTATCCGATGTAGCTGGCGGAATAAGGGTTTTTTGTTTTTTACTTGCTGTATTCCGCGGCGTGGGAGGGGGAGTGGCGTGGTGTTGTGTTGTGGCGCGGCGCGACGGACTAAAAGCGCTAATTAAGTCCTTCACACATATAACCCCTGTATAGACTCAGACTTTGGCAACTCATGAACCCTGGTGGATGAGAGATAACAGGTATTGCGAATTTTTTGTTTGTTTCAAAACGCGTTATCGTTCTTTGATATCTTGGTACAGTACTGTTGATAGACTCAAGTCGGATATCGGAATAATTAATGTCGATAAGAATTGATCAGACTAAATACCATGACATTCGCTCTGAGATCAACCATCACCATACCTAGCAACACAATGACCAAAGAACAATAAATAGAACATCATAACTTTCCACAGCAGCTCACCTTTCACAGCCATGCCTAAAAATAAGTAAAAGGTTATTCTTCCCGCGCTAGCCCTAAATCAGCAACAAAAAACTGTATGTACATATACTTTGATTCAAACTTCACAAAAAAACGAAATTACCAAATCCAACCAAAACTCAAACATAACAACACGGCACCGAGTGCAAAAACAACGGAATACGATCAAAAAGATGCCCACTCGCGGAATCGAACCGCGGATCTTCGCATTTCATACAATATGATACGAGTGCGACGCTGTACCACTAAGCCAAGCGGGCTAGTACTTTGATGGGAAATTTTCTACGAGGCGCATCTATAAAGCCAATGGTTGAAACAAAAAAAAAGAGAGCTGGAATCGAGGGGAACCACACGCTGACGGCACGGAGATAGAAGGGGATGATGCAGGTGCGTTGGTCCGAGGGTGGGGCGCTGACGGCGACCCCGCAATCGTCTGGTAGCGAAGGGGGGTGCGGCCTTGGGGTATGCAAGGACTGGAATAACCGAGTTGGGAAGGGATTGTGATGCAAAGGAACGAACGTGTGGAAAAACAAGTATGCGCAGCAACCATAGCAATATCGTGACAACCCTTTGCTTTAATAAGGACTCGTGTTGAAAGATGAATCATCAACACCATCCCCCAAAACATGAAGGCACTCCGAATTTCACAGTACCAAAGATATCTCCAGAAATTCCAAGCATACAAACATGTCAATGTCATTGTATCCTACAGAAGAAGAAAGTACGAACGAGATACATAATCGCCAAAATATGCACAGCGCCTATGCCGCTACTTTTTGTGTCTTGCCACCAATCAACGCCAGAATATTACTGAAAAGGCCTTGTGGAGGCGGGGGTACGGAGCCATCATGCAGCACGTTTTGTAGGTCCTGCATGTTGAATACATGTTCGTCTTGATCAATGTCCTGAGTGAGATCCTCCGACACCAAAAGGTTGGCTAGGGGTCGCTCGGGCTCATCGTCTTCCATGTCAATCTCATCTGGGTGGGTGATGCGGTGCGCCTCGAGCTGCTCTTCAGGTGGCGGAGTAAGAAGTTGCAGGGGGCCTGCACTTGGGCTGATTGACCTGAGGCAAGAGCGTGAGTCGAGGACAATGTAGCCGCTCTCGCTTCTTCGAGATGCAAGAGCTAGATTCATAGGCGACAAGGTCTCCCTCCACAGTGCTTTGTGATGCTCTGGGCTATAGATCAAGACCTTGGACGATGCCTTTTTGGTCTTCGAACCGTGTAGCTCACTCTTTTCCAGTCGAGGTAGTGCTACAGCAAATGTACTGTCCATCTCATTCGTCGCAAGTCGGACCAGTGGCACGCGCTCCAGGCGGTTAAGGCCGGGGGTCTCGATGGAGACGCTGTATACAAGCTGATCGGCGACCATGTCCCATACGGTAATGGCATCTGCGACTACTACCAAGTACTGTCCGACGAATCCAAGACCGGACAAAGCAGTCACATCGATCTCTGTCAGTGATCGTCGAATGGTTCCGCTGCTGGTGTCAATCAAATGTGTCACTCCCGCATCCTCTTCGAAATTCCAAGAAACAGACATGGCAAGAACAGAGCCATCTGCGGAAAAGGCTAACCGCGAGGTGCGTGGGGGCAAGGATTGCTGCGATCCTTCGGTAATATCAAGCTTGTCACTGATCTCAATTGCATGGTCGAGTGACCAGGTAATCAGACCTTCTTGATGAGCCCCGCGAACGATAACGCCATCGCGTAATCGCGTTTTCGGCTTCCAGGTCCTTACAACATGATCCTCGCCCACAGTCGCAAAGCCAGCACCAGTAGGGTCAGCAACAAGATCATAAACACGGCCATTGCCACATCTGTCCTCGAAGAAATGCGGTGCGTCGATTCGAGTCTCCAACTTCCATTGTCCACTGCTGTTGTCGCGTCGCCAGATCTTCAGGTATACCTCTCGGCGGTTCAGGCGCTCCTGCTCATTGAACTCAGGGATGCCTTCATTGAGGTAACGAGTGTCCGATTTTGGTGGAAGCCATTCATCAACTGTCGCAAGCCATTCTCCGTCGTGGCTGATTTGAATGTGTGTAACGTTGGGCTCTTCGATCCGGCCGCCGTCTGGAGCAACATTAGGCTCTGTTGCATTGTTGCGTGTCAATGCCTGTCGGCTCTTGGCACGCTGGTTCGCAAGATCAAACGTCTGTAGGTATGGCTCTGGTTTCAAGCCTCCCTTCTTTTGACGGGGCTGTGACGAAGGCACTGCAAATGATACTTCGTTGGGGTTTGTGGGATCTACAGTCATAGGTACTGCCTCGAAGATGCCAAGGTACATGTTGCCAGATTTGGTCTCTTTTGGCATTTGCTCAGTGTCGATTCTTCGTGACTGGATGCCAACAATGTTGGTGCGTGCCTCGAGCTCGGTCGTGGACAGAACAATGACCGAGTTGTTAGCAAGTGTCAGAGCATAAGCAGAACCCGTGGGTGAGACTACGATGTTTTCAATGGCTGCCGACAAGTGAGGTAGGTGTTGTGGTAGTCCTGTAGCAAGCTGCCAAATCGTGAGGACAGTCTCATCGCCACCAGAAACAATGTAATTGCCTTGTCATGTTAGTAATCGTACAAATCCCTAGAATATGAGCACACTCACCATCTAATGACCACTTGACGGATCCCACCGCGTCTCGGTGCCAGTGTAGGCGCTTAGGCCTGAGACTCTCAGCAGTATCTGTTCTCTCCTTTTTGCCCTTCTGACTGCTTTCAATTGCAGCAAATGAGGCCAATATGTCCTCGAACAAGAGGATGAGGCCCGTCTCCTCGCCAACGGCAACATCAAGGATATCCCTTTGATCTTGTGCACCCTTCTTTCCGTTGCTGGCTTCCTGCTTCTCGCGATGGTAAATGTGGAAGGTTCTGATGTGTTTTGAGAACTTCAGCTCGCGCCAGACGTATTCAAATTCGTGAAGCGCTGTTTTGGTGATCTTAACACGCTTCCCAACAATGAGTGAATCGGCAGTTGCAACAATGACGTATTTGCCTTGTAGGAGAACCTGAATATCGCGGATTGCAGAGCTTGTGTTGAGTATCTGTTTGAGCTCCGACTTGGATTCGCCAGCTGAAATTTGGCGGTTGGTGCGAAGAGAGCGGAGAGTAAGGCTATGACCATCTTCGGCGTCATGGCAGTACACGAGATCTTGATCAGACTCGGGCTGTGTGACAACAGCCATGTTCTGGACCGTAGTACCAATCTCCCATCGCCCGGTCTTTTTACCCGTTACCCAGTCCCACAACATGATTTCTCCAGACGAGTAAGCGGCATAGATTAGGTGTGGCGCTACAGTCGAAAGAGCGTATGCTGTGAGTAATCCAGTATCGTTATCCAAGAGCTCGTTGACAAGTAAAGATGTATCTGTGGCATAGACACACAGCGACTTAAGATTCGCAACGATTAGGTATTTCTCATCTTTAGAGAATACTGGGTCCGCAGGCAAATACCATCCTCCTTGAGCAGGGGACACAACCCAAGTTCCCGACTTTTTGTTCTTCTTCTTCTTGACCAGTTCCAATGTGTCGGTCGTGCCAAGGTCATTGCGCTCTGCTTTATTCTTCTCTTTTCTCTCCTTCTTCGCCTTCTTTCGTGCTGCCTTGTCCACCACATTGGCTACTCCGTTTGGTTTTTCTTCCTCAGCTTGCGCCACTTCATCGGCGATTCCGTTGACTGTTGCGCCGACAGCTTGTGCCTCATCATCGTCTACCGATCCGTTCTGCTGTGCTTGCGGCTTCTTAGCCTTCTGCGCACTTGTGGGGGTACCATTGGTCGCATCTTTGTCTACGCCATTTGTATGTGGCGCCGATTTCGATTGCTTCTTTGGAGTAGTCGTCGTAGTAGATTTGGGGGTCGAATCAGTCGCAGAGATTGTGGGTTCGCCGTTGCGACCGTCCTTGAGCGCCGCCGCGGCCTCTTCTTTCCTCTGCTTCTTGGCCTTCTTCTGCGCTGCAGCTTCCTCTCTCTTCCTTTTTAGTTGGGGAGTTGCGTCCGCCATGGTAGCTGCTCCTAGGAGTAAGCTTGGTGTAAAAATTTACAATGGGTGACGATTGTCGTAATGGTCGTGCACTGAATGTATCTTGAGAATCTTTTTTGATGGAGCTGGCCCGAGCTTTTCACCGCCCGCGTTCTTAGCGCGCCGCCCGCAACTTTCTTTGAGACGGCATCGCGAACGCTGCGCACTACCCACCACAAGTTTACTACGTTTTTACGTTAACCCAAGACTGCAATACCGCGATCGCGATACTTCGCTCGACTTGTAAAATACTCAAAACTTGAAAATGATTGTCCCGATCCGTTGCTTTTCTTGTGGCAAGGTACTATGACCACCACTCAAGCTCATGCGCGCATACACTGATCCGATGTTAGGTCACCGGCGACCTGTGGGAGAAATACATGGCACTTCTCAGTGATGGCATGGAGGAAGCGTAAGTGCCCCACCTTCCCTCGACCCTCCTACCGACCTCCTACACCCTATCCATAATACCTTGGGGTAGGACGATGCTTTTACCCCAAGTCTACACACGCGAACCCCGAGGCCCTTGTTATATATACTCTGCTGATATGCATATTCTTCCAGTGAAGCACTCGATAGCGTCGGTCTTCAGCGCTACTGCTGCCGCCGCATGATTCTCACTCACGTCGATCTGATTGAGAAGCTCCTGAAGTATGTCCCTCTTTCTGAGCGCGCCGACCTGGCTCGGGAGACTAGTCGCCGCGATCCCGAGAGTCAATAGTTTTGATTGCGTCCCGGATGGAGGCTAACAGTATTCACAGGTACAACGCCAGCGAACGAGAACAAGCCCGCGCGGCCCGCCGATAGTCGACAGACGATTTGAACGAACTGTTTGGAGTTTGGGACAGACATGCATTTACATGGTACGGCGTTTTTAGGGCGAAAGATATTGGTTTGCACCGACAGGCTTTACAAAAGCACCGCTCAAAACTTGAAGGACATGAACCGTAAGATGGACGCGAGATTTGTGTTGAGCCCGTTATATGCTCAATTTAATTCCTGCAATTTGGCATCGTAGCGGCATCATCGGACATTCGATCTTTCGAAGACAACCCTGTGCAAGCAGTTTCGTGGGCTTTCATTCAAATCTGTTTTCCTTGGAGACATTGCGGATAAAGGCGGAACACGTGCATGACAGGGAGAATAGCGATAATCACAAGATTCGTTGCGTATGGAACTATCTAAATCACCCTCTAAATCGACCTTCATCACTCATCACACTTGCCTGCATCCCCACCCCAATGTTCCTCAACCCATTCCGTCATGATATCCGTAAAGCTCTTCCCATCATCATATTCCAACGTATCATCCACACTATGCTTCTCACCTAAATATTCCAACGCCAACAAAACCCACTTCTCAATGAACTGGTTATACATGAGATCCACAGTCTCAGGCTCCTGATCGTTGCTGCTCGCAGGATCGAATCCAACAGCTGATTGGATACAGTTTGGTACACTGTAAAAGGCAATCGGCTCGTGGATTGTGTCATCACCATCTGTACCAGCGTCATCTTTTGTCGTGTAACCTGGGAAGGGCTTTGGTTCGTCTTCACTGGTACTGCTGAGAGGTGCCTGGCCGTGCTCGGGTTTCGCAAAAGCAGTCTCAAGTACCTGAAGCATGTGTGGCCTAGACTTTGCTGCGAAGGCTTCTGGAGGTTGGAGGAATTCTCTGCTTTCCATCATTTCCAATAGGATTGGTCCCTCGTTGTTGAGAAGTTTTATTACTTGGCTTGCTGCTTTGTATGGTACATCTTTGATGTATCGGATTGCGCTAGTAAACGGCGAGACGAGGAATTTGGTATCTTTGGTGAAGGGCCCCTTGAAAATGTCGAAGCGGATGGCGCCCGTGTTTGTGAGAACCAGTGCTTTGCCCCCGTCGCGGATGCGGTCGGATTTCTCGATTGACTGGGGTAAGAGCTGTTCCTCGATCCAGGTAAAGATACTCTCATTGTGGGGGTATGGTCTTCGACTGATCCATAGATCCTGTGGTGTGCAACCGTATACCTTGCCGAGGCCGAGAGATTCTCTGGCATCGCCAATGGCTTCTGATACTTTCTTGCCGTGCTCGGTCGGGAAAGTCTGATCGTCCTTTCCAGTATGGTGGTGCATGGAGAATAGGTTGTTGTCAATATAGCGACGAGAAAAGGTGAGCGCTGAGCTTTGAGGCACAGGTGCTGCGTCTTTTGTCCCTCCAGTGCTGAGTCCAGCAATAGACATGAATCCGATGGTTTCCATGTACCGACCGCTCTCGAGAGCTACCGACTTACTGTCGAAGATCTTGTAGTCACGGATATGGGTATGTCCTCCAAAGAACTGAATGGGAGTGTCCCAGTGCAAAGCACGGATAGTAGAGAACAGCAGCGCATACTCTGTGGAGCGGATATCAACATGACCAAATACGAGAATAAGATCGACGTCTTGATCCTTGAGAGCCTCCGTAAACCATTCTTCTTTCACAGTGTCCTCAACTCTTTGCACGACGCTGTTGTTGGCATTGCCTGTAAAATCAAATAAAAAGCCAAAGGCCAGGATGCGGATCCCTTGATTCTTGGTGGTGAATTTCTTGAATCTTTGGGCAAGAGGCTCCAATTTTCCGGTTTTTGGATTGTAAATATCGAGGTTCGAAGCTATATAATTACCCTTGAAGTCGGGAACAGTGTGGAAGAATTCCCCTTCAGCGGTATTAGCTTTGTAAAGCTCATGGTTGCCAGAGCAAATAAGGTCAATTTTTTGCTCCTTGGCAATCTCATATGTGAACTTTCCCCGAGGTTTTGAGGAGTCGTAGATTGCATTGCCTAGAATGGTAAAGAGGCGAGGTCAGTGTTTGTGTCATAAGTATTGAGTTCATTTAAATTTACCCTCTACTCGGTCTCCGGTATCGACGAGCAACATATCGGATCTATCCGCATCTGCTTTTTCGCGCATGTGTTTAGCAAAGGAGACATAATCACCCCAGTCTGACGAATAGGATGCTCTGATGCACGTTAGAAATCATGTTGTACCACGGGCCATTACAAGTAAACAAGAACTCGCAGTAAGATGGAGTGTTTGTTCCTCGACGAGCCAAGTATGACTTCACCAAGGAGTATCAGGAAGATATCACGTACTCTTGCAGATGACCTCCCCACCAGCCGTGAATGTCGGTGGTGTGCAAGAAGTTGAGTTGGGCCCATGGCAGGTCACGCAGGGGAGCCGCTTTCGGCGGTGGCGCTTCCGGCTGAACGCAAAACGCCCCTTTCAGAACAACAACAAGAATAAAGAACTGGTGAAACATGATGAAGGAGGTGAAGATGTTGTAATGTTCACCTCTGTAGTGAATACGCTTGTACCTAGGCAACCATCTAGGTACCAGCGGTGTACGAATATGACGTAAGCAACCGGGCGCACGAGACGACCAGAAGGGGATGTAGTGGTGATGGAAGCAGAGCAGTGCGAGATGCTGCGCGCCTCGAGGGTGAACGCGAGCAATGAATGCCGGGCAGCCAATCAGGCGGTGAGGTGCGCGGTGAATAGCTGGCGGGCCGTGGCTGCACGTCGGTGGATCCATGTGAAGTCTAGCGCCAACTCTACTAAATAGTTCAACATTTTTCCGTGCTGGACAACACCAACCTCTTCCACCACAGTTTCCAACACAACCTTTTTTACGCGCATCAAGTTTTCTTTGTCGCGCATAATGGCCAGGACAGCTGCATCTCGCGCTACGAGCGCAAAGCCTGCTGAGAAGAAGACCGTCAAGGAAGTCAAAGCCAATGGCACTGGTACGTCACACCACCCATCGCGACTAACGAAGCTCCAACTAACCCAACGCGCAGCCCCACGAAAAGGTGCAAAGAAGAGTGATGACGCGCCCGCCACCAATGGTGTAGCCGAGGAAACTAAAGTCGTTGATGAAAAGACCGAAGAGGTCGAAGCACCAGCTCAAAAGCGTAAGGACGACGCGTCTGAATCAAAGTCATCACTTGCTAAGGATCCTGCAGCTGCTGCACGCGGTCGCGCGAAGAAGACGGAGACTCCTGCGGCTGAGCCTAAAGTCGCGACTAAAAAGACAACAAAGCGCAAGAAAGACGAGGAGAGCGAGCAGGAAGCAGAGGAGGCTCCTGCGCCTGCTGTAAAGAAGGCCAAGGTCAATGGTGCGAAGGCTGCGCCAAAGGCCGCTCCCAAGCCTGCCCCTAAGCCTGCTCCCGAGGCTGCCCCCGAGACCGCGCCCGAGGGCGAACCGGAAGCATCGCCAGAGCCCACGCCCGAAGCTGCCTCCAAGGTAGAGTCCAAGGCCCCAACACCACAGGCTGAGCCCAAGGCCCCGGTCAATCCCGCCCTTGTCCCGAATCCCAAGGGCCCAAGACGCGCAAAGGGAAAGAAGACCGAGATCAATGCCATCCGCTACACTGAGCCTCTCAAGGTTTTTGTATTTGGTGAGGGTGGCTCTGGTGAACTTGGATTCGGGGCAACGAAGAAGGCTATCGACGTCAAGCGACCACGCTTCAACGAAGCCCTGACGAACATGAACGTCGTCAGGATTGCTACTGGCGGTATGCACGTTGTTGCGCTGACAAAGGACAACAAAATTCTGACATGGGGCGTAAACGATAACGGTGCACTTGGACGTGACACATCCAACGCTAATGTCAAGATGCGCGACGTGGGCGCAGATGATTCCGATTCCGATTCAGAAGACGAGACTGGTGGTTTGAATGACGAGGAGGCCACACCGAAGCCTGTTCCCGCGGAGTTTTTTCCCGAAGATACAACATTTGTCGACGTTGCTGCTGGCGACAGCTGCTCTTTTGCGCTGACAACTGAGGGAGCTGTTTATGGTTGGGGTACTTTCCGCAAAAACGAAGGCATTCTTGGTTTCGAGCGTGGCAACCACACTGCTCCGCGTCCTGTCTACCTGGATACCGTCAAGAAGGTTACACAGATTGTTTGCGGTACCAACCATGTCTATGTGCTAGACAAGGACCGACACGTGTATGCTTGGGGCAACGGTCAGCAGAATCAACTCGGTCGTCGCGTGACTGAGCGCAATTTGCACCAAGCTCTGCAACCCAACAGGATCGGCTTTCACGATACTTCGATCAAGAAGCACAGTCAACGAATCGCATACATTGCATCTGGCGACTACCACGGTCTCGCAATTGCAGAAGACGGTCACATCTGGGCATGGGGTGCGAACAATTACTGTGAGACGGGCTACACTGATAACGCTGGTGCAGAGGATGCCAGCGTTCTCCAGCCCAAGATCATACACAGCCTTGAAGGAAAGTCAGTGGAGTCACTAGCCGCAGGTGCGCACCACAACCTTGCCATCACCAGGGATGGACAAGTACTTGTTTGGGGTCGCTGCGACGGTGCGCAGACCGGTCTGCCTCCGTCTGAGCTCGATGCTGAGACAGACGAGGACAAGGTGTTGAAGAACAATGGCAAGGCCAAGATTGTTGTTCAGCCCACGCCTCTTCCCAACCTCAAGAACGTTGTCACTGGTGCATGCGGTCCTGATCACAGCATCGTCATTGACAAGGACGGCAAAGCGTACTCATGGGGCTTCTCGGCCAACTATCAGACGGGCCAGGGCACTGATGACGACATTGAAGTGCCAACCATGATTGATAACACTGCCGTTCGGGAGACGAAGCTGACCTGGGCGGGCTGCGGTGGGCAATACAGCATCCTCGCTAGTAAAAAGGAGTAAAGCGACACGCTTTTGTTCGCCAGCTTGTATCTCTCAACTGTGCCCTCGGGCCTCTGGTTTCTTCTTTCCTCGCTCTTCTCTTGTCAAATTTCTTTGTCTTCTCCCATGGAATCAGGAGTTTCAGAATGGCATTCACGGCGTTTGCGTTTCTTACACGGGCGGGCAGGGCTTTTGCATAGCGGGTTCTTTTTCACTCTTTTTAGGCAAAGGAATTCACGCATCTTTTTTTTTCATCTTCTCGCACATGTATCTTCACGGCTGAATGACGGGGCGAAGAGAGAGAGACGCGTACAATGCCGGTAATAGAGAAGCACATAAAAAGAAATGGACTCTTGTTAATTGGCTTGGCCATGTGTTAACGATTCACTTTGTAATAATTGAATACTACGTCCATCCCATTTCTTCGCACTTTACCTTGTTGCATGGTTAAATATAGCGTGTCAGATGTTATGTGCTTGTTCATTTTCATAGGTATCCAGAATCCAAAATGCAACCATCCATACAAAACCCTGCTCATGCATACAAGTTTTATTACAAGTCTACAATCTCCATTGCCTCTATTCCAGCCCCACACTGTCATGAAGCCGGCGCCGCATCACCCTGTGTCTCCCTCGCGCGTGCAAACGTTCTTTTAACATCCTGATGCTCCACTATACTCTGCCCACCTCCGTTTCCCACCTTGATCAAATTCTGCGCATACGGATGCGCCCTCCCCTCAAAAGTCTTCAGCCGCGCCAGTCTCTCCTTCCGCAGTCTATTCTTGGGCAACATGCCGCTAACCGCCTTCCTCAGGACCTCTCCGCCGCCCCATTTGGCCATAAGTTTATCCATTGAAAGTTCTTTGAGGGAACCGGGCCGGGTGTTGTGGGTGCGGTAGAGTTTCTGGGAGCGCTTTTTGCCCGTGGTGTGGAGCTGGGCGCAGTTTGTGGCAACGACGTAGTCGCCGCAGTCGGTGGAGGGGTCGAAGATGGGTTTGTGCTTGCCCATGAGGGTGAGGGCTATGGCGGAGGCGACGCGGCCGAGGGCGCGTGGGTCGCTGCCGATGTCGAGGTGGTGCCAGGAGCGGGCGTAGGCGAGGCGCGTCTGGGGGATTGTGTTAGCTGTGGTGTAGTGAGGGGGTGTATTGTCTGTGTTAGAGGGGAATTGCTGGAAGGGCCTGGATATGGGCGTGCGGAGGTCCGATGGGGGATGTGTACCTTGCCTATGACTTGTGACATTGTGTGGTATGGGGCCAATGGCCAGGGAAACCGACTGCCTTCTGTAGTATGACAAGTCAACAGTCACCCTAGGACTGTCCAAAAGGCGGTTGGGCGGGTGCAATCTCGTGGTCGCAGTGGTAGTCGCTGCACAGTGGAGGTTGATGCCAAGCCGCAATGCTCACAATTTCCAGAACGCAGTCACATGATTGATAAGATCTGCCCACCCCAGCGCCGCATCCATGTCGGGCGGGGGATTCGGGTGTGGATTTCAAAGCGAGTAATAAGTACCAAGGGCGAAGTGGCATGTTTTTACAACTTTGACCATTTCCTCTTGTTCCACAGTCGAGCCTTTGGCATTATTATACCGATTTCACTCTTTTCGCCATGACAGTAACAGCCTTTGAAACGATATTCGCAGTGCCCATGACCTGTCAGTCGTGCATCAACGACATCGAGGGTTCCCTACATCAGTTGAGTGGTACGAGCGCGGACTACCAATGCACGTCATTTTGGCTTCTGACAAGGTGCAGGTATCAACAAAGTGACTGCCAACCTCAAGGAGCAATTAGTATCTGTCGAGGGCACAGCAGCACCGTCGGCCATTGTAGAGGCGATTCAAGCTACTGGGCGTGATGCTGTTCTCCGGGGGTCGGGCAAATCAGACAGTATGTTGGTGTCGTTGACTTGGCACACACGCGTATATAGAGATGCGATACTGACCATGCCACGCAGGTGCAGCGGTATGCATTCTAGAATCACACGCGCCACAGGTGGAGAACAAGGTTCGCGGCCTGGTGCGCATGGTGGAAGTTTCTCCTGGTATGACCATTGTGGACTTGAGTATAAGAGGGCTGTCACCTGGAACCTATCATGCCACAGTACGTGAGTCGGGAAACATTTCCGAGGGACCTGAATCGACTGGTGGGATTTGGGAACTTGGTCAGTCACAAAAAGAGACCAAGGCTTGTCGAGGCATCTTTGGAACCGTTCAGGTTGGAAAGGGTGGAGTGGGATCGGTGTTTCTCGACAAGCCCATCCACATCTGGGAAGTGATTGGGCGCAGCATCGTGGTTGCGAAAGAGCAGGACGGCAAGGTATGCGTCACCATGGAGCTGGGCCTTGATCTAATCTAACTTCACAATAGTTTGACAAGAACGACGCAGACACGCTAGTTGGGGTCATTGCACGCAGTGCGGGCGTATGGGATAGTAAGTGCTTCGCCAGCTTTCCCCACGTGTTCTGGGACATCGATCAACTCCAGGTCCCCCACATACACGCACACGCACACGTACACCATTGCTAACGTTGATGTAATTGCAGACGACAAGACGGTGTGTTCGTGTTCTGGCAAGACGGTGTGGCAGGAGCGCGAGGAGCAGCGCGATCGCGGTATGCTCTGATCAGGAAGCAGATAAGTAATACCAAGATAGACCAAGCAATCATAGTGCCGTCCAAGTGCCGCGAGGGTGTGCTGCTAAGATAACACGCGTGCCTTGATGGCGAGGCCGAAACTGCGGGTGCGGGATCGTTGACTCGAGGAGGATTGGAGTTGTTATGCGTTCATGCCTGAGAGGGCCAGGCGAGGAGATGACTGGCTGGCGCAGGTGGCTGTCACGTGGCTGTCTCAGTCGGACCGTGGCCGTGTAACAGACCTCAAACGCCACCTCTACGCCCTGGTCAAAGATCAAAGGGGGCTGTTGCAAGGCGGGCGCTGAGCAGCCTCGACTCCAGCACGCCTCGCGGCCAGGGCGGGTGGACGAGAGCGAACGGAGGCATGGGCAGGGCCAAACCGGCCGTGGTGCCACGGTGGGCTGGCTGACTTGGCCGGGTTGCGGCGTCTTGGACGGCCAGCTCGAAGCGCTGTCCATGTTGCAGGGGTCCAATCACCTCGACGGACGAGGTGCCAGCCAAGCCTTGTGCCTCAAACACGATGGACCTCAGATTTGGTCTCCCCACCTATAGCCCTCGCAGCACAACCGCCCGCCATATGCCCGCCGTCCCCTGTCTCTTCTGCGTGTCGCCATCGAAACCTTCTTCCCTCTCTCCCGGCCCTCCAACTGTGCTCTAATCGTTTGCACCGCTACAATCGTTTATTTCACCGCGAACCGCTCCGAGCTGCATCCAGGCCGTCTCGACCTGCTAATACTTACCACCACCGCACATTCCCTCCCGGAGCAATAATCGTCAGCACCGCGCCACTCAAATAGCCCCGGCGGCTACAACCCTAATCCTCCCGCACCCGACCCCCCCAAGGCTTTTAACCCTCCCGTGTTTGTGTGTGTGCAAGAAAGAAAGAAGATACGACCCTCGCAAAGTGGGCTGACAAAGAGAAGAGAGCGGGAGAGTAAGAGTAAGCTGAGGCTTGACGACACCATACTGCCGGGTAAACAAGTGAACACCACTCGTCATGTCTCTGAAACAGGTACGCTCAACAACAGCCCTCACCACCTGCAATTGCTGATAGAAAGGCCAGGAAATCGAAACCTGGGTGGCAGCCCTCGCCAGCTACGACAACAACGAATTCGACGTGGCACTGAAGGTCTTTGAGCAGATCTCCGACACATCCAAGATTCTGTTTAATTGCGGCGTAATCCATGCTACCCTCGGTGAGCACGAGAAGGCGGTAAGTTGAGCGCTACGCTGCGGATGCCACGAGGGGCATACTGACAGACTACCCAGGTCGAATGCTACCAGCGCGCTGTGCGTCTGGACCAGTATCTCGCAGTCGCATACTTCCAGCAGGGTGTGTCCAACTTCCTCATGGGCGACTTTGAGGAGGCCCTTGCCAACTTCAACGACACTCTCTTGTACCTGCGTGGAAACAACAACATCGACTACGAACAGCTGGGCCTAAAGTTCAAGCTCTACTCTTGTGAGGTCTTGTTCAACCGTGGTCTCTGCTACATCTACCTCCAACAGAGGGATGCCGGTCTGCAGGATCTTTCCTTTGCTGCCAAGGAGAAGGTGGTTCCAGACCACGATGTAATTGATGAGGCCATTCGAGAGGAAGCCGAGGTATGTGTGACTCTGCATTTGTATCAATGTGCTACGAACTAACAATGCCCCCTCCAGGGCTACACCGTCTTCTCTATTCCTGTTGGCATCGTCTACCGCCCGAACGAGGCAAAGGTCAAGAACTTGAAGACAAAGGACTACCTTGGAAAGGCCCGCCTTGTTGCCGCATCAGACCGATCCAACGCATTTACCGGCTTTGCTGGTGCTGAGATTAAGAAGGGAGGCCAGGCTGCAAAGGACGACAGAACCGAAGACAAGATTTCCTACGCGGCAACCAACCTTGTCAAGCCAGAGCTCCAAAGCCGAGCACGCCAGCAGTCGGAACCCCCGATGAACCGTAATGTATTCCCACCCACACCGCCACCGGAGGCGGATAGGCGATCTGGTGAAAGGAGATCTGCTGGAGCACGACCTGCAGCTGATCCCAACGCCCCAATGAGCCGCGCACAATCTGTACGAGGTGGCGGACCCAAGCCCCAGCCTTTGAATCTTGGACGAGCTGCTTTCGACCAGCCAAGCAGCCAAGAGCCGCCCCGCCGCCAGCCAACACAGCGCTCTGCATCGGAGCGACCGCCACCAGCTCGCTCAGAGTCTACACGTGAGCGGGGACAGCGCGATACGCGGGAACGAGACCCCCGTGATCGTGACACACGCGATCGTGAATACAGCAGGCAGCAGCGCCGCCGTGGCTCGGACGAAGACATCATCGATGACTACTACGAGGATGATGGTTATGCACCATCGCGTTCAAGCCGCGGCCAATACTCCCGTACAAAGTCGACCAGAAGACCAGCCTACATTGAAGAGGAGGAGGAAGACGACTACGATGGCAGTGATCTTGACGATGCCGAGTTTGAAATGATGCCCCGCACCAAATCAAGGAGACGATCACCGGCGAGGTCCACCAGATCCGGTGGTAGCAACCGCGGTGCAGGTAGCAAGATCAGAGTGAAGGTTCACTCCACTGACACACGCTACGTCTTCATCAGCTCAGACCAACTCATCAGCGAATTCTGGCAACAAATTCGGGAGAAGTTTGGTGTCCGGAACAAGTTCAAGCTCGAGTTCAAGGACGATGGTGACATGATTACCATGGCTGATCAAGATGACCTGGATATGGCTATCCAGGCGGCGAAGAGCATTGCCAAGAAGGAAGGCTCCGATGTTGCGAAGATGGAGGTAAGTCACTACCAAATACTCACTCTCGAAATGAATAACCATATACTAACTGCATTGCTAGGTTTGGGTTAGAGAAGTATAGACTAAAGATACCCCAGCATCACGCATGTTTACGACACATTTCCCTTTATCATTCTTGTATGCCTTCTTGATAGGATCTGATTGTTGTCATCTTGAGGATGGCCAGGTTTCTCTTGTTGCTGTAATTCTAGCGGGCCTTAATGCCGGGTCTTGTTTTCTGGTTTAGATACAGAGACCTCACTTTTTGTATACTCTCACTTTTCTTTCACAGCCGGACTGTTGATCCGAATTTCACCCGCATACACACAGGCAGACGATTTTACTCTGAGAAAAAGTTAGAGATTGTCTGTTTTTTTGTTTGTTTGCGTAGTTACCAATAGAGGGATGATTTTGATCAATGCCTATTCAACTATTCTATGCTGCATCTGCCTAACTCCCCCATCCAAATGCTTTTCACCTCTCACCCACGGCCCAGTCTACACTTTTCCCACCACTTCGGCCACATTGTCCCAGCCAAGCACCCTCCACCTTTTTCTCCGATACTCGTCCAGAAACGCACCAACTCACACGTCCGCACGTGTACCCACCCCCAAAAAAAAGATAGAGAGAAAACGCCACCAGCGCTTACGAAACCAACACCATGCCCATATCCTCCCCTTCCGAACAACCCGACAACCGGGGGTTTGGGAAGCCAGCAAAAAAAAACGGCCGAAAAGGAAAGAACGAGAGAGAAAGACATACACACATGAAAAGGCCAAGAAATGTCATTCATCAAGCCGGCTTGTCCTAGCACCTTTTTTCTGTTCCCTGGACATCCCATTGGCGCATGATTGAAGCAGAGAGAGGGAGGGTAGGGTAGCGGAGCGGAGCGAGGTGTGGGTATCCTTTCGTCCCAAGATACCTTGGCTTGCGGGCCAATCGATCGCGTGGGGTTGGTGAAAGTGAGAATGTGCATTTTTTCTTCTTCTTCCATATGTAAGTGGTCAACGATGGGCGGTTAGCAAATGTGATTGTATTTTTTATTTCTTGTTGGTTGACTAGCTTAGCTGGCTTGCGCCGCGGGACCAGCAAAGTGATTAAATGTCATTTGATTATGAGTGGGAAAATAGGGAGGGAGGGCTTGATTTATTTTTTTTACTACGTAATCGCACGTGTACGCTTTCGATACGTCGTGTACGCGCCCTTGTTCACGCCTTCTCTAGATAAGTTTTTCTAATTGGGAATGGTGCGCTTTGCATGGGAACCTCCAATGAAATGAGAAAAAGAGGCCGTGTGAATTAGATTTGGGAAGGAGGCGCGGCATCGTATCTACCCGTCGTATAGCTTAGCCTCACATTTGTTTTTGTTCTCTCTTAAAAGTTGCTATATGTTCATTTCCCTTTTTGGTTTTCCAGGGACCAAGGCGTAAAGTGAGGTACGCGACGGGTTGCCCAAGAAATGGGACGAGCATCGGCTGAGCCCACCCACTTGACACAGGCACGGCGCATGGGGTGTGGTTGACTTGATGGCCAAGCATGTGTGAGAGACTTGGCAACGTTCGTATTGGGACAGTGGCAGCTTCAAATGAGGCTGGGTTCTTTGGAACCAAACCCCGAAACACAGGGCCAAGCTTGGAATGTGTCGGGTCGAGGGGGGCTAACGCCAACGTCGAGTCAAGGGGCGAGGGAAAAGTAAACCGTCCGAGTGTCATGTACAAGCTTTCTTTCTTTTCTCCGTGACAACAAGACAGCGCTTGGCATTTGGGGTGAAGCGTGCGGGTGAAGCATGTGGGGTTTCAGCCTCTGCGGCTCTGCGATGGTTGTGACGTAGCGACGAATCGATCGTTGAAAGAGAGAACATCGAATACGAAAGGAAAGGAAGGGGAGAACAGAGGGGTAAGAGGGAGATTATTGTTACATAATGTTACAAAGATGCTTGGAACCGTGTTTGGGTTCACATAATTTTTCCCACCATCGTAGTTGTACCTGAACGCCCGTTCCATTGCTCGTCCCTGGGGTAAAATTTGGTATATGTACACAGGCGTAGAGATTCGTTTGATTTTTTCTGATTACAGGCTGTGTCTCCTGCACGCATATCGATATTCAATCCTGGCGTCAGAATATTCAATGGTAGCGCATATGTTGTTTCGTTTTCCGGTATCCGATCGGCTCGTTTACGCAGGCAGGAGGATCTCAGCCCAGCTGCTGTGTAGGAAAGCGACACCAAGCTGCGCAGTCAATTGTCAGCATTGTATCTTCGCGTCGTCGCCCTTCTAAGACTTCTTCATTTGCGCCCCACTGGCTACCCGAACCAAGTCTTTCATGCCTCCTTCTCTATCACCGGGGTTATCTTACAGCGAACATTCCAGCAGCGGTGACAATGCTCCTGTTCTCCTTGCTGGTAAAAGCCGAGATGGTACTGGAGGCGAAGCTGGGCTCTTGGACGGTGCGGCCCTTGCCAGTCATGTACTTGGGAGGCATCGTTGCGGTTGTGTGAAACACTACATCACTGTTAGTCGCTACACTAGAGTTTTTTGGAGTCGCAATTTCATGCCGTGTGATTTGATGTAGGAGGGGTATGTGGGTGGTGCAGTGGATGCGATGCGGCTGCTAATTAGATGAAGTTCGCGATAAGTTTTGGGCATGCGAGAACGTCACTGGCTTGATTTGCTTAGGTAAGATTGTCCCATTCTGCAGGCGCGGGCGTAGCGGACATCACGCAAAAGTGATCACAATTGTAACTGCAAATTCAACCTTGAAAGTAGAATTCTGGCAAATTTGAAGAAGAACTTATCGTCTTGGTGTGGCATGCACTTGCGATCGGGACAGTCAGAAATTCATAAAAATCATTTCAATGGTTTTTCTACTTTTGCTACTCTCCAGTACTATCAGGTATATTGGTATAATGTTCTACTCACTCAAAGTTCGTCCCCTAAAATTATTAAGCGCCAAAGGGTATACAGGAAATCAAGGCGTCGCATTTGGGCAGATGCAACACAGTAATTACAGATGATGTTTACAACTTGGACTTTGTTCCCTTTCGGGTGACAGTGCACTGAATGAGACCATTGGGGTCAGTTTGAGGCGCGAGAACCGTGGCGTCCTTGCCTGTGTTCTTGATGTCCTTGTGCCATGAGAGATCTGAGTATCATGTTAGCAAACTAGAATATGCGAATATGGACTGAATGCACTGACCTATTTCAAAGTAGTGCTTGTTGGGGAGCGAATAGTCCACAGCCTCAACCTCGGGGACAGCTGCCAATATCAAATCGCACATTTTGTACATGGTTGCCTGCACGCTCGCGCTGTCGTCCTCGGCAAACACCTTCATGGTGATATCTCGCGCAGTTCTCCATGCAGCGCCGAAGTCAATCTTGCTAACCTCATCCAAAGTCTTGAACAGCTTCCACTGCCACCCGGCTTCAATCTCGGTGCTCAGGATACGATCCCATGTCTCGGGTAGTCTTGTGTACTCGTCGCGATGGAAACCATGGAATGCTGATCCTGTGCTCTTGAGGACGAGCAGCTTCTCAATCTTGGAGCGGATGGAGACGCCTTCGTTTTCACGGGTTACGGCCTCGATGACACGCGTCTCTTCGCCGTCGCGGTAGAATGAGTGTGGGTGAGGCTTGCCGTCAACGGACATGCGCGTCCATCGGTGCTGGATGATCTTGACGTGGGCAGCATGTATGTGAGGGTAGGTCTTGATGAAGTGGTTGCCAATGATGGCGGCGAACTGCTCTGGTGGGTCGATGGGGTGTTGCTTTGCGAGAATGTAGGTGGTCTGCTTCTGCGTGTCGGTCGCGACGACTACCGAGTTGTCTGCCTTGGTGTAGCTGGGGCGCGTCAGTTGGCGTCATGGCGACTTGTGTTAGTATGCTTACGATTGCTCAATGTCTCCCTCGAGCAAGATGCGCACTGTCTGCTCGACAACTGTGTGGATGCCGGTCTTGGGGTCCTTGTCGACCTTGTACAGGCGGACATTATCCTTGCCGTAGCGGGCGTAGCTAAGCTGAGACATTGCGATGATGTGAATTGGATGATGATGTGCAGATGAAGCAGACAGTCACAAAAGGGCGATCAAGATAGATATACCACTGAAAAACGGCAGCTGGACTGGGGACCGGCAAGCGGAGGAGACCGATGTGTATCGGATGGTTTCACGAGCAAGCTATGGACTATCGCGCAGGAAGCGGCGAGAACGCGTTTCGATTCGTTGACATGGCCATCGGCGAGCTCCGGTCGATGGACGAGGCCCTGGATAACGGCGCAGGGCGCGCACGTGACGGGGGGAGAGCCAGGCCCCCGCTTGCCGATGCACAAAGAGGGCAGATTGCACGGCTTTGAGGTGGAGGGGCCTCGTCGGCAGGCTCGACTCGGCACGGCATCAGGCCATGGTCAGTCCAGATCGAGATGATTATAGTTTGTGGCTGCATGACAGGAAGATGTACATACATGGAAATACTGTATGTATACAATATACAATGCAAGCAAGTGTGTGTCTTGAAGTATGTAGTAGTGGAGTAGCAGGGGCAGCCCAGTCCGTGCACGTCCACCGCCCGCAACAGGTCGCGATGGCTATGGACGGCGCTGTTTTCCCACCTCATTCACCCTCACCCGCCATATACACGCGCCCCACTCTCGCCAGCCTCTGCCACGGCCACGGCTACTCCCTCCCACGTCGCGGCTAAGCCACACTTCCGCTTCCGGTCTGGTACCGCGACGGGCACACTTTCACCTCTGCCCGCGAATGCTCATGAGGCAAGACAAGGGCACCGCCGCCAGACACATGTGCGATGCGGTTGGCCAGGTCACGGTTAAGGCGCGCTCATGACGCCATCCGCCCGTTCACTCAATACCCAGGCCGACGCTGCCGATCAAACCTCGCTCCTTGCGCCCACGACGAGTAGAGATGGCCGTTCCATGTCGGCTGCTGGTATGGCCAGCTCGCGGGGTGGTCAGGCCTCATATGCCTCGTATGCGACTGCAAACACGGGGCCCGGCAGCTTCAACACGGCTCTGACCAGGCCATCGACAGCCCAGGACGGCAGGGTCCGCCCCGACTTCGACATGCACGCAATCACCATTGCCGACCACGACGGAACCACGTCCGAGCAGCGACAGGCTGAGCTGCAGGACCAAATCGAGAAGGAGACTAAGATCAAGATTGGCTCAGAGAACCTGTTGGAGGCACTCAATGCAAAGAATGCAAAAGAAGTCAAGAACCAACGGCTGCAAGTCGAGGAACAACTAAACATATCGAACAGAAAACTGGCCCAGCTCCAGTCTGGCTTGGCTGCGGAGAAGCAGAGAGCCAAGGAGGTCAAATCTCCACCAGCCGACCCCCAAAGCAGGCTCTCGTATCTTTTCCGTCGCAACCTATCGCGCTCACCATCACGCCATGTGGCCCAGAAAGAAGAGGACGGGGATGAGGAGACCGAGTCACCAACTTTTGTCCTCGCCGAGATACTTCAGGCTCTGGAAGTCCAGGGCATGCAACCGGAATATTACGTAGAGAGAGCAAACTCTCTCGTCCTTCTCTTCAAGCGACATCCCACACTCAAGTACGACCTAGCCTGGTCGGTGTTCGGACTACGAATGCAGACGATGCTACTCAGCGACAGCCGTGAAGTAGTCGCAGCAGCGTATCGTGTCATGCGCTACTCCTTCACCGACCGCAAGTCGCTCCGAATTATACGGGCCCTTCATACAGATCACTTGGTCATTCTATCATTGGTCAAGGAGAGCAAGGCTAGCGTTGAGCGTGAACAAGCACTGAAGTTTGTTCGAGCTTTTCTAGATGTCAAGGGAGGTGTTGAAGAGATTGCACGTGCCGTAGTTCGCATCATTGTGGCTGTGGCCGAGCATGCAGAAGACCGCCTCAGGAACATTGCAACACTGACTCTGGCTGAAATCCTTGTCCGAAAACCATCTCTTCTAGTCTCAGCTGGAGGCATGGGCGCTTTGGCAGATGCTTTGGGAGAAGGAAGCTACCTCGCCGCAGAGAGTGTTGGTACCTCATTCCTTTACCTTCTTGACACGCCCAGAAGACGTCGATTCCTGCGATCCGGACGAGAACTCGAAGCTCCGTTTGCATTGTTTACTGACGCAAGCACGATTCACGGACATCTTCACGAAGAAAAACTTAAAGTCAATGCCAAGGTCATTGCGTCCTTGCTCCGAAGTTGGGGCGGGCTACTCACTCTTTCGATGAACGACTTTCTTCCACTCCGATCTTTACTTTGGTCATTGCAAATACCGACTCCTCACGTTCGGAGTGTTATTCTAGAATTACTATTCGATCTTCTTAGGATCAAACCCCCTTCATGGTCTTCTTCGTTTCTTGCTGGACGTCGACTGACTACATATGGACGTGTTACGAACCTCAAAAATCAGCAAATCAAAGACACGACAGCTTCCAGTAGCACTGAAGATGATACCACCAAGTGGAGCTTGCTGGATCACTACGTCTCTGTGATTCTGGCGGCATTTCTGCACGCCGGCTTGATGCCAGCTTTGCTGCAGGCTGAAGCAGAGCCCCTTACACTGCCGTTGAAGCGCAAAACAACCTTACTCATCGGCGAGGTTCTGAAGATGGCAAATGAACTATTGCCACCATCATGGAGTGCCCAGCTCCAGGTGCTTCCACAGCTCTTGCACTCTGCAGCAAAGTTTCAATCCGAAAGCCGTTTTGTTGCAATTGGCACCATTTATCAGGTGGACAGTATCAACAGAACACTCTACCGGTCGGACCCAACATCCTTGTACAACACCAAAAGCATCCCGACTTCTGATGATGCATCAGCAAATAGACAGTCTGATCAAGCAGCGAAGCTGCAAGCTGCCATGCAAGTTGACGAGGGCCAATTTCGGAACCTGATGGTCGAAACCCAGGTGCTGAACACAGTGACGTTCCAAAAATGGAGATGGGACTTGATTCTCAACATCATCGAGGGGCCGTTGTTGAATCCCAAAAGGTTGGATGAAGCCATCAAAGTTACCAAATTCATCCACCGCGTCCTGGGATTCTATCGTCCGTTCAAATATCGATTTTCTGAGGTTAAGAACACTAAGCCAAACCAGCGGTATGTTCGAGCAGGCTGTGCTCTAATGCAGAGCCTGCTACAAAACCCTGAAGGCGTCAAATACTTGGCGGAGAGTAAATTTATCCGCCAACTCGCAGAATGCCTATCGCACTTTGATCGGATGAGTGGCCTGACATCTGAATCACCCATTTTCCAGACGGATCGGATGAATGAAACGCTTACTGGCGGTTACTTTGCGCTGCTCGGGGCTCTGACGAAAGACCTCCGGGGTATCCAAATTCTGGAACGATGGAGAGTCATCAATATGTTCTACCACATCATCGAGCTCAACGACCGGGACGATCTGATCCGGACGCTTCTGAGCAACTTGGACTACACACTGGACGGCCATCTACGCATCATCATCTCGAAAGCAATGACGTCGTGTTCTAAGGAGATACGCATCTTTGCCACTCGATTGCTACGCAAGTACGCGACCAAACCCATGGGAGTCAGCAGTTCTGCCGGTGTAGCCGAATGGGCCATCAGACTGCTGGTGACGCAGCTTTACGACCCGGACGTAGAAGTGTGCGAGGTTGCGATCAAGATCCTCGAGGAGGCTTGCAATCAGAAGGAGTCGTTGGAGTTTGTGGTCAAGTGCCGTCCAGCGCTGGACCATTTGGGGGAGATTGGGGCACCGCTGCTACTCCGATTCCTGTCAACTTCGGTAGGCTACCACTATCTGGACGGATTGGATTACATCACGAGAGAGATGGACGACTGGTTTTTGGGGAGAAATGACACCTATGTGGCCCTCATCGAAGCGTCCATGGCCCGCGCGCTTGCGGACATACCCGAGAAGCCATCGGTTCAACAAACATACGATGAGGCGCCTGAGCCGACCGACTATGGTCTTGTGCCGCCGCACTTCTATCGCGAGCTAACGAGAACCAAGGAGGGATGCAAGCTCCTCAAACAAAAAGGACACTTTGATGAATTCGCGGCGACGATTCGAGACTTTGCATCAGAAAACGATGACCCCGAGATTATCCTCAAGGTCAAAGGCTGCCTATGGGCGGTTGGCAACGTCGGGTCCATGGAGCTGGGGGCGCCATTCTTGGAGAACTCGGACGTGGTCAAGTGGATTGTGCAGATTGCCGAGCAGTCGGAGGTCATGTCGCTCCGAGGGACAGCCTTCTATGTGCTAGGGCTGATATCAAGGAGTCTTCACGGGCAGGAGATTCTGCTGGAACATGGTTGGGATGGCGTAGTCAATGATTCAGGAGAAGCGCTAGGCTTTTGTCTGCCCCTGGACTTCAACAAACTCTTCACGGTCAGTAACGGAGTTTCTTTTTCTCGGAAGAAAATGCACTAATGGTTCTGCAGATGGGACCCTGGGTGGCACAGGCAGAAGAGATGAGCTGGAACCCCAAAGCGGAGATCAAGGTTGCAGTCACGGATGAGGACCCGGTCAACGCGCGCATTCTCAAACTCGTGACGGACTTGGGCAACACTGTGCTTGCCAAGAAGGCAGCCAGCGACCTGCAAGCGTAAGTGACTTGCTGTTGTGCAACAAAAACGTACGACGAGTGAGTGCAGAGGAGCTAACGCGTGGGCATTTAGTATCAAGGCTAGAAAGGCACCAGGCTTCAGCAAGCCGGCCATTTTCCACAAGGTGATGCAAGTACTAGAAGCACATCATTTTCGGCTTCCAGCGTGCCGGTTCATACTAGATCTGTTTGACAAGCGGGTGCTGGAGCAGATTGTGCTGGAAGAGGAAGACGAGCCTGAAGACGAGGCAAGCAGCCAGTCCGAAGAGAGCACGGAAGCGAGTCTTGGGGGTGTGAATGGCGCAACTAGGGCATTGTAGAGCATGGTAGCGTTGACAGGAAACCGAGCCCGAGGGATGGGACTTGGGCGTTGAGGAGCGTTGTGTATGTATGTACAGGGATGTCGATGTACGATAGTGGTGTTTGTGGAGCCGAGCGAGAAGCATGGATCAGGTGCTTTTGTTTTACATACAGCCATGGAGTTTGCCGATGCGCTATGTCTACGGAGAGGCTGCCAAGGAGAAGCAAGCGCACTAGGCTGGTGCTGTTTTCGGTTATTTCTGGCGAGGGGCACGGGTTGATGGGGGGGGGAGAGGGGGCGGCGCTATAGTCAGGCACAGTCAGGTTGAGCGAGTGAGTTGAATGAGTAAATGCAAGCAGGTTTGCCACGGGCAGGACTACGCAAGACGAAATGAGCGAGTGATGTGGGAGGGGTTAATATGTATGTGTAGTACATGTGTGTATGGATATGCTACTAGGTATAGCAGGAGGGATAGCTGAGGGGACGGGGGGGGTGGTTTGGGCGCGACTTGGCGCAAAAGGAGTTAGTGTGTAGTATGGGTGTAAGAGGGGTGCAGCTGCCCCGCCGTTTATGGTGAATGCAAGTCGTCACGACTATCGGACCCTTTGGGGGATGTACAGGGTCCTTTGCGGCGGCCAGGCGTCTGCAAGCGCATGCTTGGCGGGCATGTGGCACATGGAAAGGCATGGGCTTGACGTTTGGCAGTGCCAGCGGGCGCAGATGTTGATTGGCTGGTGTCTTGCTAGACTCGACGTCCATGACGCTTGCAAGCCCATCGTCGCTGCTTGTAGACATTGTCGACAAAACTTATGCGGCCCCAAGAGTGGATAGGCCAATGTGCTCCGGCAATGCCTCCATTCATGTCTGTTCAGCGCGGGTCGCGCGGCCGAGATGGACATGACATGGCAGTGCTGGTGCTGCTGGAAGTTGAGCTGGCTGGAGCTGGACTTGGAATTGCTTGGTGGCCGCTGACAAACAGGACAGAACAGGACAGGACAGGCCAATATAGCCCGACATGCTACTATTCCATCTTCCCGGACACAGGGCCACGGGAGGGCAAATGGGCCGCGGCACGGTGGTTTGCAGCGGTCGGTCGGGATACTCTACTTACACGAGTCGGGGTGCAGGTGGCGTGCAAAACAAGCAAGTCGTCAGTCGTCTTCGTTTGATGCATTCTGCAGTTGGACCGTGCAATTTTTATACCAAGCGGGCCCCGGATTGGCCTAGCCCTGCGCCCGATGACGGCCTTGTCTCTCGATCCGAGAACCCCAGAGCTGACACAGAAATCGGCCGCCAGCCTCTCTCGACCTGATACGAGCCCGGCGCGCGAGCAACATCGCCGATCTTTTTGCAAACTATCCGTCGCAGCATGGATGACCAGTGCAACTCGACCCCATTTGAACATGGCCCTCTGCTCTTCCCTTTGCTGCTCCTACTACTACCCTCACGCTCCCTCGCTGCGTCGCGACTCTTGCTCGCACCCTCCCCCACGCCACGCAGCCCTGCTTGTGCTTGTATTATAACAATAAACACTTGACCGCCGCAGTCTGCCAATTCAAGACTGGCCCTTTATTCCCCCGACTCCTCCTCCTCCTCCACCAACACAAGCACTACTGCCACCCCCCGCTGCACCTGCCGCCGCAGTCGTCATCCAGCTCAGCACCATCACGCGCGCTGCTTGTCTTGAGCATTTTACTATCCTCGAGACCACCAGCCTTGCTGCCAACTTCGCCCACTGCACACGCCCATTACCATCCACCCCACCCCCCTCCCGGCCCGCTCCCCACCCACTACAAGGGCTTTTCCACTGTACATGGCTGTCGGAGCCATTGCACAACACAGTGCATCTACTACATGAATCGCCAACGGACAAAAGGGTGCTCCATCCTTGATAGCGTCGAGCACTCGTTCGAGCCTCAACTCTCTGCACCGGCCTTCATGTGCCAAAATGCCCGCTCCACAGAGGCTTCCGACACCGTAGCCCTAGACGCCCACCGCGATGCCCGCCAACTCGTTCGTCTGATCCAATGTCCACGATGCTCCAAGCCTCTGAGCACCCCGGTCACCCTGCCCTGCGGTCATACCGTCTGCCGCGGCTGCCTCCCGCCTCCACAACCTCGCACCAACATATCATATCCCAATACACTAGACCGTCTCATGGGCATTGCATGTCCATTGCTGGGTTGCGGGGCCGAACACGCCTCGGCGGAGTGTTCTGTCGACGTGACTCTGGCCAAATTGATGGACCTAATCAAGATGGAAATAACCAAGCATACCGCAACCACGGAAACCACTCCGACACTTCTCGTTGAATTGCTCCAGCCTGAAGACGATGCATCCATGGACGAGAAGGAAAAGGAGACGTCTGTACGCCAAGGCCACCAACAGGAACTGCACGGCGGGCATCTTGCGTCTGCATTTACCATGGCTGACCTGGGCAACCTCCGGTACACTTCCGAGATCCGCTACCAGTCACTATCGGCAAGTGGGGACGATTACGAGCACCTCGACCTGACGCTATTGGAACGCCTAAGGGAAGTAATACACAAGGAGCTAGACTGCCTCGTCTGTTACAACCTGATGCTGGACCCTACAACAACGTCGTGCGGTCATACATTTTGCCGCCGTTGTCTTGCCCGCGTCATGGATCACTCCAGCATTTGCCCATTTTGCCGAAGAGGCCTGCATGTCCCTGCCTCGTTACAGAACCAGTCAAGCAACGTCATACTCAACTCTCTGTTGAATGGACTTTGCCCAGACTTGGTAGGTGCTCGTGCAGATGCCCTCAAGGCGGAAGAGCAGGCGGGCGACAACGTGCTAAACGTTCCACTGTTCATCTGCACGTTGTCGCTTCCATCCATGCCCACCTTTCTTCACGTCTTTGAGCCCCGCTACCGACTTATGATGCGACGTGTCATCGAGGGCAATAGACAGTTTGGTATGGTCATGTACAACCGAACACGCGCTCCACAAGGCGATCTGGGTTCGGTTGCTTTTCTGGAATACGGCACACTACTGGAAATTGTCAACTACGAGCTTTTGCGCGATGGGCGTAGCTTCATCGAAACACGCGGCGTAGGCCGGTTCAAGGTGAGAGCGCACGGCATGCTTGATGGATATCATGTCAGCCGCATCGAACGTGTTGAGGATGTTTCTCTTGCCGAGGAAGCGATACTAGAGCAGCGCGAAACCACCATGGCACGTGACTATGCTGAGGCGTTCTTCCGCGATCACCCGCAGACTCAGCTCCCCACGGAAGTTGCCATTGAAACCTTATCCACACAACAACTGCTCGATAGCTGCACAGCCTTTGTTCGAGAGATGAGGGAAGCCAGCGCACCTTGGCTCCGCGAGCGAATCATCCAGGTTTATGGCGAGCCACCAGAGGACCCGGCCATTTTTCCATATTGGTTTGCTTCCGTCGTACCTATTGTGGAAGAGGAAAAGTACATTTTGCTGCAAACAGAACGGGTCCGCGAGCGCCTCAAGATTGTGTACTCGTGGATTGGTAGGATCCGCGGGCAGCGCTGGTAAGTTGTCTAGCTCTCTTTTACCCGGCCTGCATTGCGCATGCGCACACATTCCCTGAATCCTGGTATCCCGGGCTCCGGACATCTCGCATGCCGGCTTCTGCTACGTGCGTCGCAACGTTTATGGCCCCGTTTTGGTGCAGCTGATGCCGAGAGCCTGTTGCGCCGAGACAAGCATTATCTCCGTTGTCCTCGTCACCATGACGCAACAGATATGCGTGAGTCCGTCCGAGCCTAGATTCACAAAGTCCTTGCTTCCATTACAACACCACAACCTTTGTGGGCGTCTTTTTATCTTTGCAAAGCGGCTAACAGGTTACCTTTTTTCAGGTCCTCGGGCAATTCATGCAGCATCCTGTGACTCTTGACTACTCTCGTCACCATCGCCATTGCGCTTCTGTCTGCTGCCCCTCAACGTCAAGCCATGATTCGCATCCATTAGCAAAGCAGGCTTTGATGACGAGTGTGTGTGTCTCCACCATCGTATCGAGAAACCGGATCCAAACAACCTTCCCCGCATCTCCCTTCTGTCTCTCTCTTCAACTTGAGGACCTTTGCTTACCAGTCTCTTTGCGAAGCATTGCTAGCCATTCAATCTTCTCCTGTGTATAGGCATTGTGGCTGTTATTTTCTGCCCACTCATGACGACAACTTTTTATCCATCATCATCTTTTGGTGTTTTTTTTTCAAACAACTGCTTGTCTTTTTTTCGCTTCTTCAATGATTACCCCCTTTCAGGAGGACCGGAGCTTGCCGTGTCCATGTTTGAAATGAAACTTTTTTTACTTTATATATTTTATATAGACCCCAGGTGCTAGCCTGGTTCGGGAGGGGCTACCTTCTTTATATAGGAGCAACAACAGATCATCAATAACAAAAAGTGGATTATTGATCTTTTTTTTTCTTCTTCTTCTGGTCGTCTTTATGTTCCTTTTGCAAATAGCATTTTCAAAGGGAGAAGTAAGAACGATTGAGAGGAGCGTGTGAGAGGGAGGGTATTAAAGTGGGGTGGGAGCAAAATGGCTATGAACTTTGTATAGTTTTGCCCTCGAAAACACACCAAAAACAAACAACGCCTGGAATTTTTGTAGTTAAAAAACTCTATGGTGTTTTTGATGTGTGTGTTTTGGGGATTGTTCAACTTTCTGGCTAAGCATTTGATTGGCGTTTTTTTTAAAAAAATTCATTGGCTTGGTGTAGTTTTGATGGACAGCAGGAGGAGGAATTGCTGCTGCATGCCAGTGCAGAGAATTAGGTGGTTGGTTGGTTGGGGGGGAGCCCCATGATGCGAAACTGAGAGTTTGTATATCTTGTAGGTACTAGGTATGCGTTGTGTATGGATTGAGGAAATGCAAATGTGCTTTCTATATTATCAGGGTGCTTTGTGTGCTTGCTTGGATTTTTTTGCCTGTATGTGGACTTGGGGTGTTTATTCTCTGTTTGCATATGTGGGGGAAAGAGCGGGAGGGTGGGTGGTGCTCTTTCCTTTGGTGACAAGGCTGAGACTCGCTTCGGGGGTTGGGTTGTTGGCTAGGATCTAATAGGAAGAACTGTTCACTTTTCCACTCTCACCTTGAAGCGCTCGTTTGGTTATTGAACTGCCAGGAATTGGCCCACCTTCGATCGGCAACAATTATACTGCGTGTTGTACAACCTCCTTTCGGCGCTTCGCGACGCATACAGCTGTATCAACTGATGCATACAGACGAAGCGAGAGCGCATCTGCATGCACCGCCACCACCATGCATACCGTGCATAGGCTGTAGGGGTAGGCTGGCGCAAGGCTGAACTACTGAGCCCTATATTTCCAGCAGCTGAGCCCTAAATCATGCGTTGTTCTCGTCTTACTCTTCATTACTATATTTCTGTCTTGTAAGCTAAGCTGACCGATATCGTTGACCATGGAGGCTCTTTCCTGTGTTGCTAGTGGCATGGCTGTTGCCTCCCTATCAATACAGCTCATTGACTCCATCGTGATCATCAAGACCTTCATTCGTAATGTCAGGGATGCACAACAAGAGTTGGAACGCTTGGTGGACTTACTGGAGCGTCTTGAAGCCTTGTTGGAAGACGTCCGCGCCCTGACGGAACGGCAGACATCATTACAGGCAGAAAATTTTCCAATGCCCTCAATGACGATCTTCAAATGTCTGAAGAGCTGTGAGAAGATACTTGAGCCATTCCATGCGATGGTCGATAAGTATACTCCCGCAACATCGAAAGCTGGCACACGTATGAATAAACTCAAAACCGGATTGAGGTTCAGTCTCAAGGCAAAGGATGTTAAAGATTTTGAAAAGCGAATCGAGAGAGAAATCGGATTTCTAAATGCCAGCCTTGGTGCGAACTGCGGAGCCATCTTGTAAGTTTCCAACAAGGCTAATCATTAATAAGACTATACTGAGTGGTTGTTCATGTTAGAATGCAACTTGGCCCTGTATTACTCAAAAACCAAAACAACAACGAAGCCACTTGTCCAAGCTATATGGAAATTCCCATCCCGGACAGCAAATCTGCGATTGTATCCTCTAAAGAGGATATGACCTCGTTATCGACCACGAGAACTACGCGTGCTTCATCATCAGTAGTACCAGTCCATTGGTCACTTCGAAGACTAGGGGTACATCGGCGGAAAATAGTTCGACGTATGCCAGGAAACTTGGAGCAAAGGAGTTCAGGCTCCGAATATGACCATGAACCCATCGTTTCTGAAGACTATGAGACAACTTTGCTCTGGAGCGTACTCGGCTACGGACTGACGTGGATTCAGCGCCGGTCATTCGGTGTAATGCTGCCGAGCCTCAGCACATTTCCGGTGGTTGACGAATTTCCAAGCGATATTGATTCTGCCATGGAAAATGGTGGAATCCAAGAGTTTCAAGACTTGCTTCATCGCGGGGTGATACACCCATTCTCGCGCGATTGTTCGGGGAATTCTTTGCTTCATGTAAGACCCTCATGCTCACCTTCTTAAAGCGTTCCTGATAAATGATCTAGATTGCTGCAGTCTATTCTAGGGCAGATATCTATCTATTGCTTCTAAGGCTCGGCCTAAAACAAAGCCGCAATATTTGGGGGAATTCTCCTTTGCGATATGCACTATCCTGGGGTGAACCTTCTCTGACCCACGACAGAATCACCATATGTCGTTATGTACTTGAAGACACGGAGTTATCGGTAGATCTCGACTTTTATCTAAGGCGTTGGTGTTTTGCCCCCAAAGAATCTAAGATGATTCAGTGGCTGTATCAACAAAGCAAAGGTATTCCCCTCCGCGAAGATGCCTTAAGAACACAACTTATTGTCATTGAAGCGTTTTGTTCAATGATGAGTGGAAAGCAGTATGCCTCACAAACTTTACTAGCCAAGTATGATAGTCTTGATGTAAAATCAGATGTATTTGATCATTTACAGCTAGGAGGAGGTTCTCTGCTCAAAAGTCTCTTCAGGCTCTGTTTGAGGAGCGAAACTTCTTTCGAAGTAGGGGGCGATTTTCTCGAATGGCTATCAAACTCAGGAGTCAATGTGGAGCAGTTTGTCAGTAATCAGATTGCAAATCTTGGTTCGAAAGCCTTGCTCAAAAGCTTGCTTCATCATAATGATAGAAGAGTTGTATTTCGAGCTCTTGAAACGGGCGAGTGGGAGCTTGGCTTTGAGTGGGAATTGGACGAAGAAGCATGTGGTTATCTGCTTGTTTCAGAGTACCAGTCCTTGACAGTTGAAGCCAGGTATGGCCGGGGATGGCCATTCTTTGATTTCAACGATGGCTGGTGGCCACAGAGATACAAAGAATGGGAAGCCAAGCGGAACGTCCACTTCCAACGCCGCATGGCTGCCAAAGCTCGCAAAGAACGCACACAAAGTGGTCAAAAGATACCAAGAAGCAAGATGCCGGGAGCATGGATATACTGAGGAGTTTGTTTCGTTATGTCGAATGTGTTATAGTCACTTTTAGCTAATTGTTTCTCTCATTCCATGCTTCTTAACACACTCAATACCATTTATTTATATACCAGTCCCTAGTTCCTCTACCATACTCTATTTCTCCACCTGCTCACAGATACCTTGCACCAGCAAATCGTCGTACGATTGGAATCTTTGCATCACTCGTTGCTAATGCTACTCCAAATACACATTGTAGACGCCCTAGCGCCGTACAACCCACTTTCTTCCAGCTCTAAACCGCGGTGTGCTGGCAAAAATACACCACAGCCCTTTAGGAGAAAAAAATGTGTGACAGTTTTCAATGGAGATATTCTTCTACCTGGATACACTGAATTTGGTTCCCCTTACCCTAAATTCAAATGCTTGAAGATTCGAATATTCAAGTCCTAAACATTCACTGGCCCTCCATACTATGCATCTTGTGCAAAAGAACTCAATCAGATGCTGAGATGACATTGATGGGTTAGGACTCTTTGACGTATGTGACGGCAGCGATTCATTGAAGATATATGCTACTTTACTATCCATCTTTTTCCAGGTTTCACGTGATATGGATCATACACAGCTGCCATGTTTTCTCTGACGCGATCAAGTCATCAACTTGCAAAACATCCCTATCACAAGCTCGAATATTCTGATTGATCCGTAACTACTACTTGAGCACCCTACTGCATAGCCGTAAGCACATTCTCCCAGGGGTGAAGAAAACTCTTGTATACATCAAATCATATATCATAATATTCTATTTTCTTTTTCCATAAACACCTCAATGCCCAACCTTACAGAGTTTTACATAGCGACAATTTTACAATGGAAACTGCAACGCCTCCACCTTCGCACTAGTCGGCCGTCCAAGCATCAGCTCCGAAAGCACCAATCCCGTACCAGGAGCATGCGAAATACCCCAAGCACCATGTCCCGCAGCGATAAAAACGCCTCCCTTGGCCTCTTCTTTTGTCCTGAGGCCCCCCAGTTTCTCGTCTGGTATCCGCGCGACGATCGGTCGACCGCTCGATGTTACCGGACGGAAACACTATACATAGCAGAACGATTAGCACCACATATGCAAGAGGGAGGATTAGGAAAAGCAAAAAAAATCAAACATACCAAACCCTCCCTCAAAACCTCCATCTCCTTCTCGGGCACCGCAACCATCATAACCTGCGCACACTGCCTCAACTGCTCAATCGCCCTCTCACTCGGCCTTACATCCGTCGCGACATCCGGCAGCGGCACAGTCGTACTATTCAGACCCCCAAGGTACAGCTCGCCGCCGAGTCGCGCAAACCATTCTGGCGAGAAGCCGAGCGTATCGGTTGCGAAGATGGCGAGGCAGGCTTCGGTGTCAGCGTCTGTGGGGTTGAAATATGGGTTCCGGACGAGCAGGGAGTGGCCTGCGAGTGGGGAGATGGGGATGCGGGATTTGGAGCTGGGGAAGAGGGTTGTGAAGACGCGGGGGGACCAGGCGCCGGAGGCGATTACGAGGCGGGAGCATGGTACTGGGTTTACATAGTTAGTATATGTGCAATTGGTAGGTGCACGTTTGTGTGGGGAGAGTCTTACGCTCGGTTTGGGACTCGGTGTCGTCGCCTTGTTGTATCCGTACACGACTTAGTACGCCGTCGGAGTCTTGAATCACACCCGTTGCTCGTGCAGGTTGATGTATGGTTACGCCCCTTGCCTTGACCTCTTCCAGTACCCACTGACAGAACCTCAATGGGTCTATCTGTGCTGTCGTTCCGTCTCGACTAATGACTTCCATGGTTCCTTCTTGTGTGCGTCGCAGCCATCCTGGGCGAGTGACCTGCTCTTCCCGCGGTTTGTTGTGACCCGCTGCTTGTGCTCTGCTTGTTCCATTTTCCAGCCAATCTTCGCCGCTACCTGCAATGGCCGATTCGCTGTCTTGCGAGAGGGAAATACCGGTTGAAGAGGAATAGCCCCATGCTTTGCGGCCGCCGTGTGCTTGTGCGAGGTCGGAGTGGAGTTTGAAGGACAGAGTGCCGAGGGAGGATACGGATGGTGCGAACCCTAGAACGGAGAAATTATTAATTAGATATACGAACTCGAGGTGGATTAAGAAATTGTGGGCGTGTTGGAGACTTCTAAGATGCAGCACACCGCCCCAGGTACATACAATCAGCACTCAAGAACCCCGCCGCGAGTCCCGACGCGCAATGGAACAACTCGGCACTGGAATCGACAATGTGCACATTTTGTGGATTGGTTTTACCGGCCTCGGTCAGATAGTAGGCAGTACACAGGCCTATGATGCCGCAGCCCAGTATAACGGTGTCGGTGTTGTCGGAGATAGGAGGCTGTTCGCTGACAGCCATGGCTACCTACTAATCTGGCTGCTTCTCCGCGTGGGGTATCGGCAGTTTAAATGAGGGGTACGTAGTAAAGCAAAGAAAATGGTCAAATGGGCAGAGCAAACCAAAAGAATAACAGGGCCGAATCTCTTTTCTTTACTGCTGACTCTGAATCGCATACCATACGCACTTGCTAACAGGTCACCTTTAAAAGAGCGCCCCGGTAGTCGGTTTTCGGCGCCGATGCGCAAGTCTGACCACTTACACCCATACACGCACGCTTCATCGATTACTATGCTAAACGGAAAGCATGCGCTCCTGTTTCCCCCTTCCGTCTGCCCTCAGTGGTAGGAGGAAGCGACACAGCACATGTTATCGTACGAGGCAATGTGGAAAAAGAGGGGACCGCGGCTACGCGTTGCTCTTTGTCGTGAGTGGTGCAAGGGGTTAGTAAAAGCCCACTTCTACCCATTCAAACTCGGGTGTAAGTGGTCATGAGCCGACATGGCCTGATTACGACGGTAAGGATCGCATTCTGGAGCTGCGCCTTTACTGCTTTGGTGCACGCCTTGTCGTACTATCCGCTGCAAGACTCGGATGATCGACTCGGCTGCCTGCGTGCGAAAAGCTCGCTGCTTTACTTTCTGTGCTGCTGTTGATGTAAGAGCCTGTAAGGCGGGTGGTGCCATCACCAGAGAGTTTGGAAACCCAAAACAGCCCCCGCATGCCCGTTTCTGTAGGGTGAGAATGAGCCCAACATGTGATGCATCAGAATCAGAGCGCAGTTTGATAATGGCTGCATTGATACTATCTAATATAACTGTGGAACGTCGCAGGTGCGGACCCGAATATCTGCGTGCTATTAATGATGTCGAATGCTTTTTTCCATCATGCTCCCTTTTATCCTAATTCTGTTGCTTAGCGATAACTCGGTGGCCGAGTATGTTGAGCATGGTGGCGGAAAACACGACATCATGCTTTCAGACCCGAAAGTGTATCCAGTTCATCCAGCAATGCTCTTTTCCATGCCCGCGGGGTCAACTTAGCGAGACGAGTCGGGTGTCGAGCGACATGGATAGGTCTTTTCGTAAACACCAGGGAGTATATCGGCAATATCGTCCTCGGGATTGCCTTTCTCAACATAACGGCAAGTATCGTCCATCCCAGTCTCGGCCGCCGTCGAAGAACGCGAGCTAGATCCCGTTCCATAGCCAGTTCCGTCGTAGAGCCCGGCATGCTGTCCCCACGTGCTCTCGCGGTTCTGTCGCTTGCCAGCGTTGCTGATACGGCTATGCAATCGCTCGGTACTCTCCATGTCCAGGTCGAGATCCAGCCATTCGGGAAGTATACCTTCTGCAAGAGCCTCATCGAGCACCAGTTCCCTGTTCGTGTTTCCAAGCTTATCCCTATTCAGCACAACGAATCTGTCGAGTTCAGGCAATATCCTTTCCGCCGCAGCAAAGTCTTCCTCACGACGGGCAAAAATCATCTCCGACTCGTTGTTAGGGGCATAGGCGTGGCCGTTATATACCGCGATACGGATGCGGCGTTTGAGATCTCCATTGTGAAAGACTCTCAACACGTAGTCCTTGCCGATGATCATCAACACATTGTTAGAAGGGTCTGTCGTGCTTGCATTCGTATCAAGGCAGTGCTGATCAAACTTTTCCGTCAGTTCGTGAACGGTGGAGTCTCCTTGCATGAATCGACGATCATTGACCAATTCCGTGATGTTGTCAGTATTGGATTGTTCGCTTTCAGAACTTCTGGTTGGAACATGGCGGTGTTCTGCGGCGGCTTGGACGATTCCAGTCATTTCTTGTGAAGTGCCTTGGATCTGGTGAGGCTCCTGCATATCATCCTGAAGGGGAGCCAATAAGTCCACGCAAGTTAAATCCAGGTCGAATGCCGGGCCGAACATTGGTGATGGATAATCTTCATTCTGGTCCTGGTCTAAGAGCCTCCGGAGTGGAGCTGGTGAAGAAGGGATAGTGCCATCAGGTATAGCAGAGGGCAAGTCAAATGATTGCGGATTTTGATTTTCTGATGAAGGGATAGGCAGTGGTGACGAATAGCAAAACTCATGGCCAAAATCGGTCGAGTCCGTGCGACTTAAGTCAAATAAGGGCTCATCGACCGGTGACTCTTGGAAACTGAGGAGAAGAGACGACCTTGGGCGGGGCATTGGAGTGCGAGGGCTCTAGTGAGTATACAATCAGTAAATTTCTCAAATTAATGGTCGAGCGGTACCCACATCAGCACAAGGCGAAGTCTCTACCTCGGGTTGCTTCGCCTTGGTTGGTGATCGCAGACTCCGTAAAGAGTTGATGCTTCGCAATTTGTTCTCTTTCAGTGAACCTACAAGACCCTTGCGCCTTGAGGGACTCTCGTTGCTCGACGGCGAATCGTTTGCGTTTGGTCGGACGGAAGCTTTGTCTGGTGAGGGACCTGGAGTTGTCCCCCTCTCGATCAGGTTACGATCGACGCCAGACGAGTTGCTCCTCAGGATGATCAGCATATCTGAGTGAAATCAGAAGGATGAAACACTCACTCAGTATCGTTCTTCCTGCATAGGAGCTGGGAAATGCTCTTCCTGGTTTTGAGGCTGAGGAGATCAAAGTGCATGATGAATGGATGGGGTGCTCTACTGACGCCAAAGACTTGATGGATGGTATCAAGATGTTGGCTGAGTGCGGTGGAGGGTACTGTAAGATGACCTGAGATGGTGGTAGTCACTCGTGTAGCTCTTGAACTCTGGGTCATGCCTGCAAACAGTCATGGTCGGTCCTGCTTGACCGTTGTATGTGAGTCTGGGTCATGATTTCCAGATCAGCTCCAACAGCGAATTATCGGGCTCCCTTGTATGCTTGAATCGCAAGTTCTATTAATATGCTTTCCGACAAGAAAATCAATTAGCCTGTTACCAACAGACCATCTTGTACGGCTTTGAACAGGAAGTTGTGATGATCATTGATGAAATCCAATGCTCACCGGGGAGCGGTTCACGATTACCGCAACAATAAGGTGTTGTTTTGGAATAGTGAAAATGGCAAGTAATTGTGAGTCGGCAGTAAGAGCACTTGGAAGGAGATCCATCCTGACTACTCGATATAGAAGACTAGATGGGCACGTGACGCGCGCGGACTGTGCATATGATCCCTGTCTAGCTCCTTCACGTCGCGGTCCACAGCACTACAGTGCTCAACCACCGAGCAGCGCAATCGCCCTCCACTCGATGTCATAGCCGCCATCATCATCCGAGTCGCACTTAATTCGGCTCCACAACTATAGTCTGCATAGCGCCACACAAACAGTACAGTTGCGACACAATGGCGCGCGGACGCCCTTCTCGAGCTGCAGCGCGTCGCAGCACGCCCGTTCGCAGCGCAACACCGCAGCAAGATAGCGATGAAGATATGATAGATCCCCCAGAGTCGCGCGCCGAGACCCCCAAGGAGGAAGAGGAAGAGGAGGAGGCCGCATCGGTAGCACAAGCAAGCGACGAGGAAGCCGCGCCTTCTGAACGTTCACCATCGCCTGCAGTCATCCAGCCTTTCCCGCGTAAGAAGCGACTTGGTCGACCTCCTAAGAACAGGCCGCCGGACTGGAATGCCGGAGAGCCAGACAACTCCGAAGGCGGTACGCCTATTAAGCGTAAGCGTGGACGTCCGTCTGGAGGAGGTCGAGGACGACCGCCAAAGGGAGGGCAGTCGCATACGACCCGCGTCCCCATCGACAAGGAGGGAACCATGATGGATGTTGTCAACGACGAAGTCGATCTGCCTGAAGACGAAGAGGGCGAGAAGAAGGTCGACAAACTAGGCAATCTCATGGGTGGACGGGACTATCGAGTGCGCATCTTCACTATTAGAGGCAGAGGAGAGAGGCAGTATATGTTGTCGACCGAGCCCGCTCGATGCTGTGGTTTCAGGGACAGTTATCTGTTCTTCACCAAGCACATGAAACTCCACAAGATCATCATAGACGACACTGAGAAGAGGGATCTCATTGACCGCGAGATTATTCCCCACTCATACAAGGGTCGTGCTATTGGTGTTGTCACTGCGCGCTCCGTCTTCAGAGAATTCGGCGCGCGCATCATTATTGGTGGCAAGAGGATCATTGACGACTACTACGTCACGGCAGCGAGGGAGAATGGCGCAGTCGAGGGCGAGCTTGCGGACCCCAATGACCGACTACCACCTCCAGGCGAGCCATACAACAAGAACCAGTACGTTGCCTGGCACGGTGCCAGTAGTGTTTACCACACCGGCGTGCCCAGTGTGCCAACAGCAAACGGAAAGCCTGCGCCTGGAAAGCGAAAGGTCAACATCACATCCGCCAACTGGCAATTCGAGCACGGCTCAGCAGCTAGGTAAGCAAATGATTTCTACGTTCACCATTCCACGACCCTAAAGCTAACGCGATCCAGTCGATTCAACTCGAGCCTCTCCAAGCTCCGCAAAGCAAACCTCTCAGGAATCTACGATCCACACACCAACCTCATGTGCTACCCAAAGGTCACACAACCAACCCACGCACGTTGGGAAGAAGCCGCCCCCGAAGACACCGACGTGCCCCCTCTTGTCCGCAGAAAATACCTCGTCGTCGACACCGTCTTCCAGCAGCCTCCCTTTGCTGGCCTCGGCATCCCAGGTCCCGACGGCGACTTCATCGACGTCGGCACCAACGGCCTGCCCAAGCTAGATGCCGAAGATGAAAAGCACATGAAGCCCGAGGAACTCGAAGCTTTCTCGCAAATCAAGCGTGAAGAGCAGGAGTGGCGGAGTCAATGGGGTGGCGAGAGTACGGATGGTGCAAGGGTGAAACCAAAGATTGGGTTTGTAGGCGTCCCGGTTTAGGGAACGCGGGCCGCTTTGAAAAAGCATTGATTGAGGGGAATTTGTGTTGCGCTGGGGATTGTTTTTTTTCTTCTTCTTTTAAACAGATTCTTTATCTTTTCGGGGCGTCTCTCATTGAAGGCATGAATTCGGGGAGTGGAATATACCAAATGTGGCACCTTGGGCTACGTAAACTACTATAGTTATTCATAAGCGTGGTGAATACTATGTGCATTCACAAGAGAATAATAATGGCGGTGGACCTTGTTGTCTAGTTGTGTGATTATGTTGCGCTTGGAGATGTCCGATATGGCGATTCTGGTGTTTCGCGGTTCCGGATATTCCTTAGAACATGCATACAGTATGGCACTGGGTTATCCAGAGTAAAGTTGCTGCTGCTCTGGTTTGTGAGATACTGTTGATCTTGCTACCGAGTCGCGTGAAAAAAAAGGGAGTTAGGGGAATGTGTTTTTGAGATCTTTCACTTCAAGATGTTTAATTGATTATGGCATGTTGAAGGCCATTTAATCTAGCCTGGATATAGAATGGAAAGAACACAAGATCTATTGTACATCTCTATTATCTAATTTCCAACACTATCAATGAGCTTGATCATCACAGTTGGAGATGGGGTGTAGTTTTATCTAGAGTGATGAAGTTAGATAGTCTCAGCTTAGCGTGGATTATGTTTGCACTTCGTGAACATGAGGGCTTCATTGGTGTTGTTTTGTTTAACAGCGTATTATTGGAAGCAAGAAAGAGGATATGACTTCTTCGTACATTGCAGTTCGCTTTTTTTTGCTGATGAGTGTAATCGAGAATATCGCACAAGAATAACACTCAGTAAATCTATTGATATGTGCGCTGGTAAATGTTATGTTGATTCTCTCTTTTACTACCACGTATAGTTATAAATATATCTTGATATAAGCCGAAAAATCAAACTGTGCAAATCACACTTGGTTTTTCAGATATTCCAAGGCAGTGGCGCATTTTGCCCGGAGAGCTGACAGGAGTGCAGATTATACGTATGGGAAGCTACATAGCAAGGGGTAGGAAGGATTAAGAATGTGAACCGCGTGTGCATAATGTAGGCTGGAAAATGTAGACGGAAAAAGAACGGAGTGCGGAAAGCGTATTGCGTGAGCAATGTGGACTGCTTATTCTTATTGTGTAATCAGCGGGTGAATGGTCTCACTACTACGGAAATATCATCTCCGCTCTTTCTTTGTTATCTTCATTTTGTGACGTTACCGTAAGCAAGAAAAGTTTGAAAAGATGTATGTTCAACGGAGAATCTCCGCAAGTGGCAAATTTACATTGTGTACTCACAGTCGCGTGATATTTTTTTCCCGCCGGTTGCGAAAACAATTATATCTTTGCAAAGGAGAAAGAAAAGAAAAAAACTTTATTGATGTTGGCCAAAGTTTACGACTGTATCGCTGCATAGAAGAATGTCTGACTACAGCATAAAAGTAAGTAACGCGACAGCCATGCTCACGCTAGCAAGACGTTACTATACCGCTCTTTCTTTCTCTTGCACTGTTTTGCATTAACAAAGGTAGGAACGCATGGTGTAAGCAAGGACAAGGAAGTGGGGTCCGCAGTAATCTCACACCAGTCCGGGGTTAACTGGGCTTGGAGCAAGTGAATAGGGTGAAAGGGTTTAAACTTTTGGATCTACGACAGAACTGTTTGCTGTTGGGGTTCTCGCGATACCTGTAAGAGATCCTCCGTTTCAAGGAGGAGTGCCGATGGATCGTCGTTTGTGTGTGGTTCTGGTGCGTTGAGCGCTTTGTTAGGCGAGGGGGACAAAGGGGGCTGATTGTTCTTGGGATGTTGGTCAGTGGTTGCATGTGTGGAATGCTGACGCTTTCATGACAAGAGCGCATTTACGGCTGGATGGCTCAACAGTGGAAGATTCCGCACAGAGACATCTCGGAGAGCTGACTTGTTGAGGTATTGGCTGGGTAGGCAGCAGCAATCTTGTAGACTTTGTTGATTCAACACGGGAAATTCTATTTGCATCCACACATCAGGACATCGGCAGTATCGAGTGCTTATTATTAGCGCTAGGATTCGGCAGTAATCATTGGCGATCAGGTCAGTCATCATTATTGTGTGATGGTTTTTTTTTCCGATACGATGATTAGATAGACGGCGGCACAGAATAGGCGGTAGAATTATTGCTGTTGTTACGGTTTATTTCGTCCATTTATCGATGGTATCATGTGGATAATTTCGGGGCGATCGTCGGAGCCATGTCGAAGGGTAGGCTCGAGGCAGCGCCATTTCTGAAGATGCGATAGGTCCGAATTCCGGTGCCTGAAACGGTGACGAGTCGAGCGGTGGAGCACAGTGCGACGGTTCATGACAAGAAACGCCCCATAGGACGCCAAGACCAAGGCTGTGCACGCCTCCGATAGACAATATATGGGATTTGAGCACAAGCAGTGGAATGTGTGGTGGCGACGGGACCATGGGATCACGGCGAGTGCAGCAGCAATTTCGGATTCAGAGACGGTGCCGGCGGTTGAATGAGCAGCACATGTCAAGGGTACATTAGTTAGGAAGGTTGCTGGTTGGTGGGTGGCGCCCTGACCGGAGCCGGAGAGCCGCTCGTCTCACATGGACCAAAAGGCACCAAGGAAGCCACCATGCCCCCCAGATTCCGGCAGAAGGGGACGTTTTGCTTCAAGAGGGGTCCGATGGCAACGGGTCTCGTGTGACAGCTTCAGTCTCCTGCAGCGATAGAGTAGTAGGGACGAGGGGTGCATTGCATGCTGCTACTCGTACCTACTTGGAGGAGCAAAGGGTCCGTACTAGGGTAGCGCAAATCTTCCGGCAATAGGCCGCACTTTGGAAGGTGAGATAGATTGCGAAGCAGTGTGGGGACAGGAGGCTTGGTGGTTGGACTGGCTAGCGAACCGGCCGAGTAGATTGCAAATATGGGGTACAGATGCTTCGAGAAGAAACGCAGCCAGGGTCTTCATCTATACGGACCGCACATGTTATCTACACAGTACAAGTAAATGCGCAGATATTAAGGGCGATAATGCAGGTGGGTGCGTGACTGCGAAGGCTGGCCCCAAGATCAAGGGCCGAGTGGCAGGGAGGGCCAGTTGGGTTTTGCTGACGGCATCTCTTACGATACGGCCAGCTTTGGTCTGTTTCGCGTTGCCACTGCCGTCTAGTGGGTGACACAGCACACAGGTGGGCCGGTAAGAGCTAAATCGAGCTCGTACTCGGCCTCGACTGCTCTGGGGGCTGGGTCAGCGAGGCCGTACATGTGCATACACACGCATACCGCCTCTCTCAGCGGCGCTGCAGGGCGGCATTGGCGGAGGGGCAGCGACCCATGAATGCGAAGAGGGGCCCAGGGCTTGGAGGTGTAAGGTCGTGGAGCAGGACGAGGGCAGCAGCAGCAGCGCAGGCCCCTGACGGACTTGGGGGGAGGGTGATAGGGTGGTGGTGAAACCAGTCGCGGCCCGCGGCTGAGTTCCTAGCGTAGGGGTGTGCATCGGGCTTACGGTACCAGCGCATTTCCCAAAGCGGTCTAGCGTATCGGGGTCACTTAGGGTGCTTGGCAGCTGCCTATTAAAAGGTGGCAGACATGCCACTCTGTCCTTTTCGATGCACAGCCTGGGTCCTAGTCTTAACCACCCACTATGCCCACAAGTCCCCGCACACGCTCACTACTACTACTACTACTGCAATGGCCGAGCACACCTTCGACTCTTCTCTCTTTTCCCACACTATGAACACATCCACCATCACATCAACACCCCTCGCCCCACCTCCATCAGCCACATCATCACACCAACAACAACAGGCATCAGACACCATGATGCCCACAACCATCAAGATGGAAATGATTGAGAACTGCGACCACTCGCCCTCACCACAACGCTCCGCCTCCAAGTCATCAGAACCCTCATCAACACCGGCCCCAGAGAGCAGCGCCTCAAAGCCAGTCAAGAAGCGAAAGTCATGGGGCCAGGTCCTGCCTGAGCCAAAGACCAGCCTGCCGCCCCGAAAGCGCGCAAAGACCGAGGACGAGAAGGAGCAGCGACGCATCGAGCGTGTAAAGCGGAATCGTCTCGCCGCACACAACTCACGTGAGCGAAAGCGACAAGAGTACGAGGTCCTCCAAAACGAAAAGGACGAGCTCGAGGCCAACATGAGGGCCTACAAGGACAAGATGGCCCAGATGGAGGCCGAGCTCCGCTACTACCGATCAAAGTACCCCGGTGAAGCACCAACATCAACCCCCTTCGACCTCTCAACAACACACGACTCGTTCAGCACCATCTGCCCCGCGCAGATCCCTACATCCTTCCCCAGCCCCGTATCCATGGACTCGATGGACTCACCCCGTGACTCATCCTGCCAACCCGAGACTCCCCCGTCAAGCTTCGAGGCCTCGCCCGAATTCGACTCGACACAATACTCTGCCGCGGTATTGTGCGACCTGCAGTGTCAGTCGAATTCGGCAGCCTCGCTTCGGACGATCTGGACCTACCTTTCTCTATTCAACCTTTCGCACCAGTCGATGAGAAGCCTGTCGTCATGGAAAACTTCTTCGACTTCGACCAGTTCCCAAAGTGCAGCCCAACCACCAGCGCACCAATGGAACCCGCTTTTAGCATGGTGGATTCTTCTTCAGTCGATGTCTTTGGGTCAACCCTCTTCGACCACAGCTCTACCTCAAGCTCTTATGGCTTTCTTGACGGCTTTGATGCAAAGTTCCATGACTTGCAGAGTGCCTCTGGCGCAACTTCGGTTAGCGACGAGGCCCTCGCAGCGGGATCACTTTAGCATCGATGCTATCATGCGACCCATCAAGAGCGCGAGCGGGCAAGCTGGGTCGGCGGATGGTTGCCGTGGATCACGACTAATGAAATCTCCTACCTCTATACAAACGGGTCGGCGTAATGGTGTACAAATAGGAAGAATAGAAAGGTCCGTATTGGAAAGGCAAAATTTGGGGCGTGGTTTCACATGGCGTAGGACGGGGTCCGTAGCTTGTGGCGCGTAACTGGGTTGTAGTAACAGTTTCTTTGAAAGACTTTTTGGTATTTCCTTCGTGGATATCACTTCCTCGATGGGTTCACAATGGCGGACAAGTCACACCAAGGGCTGGTGCCTCTATCTAGCCAATTCTACCAATGTCTACTGTTCAAACATGATGATCTTTTTCTGGTTGCTTGTGATGTCTTACTGTCTCCTGCCTGCCTTGTCTCGCCTTCGCTTTACTCGCATCTTATCAGCCGACCCAAACTCCATCCCCCCCTGATGTGTCAGTCTAATGTGTCACCCAGCGTGACTTTCTCCACACTCGTCCCTCATTCCGCATACGCTAATGCTGGCCCAAGACTCTCCACATGGACGATCTCCGCGCCTCTTGCCTCTGACCTGCAAGGGCCCAGACCAAGACGGCCTCTCTCTCGTCTCGTCTCGCTGTAGTATCCTGCACATGCACCTCTCGACGCCGACGTTTCCCCTTTCTTCCAGCCCACTTCCTGCACATCCTCTGCCAGCTCAAGCAGCAGCAGTAGTATGTAGTAGTACACACCAACACTTGCCCGTTTTTGTCCGCCCCGCTCCCCCAAGACATCAGAATGTCGGTCTGGGCTCCGCGAATGATATCGCGATCACGTCATCCGGTTACGCCGAAAGTCCCGCGCGAGTGCTACTCGAAATCTGAGATGATCGCAATGCCTCCTTACCCTGGTTTCCGAGGGCATTGGGGAGGGGGTTTTGAGCTTGTAACGCGATAACAAGGTGACATGCAACATGATGGAACGGTACATTTTAGGAAAGAGAAAAGGAAATATTAGGATGGAAATTTTTCAGCTATGCGGGAGTGTAAAGTGTGTACCTTGTACCGTCTTATCCGGTTATCTAGGTACGTAACTTGGCGCCCGTAACACATTCCCAACTACAGTAAATGGGAGGGGGAAATGCGGTAGCTGAGCCAAAGTGTTAAACATGATTTGCTTGTTTTTTTTTACTTTGCTTTGTTCAACCCTCCCCCCCCCCAATCGCCCTCGAAGTCCGTTATGTGTGGAGCTGGTAACCAGCCAGCCAGCCCAGCCCAGCCCAGAAAAAAAACGGACTTGAGTCGGGATGTTCGCTTACTAGAGTTTCCTGATAACCACACACACAACCCACACGAAGTTAACCCCCACCATACACATCACACCGTTTTCTGGCGCCACAAAAACCCAGCTCAACTCCGATATCTCCACCGGACTCTTGACAAAAAAAAGCAATCGAAGAGTCAGTTTAGTTTAGCTTAGCTTTACATAGCTTTAGCCAGCGAGGCAAAAGCAAATGCAGGCCCCTCTCACACACTCTGACTGCAAGATTCAGGACTTGCGTGTACTTGCATTGAGTGCATGAAAAAGAGGAGAAATGGGGGGAGACAATGAGAGAAGCGTAGCCACGCATCAGCTGCGTACACCGCTTTGTGCTCGGAAGCAAGAAAGGGAAGAAAAGCCCCACAAAGAAAGAGGGATTAGAGTGGGAAGAAAAGGACGGGGCCCGGGGGGAAGACAAGGGAAATGGGGATTTGGAAGATCCCGCTCTCAAACATGTGAAGATTTGATTGGTTTGAATTGCATCAAGGAAAAGTACCAGCTTCTCCTTTTGTAGGGCTACATCTAAACAATTCATGCCCCAAAGAGTCCCATTCGCATACACCCCAATGTAGGTGAAATGGAATGCCAACACAAGACTGTTAAAAGCACCGATTTTACTCGGGACTCCCCAGTGTTGAAAGGTCTCCCGTGGTCCCCTCCCCTCCCTCGCTTGACTACTTACTAGCCAAAACCCTGCTAGACTGGGATAAGAGAGAGCCCCATGTGAGCTAAACCCGCTTCGCACCGTATAGCCGATCTTTCTGGCCGTGGGCCACTCATCCCCAACGTAACTTTACTACCACTACCGCCGAACCGATGTTGTTACATGATGATGCTTGCCTCTTTGTTGCGGTGAAGGGGGCTTGCATTCTTCGCTGTATGTAACTAACAGGGATTCTTTTGGTGCCTTTTTTACTTGGTGACCTGGTCGACTGGCGGGGGCTTGTTCGAGTCTGTAGCCGCTTTGCCCTGGCCTGTGATGCCCTTCTTGGGCATCTCGCCTCCGCCCGAAGCGCTCATGCCTTCGATGCCTGTTCGTTGTCGTGTCAGTTGTGCGGTCTTGGAAGATAAGGGTCTAAGGTTTTGTTTGCCATTGGCTCATATGAGCGGGATGGAGGCGGTGGGGAGGGGACAGGGGGTCGTACCATCGCCCTTTTCGACTTCAGGCATGGGAGCTACCTTCTTAGTGTGGTCCATGGTGGCCTACAGTCTTTGTCAGTATTTACTCCGGAAGTACTCATTGGAGACAGCACTTACGTCTCCAGAGTTGCCGTGGACAATGTTCTGGCCCTCAATGGGTCCGTTGTCTGAGGATCCGTCTCCGTTGCGGGGCATGGTGGTGGTGATGGTACGTGCGTGGGTTGAATGTAGGTGTACAGACGTGTGTATTAGAGAAGAGAGTTGTAAGAGGGTTTGCTGATGCTGGAAAGGAGATTGGGAACTCTGAGGCTTTAATATGGATATGGGGTTCGTCTTGTGCAAACTGCGTTGTTACGTAGAATTGCGATCAGAGGTGAGGTGCTGTGATGTCATTGTGGGGTAAGGCTGTTCAGCAAAGAGAAATGGGACCCACCACCAAACACCAAATATGGACCAAATTTGGTATGTTTCGTAAGAGTGACGCAACTGGCCCTCTTTGCTTTCTGGCAACTCTTGGTTATGGTACGTAACGGGGTGTTTTTCCTTCTTCCGTTGTTGTCATGGTCGTGATGGGAAGAATGTTCTCGCTCATGGCTCGCCGATCCGATCGTAGTAGCTTTATGAGGAATAAGTATACGAACTGCAAAGTGCATGGCATTGCTCTTGGATCGTGAAATCAAAGAGATCGAATAGATGTGCAAGATGTTCATCGGGAAGTCCAGCAACTGACCTTTGCAAACTGGTGTTGGAATCGGTATTTTCTGAGAAAGATGAAGGTTTATGGAAGTATGATGGATTCACTGCAACTGAGAGACTTTTGGTAGACTTTGGTCATGATTTCGGTTTTTTGCAAGGAGATGAATGGAAAAAGGAGAAGGTAAGGCATACCAGTACTACATTTAACCACTCTATTCTGCTTGTCCTAGTATTATTTCCACGGCTAATTCCAAGTCCCAAATTCTTCCTTTTCTGAGTGCGGAGACTATTTAAGATATTTTCCTTTAATTTCATTAAACATCGAATGAGTTCATGCCAGACAGCTGGGTAAATGAGTGCCTTATGTCTAATATTGGCTGCTATGCATGGGTGTTCCAACGGGTCAAGTTGTTTTGCTGTCATATACGCTTCCTCTAGTATTCGATCTTCGTGCCGATGAGAGCTAGAACGATCTTGCTCGCTGGTGAGCCGAAATAGAGGACTTTGTCACTTGCAAATGGGATGCTGTCGAAACTCACTGAATAAAATAGCTTCTAGCATAGTATATGAGCTTAGTTAACCAGCTTCAGGCTTTTACTAGTGTTTTGATTGACAAGTTGCATTGCGGGTCGAGCATGTATTCTACCGGTTCTGAATTACTATTGCCGTTATCATGAATGACCATCACGACAACCCAACTTTAAATTATCTTGATCGTTTGTCGGACACTACTATGGAAAGCAGATCTCTGAGCATCCTCCCTCCTTTCTGCTAGATCAAGCAGTGCCTCGAAATCATCAAGCTCCTCCAAATCGTCTCTTCGCGGTGGCTCAAAGAAAAACATTCCAATCCTAGAAACTCCTTTCCGTCTTTCGTAGTAAGGATAAGTCCTGATGGCCCCTTGCCAGTAGTTTCGTCGAAGCAACATATCTGAAGACTGAATATCCTGCTGTCATCGATCTTGGAAGCAAGTGTCTCGTCCCAGAAATCAAGGTCAACGTGTGCCAGATCAAGATCAAGATATTCGTTATCTTCATTTTTTAATGCCGGAAACTCTGGATTATTATCGGATACGGTCTGTTGTACGAGACCACACACAATTAATGATCCGGATCGCACAGTGCCGTACGGTGCCTGGGGATGAGCAGGTTGTGTTATGCATGATATGAGTTCGAGTCTAGGATCAATTTCGGTGTGCATAAAAGTATGCCACTTGACAAATCCAACGGTAGAAGCCCATGACCATGAAGGTGCACGATATGCTTGGAATTCGTCTTGCCGAAATGGCTGTTCATGGGACCACAGTAGCCCTAAAGGAAGATGTGATTCCCAGAGGCCTGCAAGATAGCGATCATTTGATGTTTGAGCCCAAGCCTGGGCTATTCCAGATATTGCTGGAAGTCTATCCCACTCGTCCGATAACTCGCGATAAGTATAATGCTCAACAATGTCCATCCAATTCCTGCAGCTTCGGTTCTCGGTACGAATACCCTTATACATCTTGTACATCTTGTCTAGGAGGCGAATGAGTGATGATGGTAAGCATTGAATTGTATCATTCTCATGCATCGAAATACTCCCACAAGACCAGTGGAGTTCGAAATCGGTAAATCGAAGAACTCGACGGGCAAGCAGATGCTCTTGGAAAGTCCAGCCGCGTTCATCAATCGGCGATTTCATCTGATTGCTAGAGAGTATTACGGATCCTAGTCTTCCAGATGGCGAAGCAAAGGGTAATCTGTACCCGATTGTCCCTGGAGCAGGCAGAGAGCATTGATGAAGAAACCCTTGATTGCAACTGCTAGCCCTACTAGCTGAGAGTGTAATGAAAGAACCTGCATATATTTTGTGCATTTGCGCAACTTCGGTCGCTTTATCCTCTGAGTTGTCTTGGTGAATACAAAGACTGTCGATCCAAATCCAACGAATCCCAAGATTCGAGGTCACTTGGATAGCGTCACGGATGGTTTTGGGAAGAATTGAAGCTGATACCCCACTCTTTAACGTGTCTTCTGTGCCATCTTTCAACTGGAACTCTTGTGGACCTCCCCAACAGTAGGATAGAGTCGCGTATTTTGTTCTGGCGGCATCGGGTTCGGAGGAAGTTTTCAAATGAACGCGGACGCACATTCCGCTCTCTTCACTGAATGTATTGATTTCCAACAACCTTCTGGGAAGAAACGGAGAGGTTGGCAATACGCAATCCGGATGGTTAATTTCGCACTCGTAAAGGCGTTGTCTTGCCCACGAAGCTGATTCTTGCTGTCTAAAATCGTGCAGAAATGGTCGAATCAGAATGCTCTCCGCTGCTGGGTTGCCTGTCCCATGGTTAAACTTCGTTCAAGCTATGACATACTCTTTTAACCCTGTACCTTGATGAGCCAGGACGAAATAATAAGGTTCTTTTTGCTTCGGATGTCGAACATCTCCCGCCAATTCACCCATCGCACATTTTCAAGTGCCTCTAGCCGTTTTTAGACGGCCGGTATAGTCAATGAAGTACAGTTCATATATCCAATTCTCTGGCCGGAAGCGGGGCGAATCGCTGGCTTGTTCGTGTTCATGGGTCTCCAAGATAGACTGGAGCGAGTCGAAAGCATCCTTGAAAAACGCGCAGCCTTGTAACGCGCCATCTCGTATCCTTGAGCCCCGATACCTAATGAGGGTTCCGGAAAACAGGTCATCATTGACTTCTCTTTTGAGTTCCACGCTAGGATCGAGTTCCTGTACGCTGCAGAAACTACAGGAATGAATCAAACCTGGAAAACGTGAATTAAGCATCTCCGGATCTTCGCCTGATTCAAAACTCTCTTCATTATTCATTGCAGCGGGGCTCTACCTAGCACTAGCCTTCAGATTACTAGTTGGTGACGTTCCTTTTGCGAAGTTTTATGATCTTTGCCATGCATCACCGTCGCTCTATTATGATGAAGCAAATGAGTGCGGAGTTGTTTAAGGTTCATGCCTCTACACTGATTTAGCCCTTCCAGTCATCGAGTTACACAGTTGTGCAGGATTCTCCCTCACGTGATGTTTCTCTGGCCAATCAAGCCGACTATCTACCTGGATTTGACCTTGATATCCTAGCATTAGCACAACCGCATGAAAAGCTATACGATTAGATTTCCACAGAGCGTGAGTTTTTGCTTTCCTAATTTGCGCTTCCCAGGGGTCATAAATCTAATAATTAGTTCTTAATATCGTAGGGACATTACGAAGGTTAGGTTGGTTACTGCATGAGTTTAAATGTCCAGGAACGATTACATGATGGTGTTGCAGAATACAGGAGCCTAGTATTATCGCTTGAGAGAAGCTCTCCGTATTTAGGCGGAAGCCCGTCGACGCGATCATGATTTTTAGGTTAAATAGGGCAGGACCGTTCCGAAGCAGGCAAACAACATTATTGATGTTAACTGCAGAAAAATCTCCCGCAATGAAGATGTTAGAGTCGCTTATTTTCCAAGTACCTACAGTTTGTCTCCCCAAACTGTGTCTTGCTAAGACGGGACGGACGTTACATTGCTATTTGCATATCTACGTTGTCAAATTCGATATCTCCATAACAATTCGTACGTTACACTGTCAGACCTCCGTATAAAATTTATACATTATTCCCGGTTGTCGGACTATTGCGGAATTCCGGTAGTCAAAGTGAACAGCCATAGTGCAATGGAAAAACACATTTCGTCAAGTAACCTTGCCCCAAGCCTACATATAGATCTCGCTGATATATAGGGGTTCTAATTGTAATACGAAAATATAATCAATAGCAGCGCATCCAGAAAAGTGTGGTGAGGTCAGATAAAGATATGGTAACTGAAAACAACAGTATTCTTATTACTAAAGAGGCGCTTCTTCAAGACCACAGTCTTGCACAGGGGTATACAAGACCAAAAACAAGTTATCCCAAAACAAGCGTTTCACTCCATGCTAATTGCTAACAGATGACGCACCATTGCAAAGCAAAAAATAAAAAATCGTTTAACATGCTTCGCCCAGCATCAATCTTATACTTCTAGCAGTCTTGTTTGCTACTCAAGATGAAGTTGCACTCTCTCGAAACCAAGGCGCGTTTCTGGTGATCAACCCACGCCTCCTGGTCGCAATCGCAGTGGACACAAGTCTTATGGCAGGTATAATCTCCCTTATCTATCTTGTAATTAGCAAACATACATAAACTTCATACTTTCCTACGCGAGGAAAGAACGACGAACAAACTTACAGTGACACAGCATTCCCGAGCCAGGACAGTACTTGGCCGAGGCCGCTCCCAGAGTGAGGAGAAGAGCAAGAAGAGAAACAGCCTTCATGATTAAATTTTTGGGGATTGAGGATTTTCCAAGGTTTTCGGGTAAGAATGTCGTTTGGATAGTGAAAAGGTAGAGAGAGTTTGGTGTTCCGGTGAAATTGCAAGCTCCAGTAAGGAAAAAATAGTACTTGTTATATACTCATGGAAAACGAAGCCAAGAAACTAAGACGGAAAAAAGTCAAATCGATCAACATGTCTTGTTTGGCGGTTTACGAAGCGCCAATTTCGATAAGCAATTCGAGCATTGTGCTTATGTTTCCAGCTTTTACTGAGAACGCCCGAGATCGGAGATTAGGCGGTTTTTTTGTACTTGGCTTTAACCACTATCTTTCTCACACCCCTATTTCCTTTGAGTTTTTTTCTTCTTCTTTCGGCAACAATTTTGAGGGTGTTAAGGGCGGTGATGGGGATCGTATGACAGTACGGGATTTTGGGGGAATGAGGGAAACTTGGGGTCTGATATCGCGGGGAAGAGCTGCGAGATATGATTGTGAAAAAAAGGTGATACGTACGAGTTAGGAGAGTATAACCGTTGAAGTGATTTAGAGAGCGCGTGGCATTGTATGTTGTTTGAAAGGCCAACTCATGCATTGCAAAATCTTCAAGAGCTTTTTTGGTAGTCTTATGAAAACAATATGAATTCCACATGCTACACACCCATACCTAACACAACAGTCCCTTAAACTACCAATTCCAAAGTCCAAATAACCACCACTCCACTAGCAAGAAAGAAAGAAAGAAAAAGAGTCTATAAACTCCCTCACAGCCCGTAAAGTCCTACCACGCAACACCAAGACCATCCACACCACCAAACCCACCATGAATTAGTAGCCCTCTACCCCAACCCCTCCCCCATTCTCCGCGTAAAAAAAACAACTCCTCACCCTCTCAATCCCAAAGTCCCGCCATCATCATCTCAAACTCCCCCAAGCGCACGACCCCAAACAACCCGTCCAAGCTTCGCAAAAACTCATAGGATGAAATACGAACCCCCCCGCCGAAACAGGGCCGTTTGCCCCAAAGCCTACACTGCACCAGCCGCATCACCTTTACATTGATAATTTTCTAGCCAGTGGGTAAACGAAAATTCATGCGTGATGTCGATTCTCTGGTACGGTCGTGTAAGTCTGGCAAAAGGGGTGTTGAAGAAACAGTAGTTTCTGGAATGTATTTGTGATGGATAGAAACTAGGTAAACAAGTATACAAAGTTTGATCATATGGCTAGATTTGCTCAGCTACCTGGTCATCCATATCACATACTCGATGGCACAAGAACACAACATTACATTTTTCCCTTCCCACCATCAACCTCCATCTACCTCGCACTCCTCACCCAGCCCACAACACCAACACTATATCCGACCAACCCACCTACTCTCTCCCTCTCGCCCTTCGCCTCTTCCTGCCACTTCCTTAGCAATCCTACTGCCTCCTCATCTAATACCACAACATCACCATGTAGCCTTAGGAAAACGCTCATCCAAGCCTGCACAAGCTCGTAATCGCGGCGCTGCTCCAGTCGCGCAGTAAGGGCCTTGATAAAAGTGCGGAGTTCAGTGTACGGCTCCGCTGTGTCGAGGGTGCGGATGGCGATGTCGGCTGCGGAAGGAGGGAGGGAGGATAAGTGGGATAGGAGAGGGGTGTAGTCGCCTGTTTCGGTGGCGTGGGCGAGGTGCCGGCTGAATGTATCGGTAGCTGTAGCAGCGCTGGAGCGCGATGCGAGCGCTGAGCTGGAGATGCGGGATTTGGTGTCTTGAGGTTCAGTGGATGCGGTGAGGGTGTTGCTGTTGTTGTCGTCTACGCCTTGGATCTGGTTCTGGCCAACAGACGGTAGGAAGAACGGTGCTTTTTCGGGCGCTTTGGGGGCTTCTTTCGGTTTGTTGCGGGCACGGATGACGTCGAGGTGGAGTAGGGTTTGCCAGCGTGACTTGGGGACTAGACTAAGAGTCGTGATGTTGTCGCTGAGTTGATCCATGACGGGGACGGTGATTTCGTCTTCGTCCTCGTCGCCTACCTGCTCTTCGGTTGCGGCTTCCACAACGGCAACACCGCCTTCACCAGATGCTGTAGGTGCACTGACTGAGACGATGTCGTCCTCAGTAATCTGGCGCGTCGAAACGTGCGTGAAGAGCGTTCGGTTGGTCCAGATGTGCACGCCGACCTCGCCGTCTAGACCCGTGGCGAGGAACTCACCGGAAGGTGAGAAAGCCACCGTGTTACACTTCCTAGAAAGCTTCATTGCATCAATCATATGGCCAGTTGGTAGATCCCAGACCCTGACAGTGGAATCGGAAGCTGCAGAGATGATCCATCGCCCATCACTCGAGAAAGTGTAGTCGAGTGTTTGCAATCCGGTCTGGGAGCGAGAAGCCCAGAGCTCTCGAATGAGCTTCTTGGTAGTGATGTCGACAACACGGATAGAGCCATCGTCACAGCTCAATGCTATCAGGTCACTGTTGCGGTGATAGCGCATACCGAGTATCTTCGTCATAGGATACCAGTCAATCTCGTGAAGTAGGATACCCGTAGCAAAGTCCCAAAACTGGTCATGTTAGTGTTGTCACAGCTGGAAAGAGTATCTCCACTTACCTTGACTTTGCCATCGTCCGAACAACTTATAAGCGTACGGTTCAGGGCATCTACAGCAAGGCCAGTGATGGCGCCTTTATGTTTGCCTTCTCCTTTGACAAACTTGCGTGGGGAGTCGTCTCCACCACCGAGAGCTTCTTCAGCCTCGAGTTGCAGCAGTTTGTACTTCTTCGCCTCAACTGAAGTAAGTCGAGCGGGAAACTTTCGCCTGAATTTGCCAGACTGCAAGTTGTACATGTCGATGGAACCACCAGCGGAGCCAATCACAGCAAATGTGCCACAAGCTGAGATTGCGACACTCTTGACTTCGGTTCCGTCTCCAGTATCAAACGCCCACCTTCCTGCTCGCTTGCGACCCCAGAACCATGTCCTCGCAGTCTTGTCGCCCTCGTGTCCGGTAACGATGCTCTCCCACCCGGTCATGTTGACTTCAGGAGCCTTCTTATCTTTACCCTTCACTTTTGATGAGTTGTTCCAGATGCCAGCCACGCCCGGCATAGCACCCATGCCACCATCGCGGTTGAGGGAGCAGGCCACACAAGTGAT